CTATATTATATAATGAGAAACAAATCATGCCACGAAGATCTGAGAACGATTCGAGCCTGAAAGCTATGCAACATGCGCATGCCATCTGTCGCCACAGTTTCCAGAAAGGCTATGGCTAATCTTGAAAACCTGTTTTTTCGAAAATAATTTTATATAGGCACACTTTTACTCAAAAAAATTCGAAAAAATCGCCGTGACTACATTGTCATATCTTACATAACCATGATTTTCATAGATTTGTGGAAAGTATAGGTTTTGGCAGAGCAAAATTTGAAATCTTTTTGGTTAGTTAATGAAAATTTCGCAGACTGAACATCCACTAATCAGTGCTTTCTTGCGTTCCCAATAACAAAATCATGTATTTTTCCCATGTATACCGTACATTTAACAACAATTGGAGAAAGTCAGTAAAAATGCGTTTTTTTCCGGGAAACAATCCAAATGTTGACAATGACACCTGACAGATTGGACTAAAATATATGTTTTTGTCGAATTTTTAGGATAGCCAACTGTATACCTCAATTTGGATTGATTGAGATTTGGCTACGTTTGGGGGCAATTTTGATAGATAGTTTCACTTATAGCCTTTGCACAGTCCGCAACGTGTGACGGAACAAGCGCCGGGGATAAAGACGCTAAGTAACTACATACACATATACCGTGGCTTGTAGCGCAATATGTACCGCAACCACGGCATTTTTTTTGGGAAAAAGTGTTGCAACGATAGAAGTGTAAATGTGCCGGAGCCATGTTGCGCAACATGTGTGACGTATCTGCGACTTGCTATGACAAACGGAGAAAAGCCTGAATAAATCATCGAGTGGCTCTTCTGTTCGTTGTCTGTATACGTTGTTTCAAATAAAGTGGATTAATCGCTTGCATAGGCTTGTCAGGAAGAAGATTTTCCTAAAATTATGAATTATACGTTCGGTCACAATTTTGTTTTAATTATGCGGATGTGGGTTTTAACGGAATATTTACATTGATCAAATAATACCTGCAGAGTGATTCAAAAGTAGCCTTGCAACCTTGAAGAAGTATGTTCTTACAAAGGAGAAATTGTTAGGTGGATCTACAGGAAATAATAATTTAGTCAAAGTCAAAGACTAGTGTCCACGATTTGTTTTGATGCATCATTGGCATCTTTCGCCGTAGTTCTTTATTACGCTGACAACCAAATATATATTACGTATAGCATTTCTGCTCCGTCGAGTTGGAGGAGATCTTTTCCTTGTTTCTCAAATTCAGCCCCTTAAGGACAACTGTGCCCTTCATTCTAGGTTCGTGATTAGTGGATCACTATGTCAACCAACCTCCGAAAGTCTGCTCTATTGTGGCTCACATCACTTCTTCAATTGTTCTACCAGCAGCGCCTTCCTGAGTGAATCAGAATTAGCATAAGCGATGTACCACTCGAATCATCTACGCGAAGTGATACATCACTTATGTCGCCGCCCTCCTTGCCTGTACGGTCAACCTAATCCACAGCTTTGCTGATGACAGCACTCTACATGCAGGAATACAGAGCGACATGCCGATCTCTGCGGGTGAGCTGGAAAAAAAGAAGACTAGCAGCGACCTTCTCCCTGACAAAAGACCTGGAGGTTATCACTGCTTGAGGACGCAACAATCTTGTACAGTTGAATGCTTCCAAAACACGATACTGTACCTTGACAAACAAAAAGCATCCTAGCGTTTATCTGGGTTCGATGAACAGCCAAGTTCTGCCAAACAGCCGTTGATTTCGGCTGGTCGGAGTCCAGGTCACCGAGGACTTGTTCTGGCACGAACACATCTCGGCAATAGCGGCAGCTAGGTTATTTGCTTAGGTCTAAGAAGTACTTTTCTCTGCATGACCTTCTCACTCCATACAAGACCCAGATAAGACCTAGGCTCGAGTATTGTTCACACGTGTGAGGTGCTGCCGCCCAGACTACATTATTTATGCTTGATGCTGTCCAGAGGAGGGCTAACCGACTGATCGATCACTCGTCTCTAACAGACAGTCTCGGGACCCTTTCGCACCAGCTGGCTGTTGGCGATCTAGCTATCTTCTACCGCTACACCAACGGGTTTTGCTCCTCAGAGGTCTTCAAAATGATACCGCCGAGCCATTTACATGCCAGACAAACCCGCCTGACTTCGGCCTCCCATACTACATGTGTCGAACTTCGTACGTCCAGAGCTGGCAGATTCGACCGCTCCTTTATCCCGATGGTGGCGAGATTGTGGCACAATCTACAAGAGGCGGCTTTTCCCGGTTCGGATTAACAAAATTTCTTCAGGACTCTCATAGCAGCCGCTGTGTTCTGGCATTTAAGCTTCTGCCTGCGTGGCTGCTTCGGCATAAAAAAAAGAATATACTTCGCCGTTTCATCTCTATCAACGGATGTTATCTTTTCGACATCATGCACAGATAGCTATACAGTCATTAAGTCATCAAGCTCGTCGCAAATATCGTTAAAGCTAGTAGGGGATTGCGTGAATACTCTCAAAGAGCTGGGAAATCAAAAGAAGGTAAGGTCGCTCTGGTTACCAGGACACGAAAGGCACATAGCAAATGAGAAGGCGGATGAGCTGACCCGACAGGGTGCATCCAGAGCATTTCTGTGGCGGGACAAGAACACGCATCTAACAGTTCATAATGAATTGGAACGAAAAAAGGTCCCTAGAATGGTGAAACAGTCAATTAGGGCAAAAGCAAACAAAATACTACATTCCCAGAGGTAGGCGATACGGGTCATAGTGTCTCTTAACAAGACACTGTCGCCCAAATCTGCATATCTTGGGTCTGGCAGATGAGACAACATGCGGTTTCTGCAGTGAGCATGACGAAACCCCAGTGTACCTCCTGTGTCGAGGCTAAGGTTTTGAGTATTAGGAATCATAAATCCAACAGTGGAAAGCTACATGCAAAACCCTGTGTCAGGGCTTTGTGGTTTGAGTAAAGGGTCACGGCTGGGCAGACTGCTTTAGACAGTGTATATGGGGGTCATAATAGATCCATATGGGTCGCAGTGGCGTTAACGGTAGTAAGCCAACCCCTTTTCTGTCATAGCATAATTTGTCAAGACCTCTGCTTGCTTCAGGATTTTTTATTATGTTAGGGAGGACGGATCTGGAAAATAATTTGGAAGGGGTCGATAGGGTGAATTTGAAATTACCCGCTCAAAAAAGTTCTGTGAGAGGAGGCACGATTCATGATCAAGAAGACGTCCATCTCGGTGAGGGGCATCGTCGATTGAAAATTGAGGAGCGGAGGTGGCGGCGACTACTACATCTATGCTTTTCATGACAACTGAATATCGGGAGGGAGTTATCATTGATTTTTAACAACTATCATAATCCGGAGGGGTCTGAACCCTCAGAACAGACCCCCCCCCTCCCTGGATCCGCCACTGGTATGAATCTGTTAACCTTGGTCACCTCTACTTGTCATAGTGGATTATTTTATCCATACCTGAAGAGACCGTATGCATGACAGAATTCGACTCAATGTACTTATGAGTTTGAAGCAACAATACAATCACATTTGGCTTCCTTATTTTTTAGCATATTTTAGGATACCGTTTAAGATACGTAGGGGTCACTGGGCACATACGAAGCTTGCGGCTGAAAGGATCAGCCTAGAGGGAAATCCAGGGTCTTTCTTTGCCCTTGGGGAAAATTGAAGAGCGGATGAGGGGTTGCTCATCATTTTTCTCTCGAAACGTCGTGAATTCCAAAGAGAGGATTTTATCCAGAGATAATTCAAATCAAAGAAACAATAATAAAAACTATAAATAGTTATATTTGCTATAATACAAGGTATATACTTAGTCTTCAGTGAATCAATTCATCATCGTACAATTCTATGCTCAGCTGAAAAAAAGTACTTTGGCACCTATTAGCATTTCAACACGAACCTCAAGTACACTTCTATTGAATACTAAGTACCTATAAGATGCTGCAATTCGTTTACATATTTATACATTTTTTTATTAAAGTGTCATCAGTTTGTGTAATAGAATGTGGCTGGCATCGAAATGGTATAATTATATGACTACCACAAAGAAGGAGAATCCCCCTTATAACTAAAGCCATTAAAAACCATTAAAAGAGGTTTGCAGACGGATAAATCAATGAATTTATCAGTCATATGTACGCGGAGTACTTTTGATGCATGGCCTTTATAGAACTTTATGGTGGTTACGCTACTTGAAAATACACAACTGTTATTGACGAATAAGCATCCTAGTGAAACATATGAATTCTAAGAAATACAATTATAGGAAGAATAGGGAACCTTGAAGCTGAGATTTCACAGTCTGTATTTTATATTATGATGGCTTCAATGCATTCCATCTAAAACAGAATTCGATTTTCCATCACAGTAACTGATGCTTTATTTTTTTAACTAGTATTCACAGCGCCCACTAGCGTGTGTTAAAAAGTTCCCGATCTCACGAATTATTGTGGGAAGTATCCTCATCCCGTTTGGTAACAAAAATATTTAGTGTTTTTGTGCTCGCTTAATTTCCTTTATAGGTGGTTTCACCATGATTTTGAGCAAAGGGCGAACATTAAATTGCGGGTGAAACTTGGAAATTGACCCACAGAAACACTAACTATGGTAATAGTTTATGGTGCAAAAGCGATGAGCCGTTCTCAAAATTTTAAATGGCACAACCGATTCTAACAGGGAAGAAAGTCCTTGAAAAATGACCAGCGACCTTTCAGAAGCATAGTCCCCGAAGCGCTAAAAAAACTAGTCAATCAAAAATTCGAGAACGACTCATCGTTAAGCTGCGTCTTTCAACATCTGTGTGACATATATGATCCTTTATCATCGAGCGCATGTCGATATGAAGTCTGACTGTTGCTTAAGGCACGACTACTTAGGTAGCTCGACCTACCAAAAATTCCAACTTCTAGATGTGTTTTTCTACGAACCCATTGTGAAAATTTCGCTCCACAATGCATAATATGCAGTGTTTTGACTTCTTTTTTTTTTGTTACAGAGTATTGCTGATGTAGTCTCCGAGCAATCCCTCATCACGAAATGGGGTCTGAACGTGATCATCAGAAGAACCGACTCACAGCCCTTGGTGCAAATGACTGCAAAAGAATTTATGTTTGGGTATAGTAACGCGCTCATGAACCTGGGCAATACCTTCATGCCGAACTGGATATACTTTGACAAATTAGGGCTTATTGACAGAGTGAGTATCATAGGACGGAATCAATCGTCATCATCATCATCACCATTGTCGACATCTACATCACCATCAGCATCATGACCATCCATATCAGGCCAGTTGTTAAGTTAAAGTATACAGTGTGTAATTTTAAGTATATCGTGAGGCATTAGCTGGCGAAAAGGTATAATAATTGGAACAGAAAAAGCAAACCAAATGTAAAAATAGTGTATTTGAACTGGCCAATTAATGGAACAGTCCAACATCGTAAACCTGTTTTATTTGATGTGATGAATAGACGGCCTGAACTATTAGAACAATTTTCGTCACTTCGTTACCTTACTACTAGCAGAATCCTTCAAGGGTTCTTTCCAATAATAGGTTTCTAACAGTCCCAGTTTTTTAATTTGTTTAGATTTGATTATCCCTGGCAGCCAGAAACTGTATCTACAGTCGCGTGTACACAAGAACAGTTATAGCATCCAGTATTAGTAGCAAACAGTGGTCGTCAGTAGGTTCTGGTGGCCAGTAGACTTATAGACCATTATACATATGAATTTGACCACCAACGTGATCTTGTTGAATTCATTTAATTAGTCATACACCATTGATTCTATTTTCCAGACATCTGCTATTTTTGTGAAAATAAATGAACTGCAGCTTCATTAATGACACAGTTTGATAATAAAGAGGATAGAGTTCATAAATCAGTGTAAATATAAATTATGCTATTTCATAGTCTAACTTCCTATTTATTGTATGATATTGTATGATACTTATGACAGTATATAATTAATGCATATTTACCTTTTATGCGCAACAGCAATCGATAGAAAAGTTAAGTAATTGATGTGTTTGTCAGGATTAATTGTACCAAAAACAAATAAAACAGACCTTTTCAATGCGCATCAAAACATTATAAAATATATTTTTAAATGTAGAATATCATAATTTGGTTGGATTTTTCCGGCACCTATCAAATTCAACTACTTGATAAACCTGTTTGTCTCAAAACTTGCAAACACCTGAAAACATAGTAATTAAAAATAAATCATTTTTAATGTCGGCAAGAATCTCTAAGTTCAGTGTTTACTCAAATTATGGATAAAATCACTTGTGTCTAGTGTCTAGTGGAAGGCTAACTATGATAAAATCTTTATTTATTAAACAACAATATATTGTGAAACTTTCCAAATTCAGCTTCAAAACAAAATGATATACGTGCTGGAAACAGTGGCAAAAGCACTAATTTTTCATTTGATGTGCTTCCGCTTACTAATCATATAAAAAGCATTTTTTCATAGGACGCTTATGACTTTTTCGTTGGGAGTTAGTGCATTTTGAAGCTTAACCATCCAGATAATCTTGTAACAGGACCTTTTACCTATATTTCGTCTTATCGCATTTCTAAATTGCCTACTGTTATGCCCAAAACAGGTACGCCCTAATATAAAAAAAACTGGTCATATAGCCTACTGAACATTACTAGGTTTTCAGTACTTGAATTTTTCATTTCAACTTTAGGTCACGTAACTGTCCGCCTAAGTATACTCAAGAAACTACTATATTTTTTCAGATGTACGATTTTGACGGTGACTTCGAAACAGTATACGATGGCCAAAAGCTAGGTGTGAAAAACATCGGTTTGATAGAAAAATACCGTGGTTCGACGAAAATTCCACAATGGGAAAGCCCTTGCGGCGACGTCACCGGAGCTTCTGATGGTACCAAGTTTCCTGGATACATCCAGCCTAACGATACTCTTCTCTTCTTCAGAAAGAGCATGTGCAGGGCAAAGTCACTGGTAAGTGTATAAAAGACGTAGCATTATTCTGTGTAGAGTATAAAAATTGTATGAAATCTGGGATCCCCTAGAAATATAATACCACAAAGGGAATATGGTTCCGCTTACTCCCTTCTTTGACAGATGGGTAAAACTTAGAATAGGATATTCTCCATTTTTGTATGCAACTTGTCAAGACGCCGGACTTTCACTGGAGGTCCAAATTAGTATTAAGTAAGTGCGCAAATTTTAGAAAACATCTCTAAAGTGTCCGAAATGATACAATTCTCATCATTACAACGTTCCACAGAATCAAAATTCATCAAAATTAGTTTGACGGTAGCCAATTCTCTAATTTTTGTATTTGAAACCAGTAAGAGCCACTCAGTGGTCCAAGTACCACGACAAACTTAAGGAGAAGGTAGGCTTTGGACTGACCTCAAAAAATAAAAACTTACCTATACATATAGGGTGTTTCAGTTTATTGTTGCATAACTTTAAGATTCGATAGAACTTTTAAAATTAATGCATAAAGTCTATATAAACATGGGTCGAAAAATGTGTGGCTTCCGAAATACAGGGTGTTTAAATTTACTTTCTAAAATAGTTTTTTTTTTAATATTTCGAACAATGTTTGATGTATTACAGTGAAAATTGGTATACAAGAGTTTTTTGGTGCGACAAAACGAACCATGGGCACAGTTTTACTGTAGCCGCTAGAGGGTGCTCTCTACTGTACCTGTAGTGTATTAAAAAGACCGAAAAAATTTTATTAGTGCAATTTTTTGCTTTTTGAGTAAAAAAACTGATTCTTCGCACTTTTCAACATAAAAAAGCTCTCTTGTGAATTTTCGTTATAGTTAGTCGTTTTTGAGATATTTCGATTTTTAAGGTTCGATGCATTTTTAATTATTTATGATAAAATAACGTTAAAAAGTCATTATCTCGATAATTTTTAGAAGTAGGCTGTGCCTGCAAATATTTTTGAAATTGAAAGCAGAATAAGGTTAAACGTCAATTAGTTGACAGTTAGTTTTGTTGTCTGTTGAAACCTGAAACGTTTTTTTGCAATTGTAAATGCACGAAATTTAGTTTCTTTTACCTGTTTTTTTTTTGTAAGTTTTATAAAAATGTCATTTTTATTGTCCAATCAAGAGTCAGCGGATATTCATTTTGTGTATGGCTTTGTAAATGCAAACGCAGCAGAAGCAGCCAGAGAATACGCACGAAGATTTCCAAACAGACGACATCCAACTCGCTCAGTATTTGTAAGAGTGCATCGCCAAATAATTGAAAATGGTTTTGGAAATCTCCAAAGGGATCAAAACATAAATGTTCGTCAGCGCAGATTTACCCGTATGATTCTGCGTGAGTTTGATAGAGATCCGACCACAAGTGTTAGGAGAGTTTCTGGTGCCTTGGGAATTTCAGCAAGCCATGTTCACCGTGTTCTTAGAAATGACCATAGACGTCCTTACCATTTGCAACCTGTGCAAGGACTACAGCCAGGGGACGGAGAACGAAGAATCACATTTTGTCAGTGGATTCTTGATAGAACTGATAATAATAGGGAGTTTTTAAGTAACGTTTTATGGACCGATGAGTCATGCTTCACTAGACGTGGAGTGGTAAATTTTCATAATCAACATATTTGGTCGCATGAAAATCCGGATGCAGTTCGGGAAAGAAATTTTCAGCTTGAATTTAGTGTGAACGTGTGGATTGGTATCTACCGTAATCGACTATTTGGACCCCACCTTTTGCCTGCAAGGTTAAATGCTGCGACCTTCTTGGAATTTTTAAAGGCTGAACATGCAAATATGTGGGATGATGTTTTGTTAGATTTAAGAAGACTGGCCTGGTTCCAGCTTGATGGTTGTCCAGCTCATTATTCGAGAATAGTTAGAAACTGGCTGGACGACAATTATCCAGAAAGATGGATCGGCCGTGGAGGACCAGTCGCCTGGCCTCCACGATCCCCTGACCTAAATCCATTAGATTTCTTTGTGTGGGGATTTCTAAAAGAAAAAGTGTACCAGACTCCCGTAACCACAAGAGATATGCTAATAGACAGAATCAGGAATGCACGTGATGAAATAAGGCCTTATTTGAATTGTGAATTGAACAATTGGCTTTACATTTCGAGCAACTACTTTAGATTTTGTATGTTTGTCCTAACTATCCAATAGCATTTTAGTTGTAAATAATTAATTTAGTTTGTTAAAAATAATATTGGAAAATTAAACAAATTAATATTCTGTTTTTTTTTGTGTTCATTTGGAGTTAGGAATTATTGCTGTGTTTAAAAACGCAATCTAAACGATCATCTTAATTACTTGTAATGCCCAAATCAAAATCTAAAAAAAAATATTATTTTTCCATAAATAATTAAAAATGCATCGAACTTTAAAAATCGAAATATCTCAAAAACGGCTAACTATAACGAAAACTCACAGGATAGCTTTTTATGCAGAAAAGTGCGAAGAATCAGTTTTTTTATTCAAAAAGCAAAAAATTGGACTAAGAAAAAATTTTCGGTCATTTTAATACACTACAGGTACAGTAGAGAGCGCCCTCTAGCGGCTACAGTAAAACTATGCCCATGGTTCGTCTTGTCGTACCAAAAAACCCTTGTATACGAATGTTCACTGTTATACATCAAATATTGTTCGAAATATTTAATAAAAACTATTTAAATAAGTAAATTTAAACACCCTGTATTTCGGAAGCCACGCATTTTTCGACCCATGTTTATATAGACTTTATGCATTAATTTTAAAAGTTCTATCGAATCTTAAAGTTATGCAACAATAAACTGAAACACCCTGTATACGCGATAGGAGTCATTCATACAATGAATGAACTACCATACTAGGCATGTTGCTTTGCAAACGTTTTTCAAAAATGGTGGATGTGCACTTAACGTGTAAAAAAGACAAAATATGTAGATGAATGGACTAATCAGAATTTTGTTGCAGATCAAAGTAAACGAAACGATCGCAAACGGCCTAAAAGCCTACGTGTACAACTTTGATCCAGAATCAGATGACAACGGCCACATCCACGAGAGAAACAAGTGCTTCTGCAACAGAGAAAAATGCATGCCCAAAGGACTTTTGGATGTCAGAGGTTGCTACTACGGCTTTCCTATCGCTTTGAGCTATCCTCACTTTCTGGACGGTGACCTCCCAGCATTGACAGCCAACGTGACTGGACCCAAACCTGATCATGCCAAGCATAGGTCGTACTTTGTTATCCAGCCTGATTCGGGTCTGCCCATCGAGCTCTCGGTTAGGTACCAGATCAACATGGCACTGGGAAACGTCAAAAGTATTGCTAACTGTGAGAGATTCGAAAACATGGTCTTGCCACTACTTTGGACTGAAATTGTAAGTTCATGCGACAGTTTTTCATAATATTAGATTGATTACAGTTGAGACTAAAGGGAAAAACTTTTTAAAGAGCGAGGGGTAGCAAATTTTCTCAGGGGGCGGGGGGCAAATGCTAAAAATCTCCAAAGTTGTAGATATACTAAATATGCAAATTTTAAGGTCCATTCGGATTATCACTCAACCGGAATTTCCAACATTTTGAAAATATTTTAGACGAGTGCCTCACATCCCATTTTTTTTCACGTAATCGATGTCTGCAGTTCTAAGTAGAACACCCTATATTGTGTTAAATACAGCGTCGAGAAGTCTGGCTGTAGTTTGAAACTGCTTTCCGACTCTATATTCTTTCGCAAAATACACTATTTTTACCCTACACTATGTTTATCTTTTCAGAGAATGGATAAGCTACCTGATAACCTTGGAACTAGATTCAGGCTCTATCTGAACGTCTTGCCACTCATGGAACGATCTCTGATGTGGGGTTGTTTTGGAATTGGAATCATCCTGGCGTTATTCGCTATTTTCAAGTTCGTCAGGATAAGGACCAACAAAACCAACGTATTCAACTCACCTTGGATTCAGGACGAATTCATTCACAACATAGACAGAAAGCTCAGCAGTTACATGCCTGAGCGAAGGTCTACTTTGAACGAAAAGGAACTTAAGCAGTATATCAGTAGTTTATCACCTTTGAACAAGGAATATGTTCAACAGTAGGACTTATGACTGAAGACTTCATTGGAGAGCATTATTTCAGTATAAGGAAACGCCAAAATGTATCAAATTGCAGATTAACTTGACTTATTCTGGCGTTTCATATACTGCAATAAATGAAGCGTTTTAGGACTAATTTTGTAGATAAACATTGCACGCCAGATATCATTTCTTGCCACAACCAATAAGGCTACCATCCTGCACAAATCCTCCAATAGTCAAAGATTACTGACATCAAAAACTTTTCTCTGATTATGTCACAAAATGGCTTAAATTTTCACATGGACTATCAACTAGGAACAGACAGCTGCTATAAACATTATTTACATATTTGTATATTATAGTATCTGAATCACCAGTGTTTGTTTAAAGTGTAGTCATATTGAATATGATCATGTGTCGGGCATTCAACAATCGAATGTAATGTTCTTTATAATAAAATTTCTGACTCTGTCATTAATGCTGGACTGAAGGTTAAGCAGCGGTTTACAACAATTTGTTTGAGACATTGTATTATGGTATTATATTGTGCAGGATAGGAAGCTTTTAGAGATCGACATGGTCTTATACAGTTCCTAGAAAATGGGATACATGCAATATGATGATATACGATAAAAGACGTAATTCTTAGACTAATGTACAAATTTTCTAATATTTTAGTAACGCTATTTTAAAAAGGGGTAAATGTTAAAAAATGTCCTTCAGAACATTTTCAAAATGGGGTCAATTGGTATTTTAGTTCCACACCTATTTATTGCTCAATATTATACGTTTATTTTTGCTTTGGATGTCTCCAAATCATACTATGCTGATCAGATGACGTACAATATGAAATGTCCGATCTCTTTTGAAGGCATGGATTACATGGATATGATAAAAAACTAAAAATATGTTCACATCAAAAATAATCCTGAATTTTAGACTTTGGTTATAATCGTTTATTTCGATGGGTAAATCCTGTGAATTAATATGAGGGTGAACATATTAACTTCCGAAAACTTTTTTGATTACTTTTCCCATTATTCAAATAGTATACCTATGTATACTTACCTTCTTATAATGATCAGTGACAACTATCTATCAGGAGCATCCCTTAGATTTATGTCTAGTATAAGCAGTAGTATTTTAAAAAATTACTTGCAAAATACTCTTGTGCAAACCATATAGTCAGGTACCATAACGGAGGAGTAACATAACACGGAGTGCACCACTGATGCTAGAACGACGTCCCTCTGAATACAGCCCGATCAGCGCGCACCGACTTTGCCCATACAAAGGGACGCTGTCTCTTCCGTTTTGGTAGCCAAGTATAGTAATGTGGTAAAATAATAGAGATTTTGTGATAATTGTGATAATTCTCTTCGTGTAGCACGTTTTAGTGTTACCACTGGACCAATATAGGCGAGCCATATGCCGACTTTTTCGAAAAAGATTACAGAATTTGCATACTTTGTTATATGTATACCTTCTACAATAAGATTCAACAGTTATTTGTCTTTTTCGAAATTTTGATGTCTTAACTTAGTTTGTCCACTTCCTATAAGATGACCAAATATCTCTTATCATAGGTATCATAAAACGTATGATTCGACAAATCCAAACCGTCAATCTACAATCCAACTGCATAAAATATGATATTTTTAGAGAAAGTGGCATAGTCTTACCGATTTCTTGTGAATATGTGATAGTAACTTGTAACTATAGAGATTGTAAGTAGGTTTTATTTCCTACAAATATATATGAAAAAAGTTAACGTTAATAGATTCCGAAAGATGAATCTCTAGAAATAAGTAGGCTTGACAGAATTATATAGTCTTAATAGAGATTGCTTTAATACTATGGACATTCCTTGACTTGCTTCTCCTACTGATTCTGCGGCATTATCGTAAAAAATAGCATCTGCGAGGTTTTCATTTGTATCCAAAATTCTCAAAACTTAATGGTGATAATAATTTAGGTAAATTTGACTAGTCGTTCAATTTAAAACACTCTGAATTTCGCAGATTGCTTTCTTTTAGCGGAATAACAGCTCAATCAAATATGGATGAACACAGCAAGAGATACAATACCTACAAGAATACGGAGATCACTCTGAGGAACGGCATGCAAAATATCCCTCATACACACTGTTTCATCAGGGTGATCAAAACCGTCACATATTCATTTTTTTGATGTGTTCAGCGACATTTTATTGAGCAAAAAAATAGAAAACTCTTTATTACATATCCAGAGTTTTTCCAATTTTACTTAGTACTCAATCTGACGATGCCTTTACTTTGCCAGTTTTCTTACCTCGGATACAGAAATGTTCAATCCAGAATTAGGTTTACGAATTTTAGGTTAGATTTTTATTTATGCTCGTTTTTTTTATTGTGTTAAATAGACGTATTTTTAAATAAACGTTTTTTATTTATAAATATTGCAACAATATAGAAAAAGTACGGAAAAAATATAATCAATATATACACATATGAAATTAAATTTGCAGGATTAAGGACTCTTAAAATTACCAGATATAACAATATCACAAACGTTTAATTCATAGTTAAGTATCTGCGGCTGACAAGTAGTCAAACATATGCTATCTATTGAAAGGATTTTTCTCTAATTCTTCGATGACTTGCATTAGCTTCTGTTTCATCTTCTTATTGTTTTGACATGCGCAACTTACGAGCCCAAACAAATGCTTAGACGAGTATTCCTAGAATAAAAAAATGCAAAACTGCAATACCAGACTTCCAAATCTTGGCAGATCAGCAAACAAAAAACTAAGTATAAAGGAAATAAATTTGCTTCTTTATGAGCATTGTTAAATTTTTGTATTATTTCAATATCAAAGGCATTTCTCCACAAGTCAGTGGTTGTTAAATGTATAGCCCAATCCGATTTGCCAATTATGCTTCCAAACAGACAAGAAATCTTACCTTATGTTCTTTGATCCATTTTTCAAGTTCAATATCCGGCAAGTAGTAGGCTTTCACGTAGTTTTCCACGTATTCCTTATGAGGCACTGGTCGTAGTTGGGACATTTTCTCAAATTTCGTCAAAAATTGAGTGAAATCCAATTGCATTAAAGCTCTACCACCATTTGTGCATTTCTTTGCCTCAGAAAATCTATAAAAAAGAAGTCATTAAAACAAATGAATAATCTCAATCCGCACAACTTGACAATCATATAATAATATGATATCACCAAACATTAACATAAATTATGAAATATGGTTGAACAACAAAAATAGAGACATGTAAAAAATGGAATAAAATTACCCTTGGACCAGCGTATGCGTCACTATATGAGCAATGTTTTCCCATAAACATTTGTAAGCTGCATGAGGAATAGGTACCTTCATCGCGACTTGTTCAAGTCGTACAGTGAAGATATGCACTTCCTGCAACATAGTACAATTAAAACTTCAACTTTCCTCCTCATGTAATGTGGAATAGTTTACCTTCAAAATCATATCTATATAGGAATTGTGCTGTGACATCACGTCTTTTACTTCCCAGTTAATTTTGGCCATGGACGACAAAATTTGCCTCAGATCAAATGCCTGGGCTGCAACTGTCATATATATCGGATAACGTAAAGACGACGTGCTGGCAATATTCTGAAAACGACACCGCACATATGTAATTAAACAATAGGTGTGCAATCTATCAACATTTCAGATGGATGTGAACAAAGTGGCTAAATTTGGAAACATGTAGCATGGAACCTCTTATTTTGTTCATGTTTGTCAATCAAACAACATTTTTCTCTTCTGAAACGTTTAAGATTTATTTGTTTGTTGCCAAAACATGTATAGGATAGGATAGGAAACACTTGTTGCATAACAATGCTTTTGTCATTTTACATTCTCACCAAAAACGGCACAAATTCAAATTGAGAGGTTAACTTAAAATGATAGTCTAAATAAAATGAAGCACCGAAAAAAAAATATCTTAAAGGTGCGCGACCCAGAAGTTTCTTATTTGAAGAACTATCTTGGGGTACGAGACTGAGTGATGATGTCACAAGACACCCGCTACCATCGCTACTACTCCGCCATTTACAAACATTGCTCTCCTCCGTATTTACGATTTAAGGTAAAAATGGGTAAACAATGGGTTACACTTTCGACTTCCAAATACTGTATTGTACATAGATGAACCATGAACCATTGTGGTGTCGATGGCGTATGGGCTGAATTATAAATGTTAATGCGCGTCTAAGTGTAAATGTTTGACATAGTATATTTAACTATTAACCATTAACAGTTAAAAGTAAGAGTAGCCTTGGCTAAACTTCGCTGTTTATGTCCCTCTTGGTTATTTAATAGAGACGTTGTTATTATTATGACCACTTTTGGAAGATTAGGGGATTAGGGGAATGGGTACGCAGACAACCTTTATCAATTTTTTTTCTATGATATCTATAATATCGCAGTATATGCCAACATACAAACAATCTATGGTCAGCCTCGTCAGAGCCATGGCTCAGAAGGCGAACTTATGTAATGTGACATCACGACCAACCCCGACGCACGACGACAGTCGACTACAGCACCTAACAATGAAAATGTCATAACTTCCTTCAATTTTACGTTATCGGAATAATTCTTCCAGATTTGTAAATGATACCAGCTATACTATTGTATGCCAGTGAAACTAGCCGTATTTTCCACTGTAGGAAACTTTCGAATATGCAAGCAGCCCATCTCTAAGAGTTTCCATCTCTAGCAACAGTCTGACGTCATACAACCTATAGCACACGAGTGACGTCGTGACATGTGTCTTCGTCTATCGTCTTTGTTAACCTCACTTTTTGCAAGGTGTACGTCAGTTTGTTCAGTTTGTTGTTTAAATACGTAAATAAAAATAATTTCGCTATGGAAAATGCAAACGAAGATACAAACAAAATAAAAGTAGGTGATTTTGTTATCGTCCAGCGCCAAGGATACACAAAGCTTCATAAAATAAAAGCTCAGAGCAACTTGATCTTGGGCTCATTTCACATAGAAATGGACAACGTGATAGGCGAGAGGTATTTCGATACGTTTCAAATGAAAAACACCTCAAACAGCAAAAAATTCTACACTCTGGAGAAGGTGAACGAAGTAAATTCTGTTGTTGAAAGCTTAAACATTGAGAAATCTGGAACTGATAACAGACACATCCAAGTCAATGCAGAATCACAAGGGTTGTCAAAAGAGGATATTGATAAGTTAAAAGATGAACAGTTTGGGTCCAGCAACATTGTAGAGCAGCTAGTTAATAATTCAAAAACATTCAATATGAAAACAGAGTACAGTCAAGAAAAGTATCTGAAGAAAAAGGAAAAGAAATATTTTGAATATATTGTCATAAGGAGACCAACTATAAGATTACTAGCCCAAATGTTTTATAGGCAAGATCCTACAAAAACATTGGGAATTAGAGTAGATGACCTCTCACAGATTCTTAACCATGCTAATATACATCCTGAAGGTATTTACTGTTAATTTCTAACCAATAATCTTACAGTTTTATATTTCATTTAGAATTAGGTTGCATCTACTTCACAGAATTTTCATCTATAAGCAATAAAATTGAAATGTTTGCCTGCCATCTCGGTAACCATGACCAACTGCAGACAGCACTTTTTCATGCTTATTAGCAATTTGCCAGTGCTGTATATCTCTGATAGTTTTGGAGATTGATGAATGGAAAGCAAGCAAGTGAGTTTGGTCTTTTAACACTTTCACTGCTGATGTCCCACTTGGGTGACATTTCAGTTGCTGATTTTTTTGCAGAGTTTTAATAAAATTGTCTTGATGAAACCTTTCCAACAGAAAAAAATATAATGACACACATGCTATATATAGGCTTCAGTTTACTACTTAGACAATTATAAAGCCTAAAAAATTAATTTAAAAAAAAAGTACATTCCCGCATCTGGGTTACTCTGCATCATAGAAGCTAGCAGCGAAAGTGTTAAAAAACTAAAAATACTGTGCAGATGTAGTTGAGATATGATGATTTCCACCTATCATTGGTTTGCCAGGCTAATCTTCATCCTTATGTCACTGGTTTGCTTTTCATTCATTTGTCTCCGAAACAGTATATCTACAGTTGGCGATAGCTATAGAGACAGAAAGCAAACATCTCCATTTCAAATGGATCTATTTATGCATATATGAATAGAAAGCTATTGTTGGTGTGCTTTGTCAGTACTTAGTATTCCAGCTGCTATACCCTATTTAACAAGTATCCATCATGATATTGATATCTACTGAGGTGAACAGCTGATCAGCAAGTGACATTTTTGTGTTACTCTGCAGTGTTGACAATGAATCGGTTTTAAATCTCTCAAAACTTGTTGGTGGCATTGTGTTTCTGTATGCAAATGAACTTTTCTAAATAAAAGAGCTGTTAACAAGTACAAAATGAATCTATAGCGTACAAAAAACCAGAACAAAATACTGCTCTGACTACCTGGCGTTGACGGATCCGTCAGAATTATGTCTCCTGTGCCGATATGGGGAATTTTGAGAAATTACTAGATAATCAGCTGTCATTCTACAATGATGGATACTCGTGAAATAGAGTATAGATGGAAAAGATATTTATTTGACATGATTAAATGCATTTTAGTGCTAACCTAGCTTAAGATGTCATTGAAACAGATATTTGCTATAAATGTCAATTTACCAATCTTATTTTACAATGTCAAACTTGTGTTCCATTTTTGAGTTTGTAAGTTATTGGACAGAGGCAGATCTATAATGACACACACAATGCCCTGTGTGCCAGGCTTCAGGACTCAAGAGGATCCTAGAATGTGGTTTCTGAGGGTCCCAGAGCAATCAAAATATATGTTCCAAAAATCATGATGCGTCAGTATATAACTCTCAGTGGTAGGAGCATATATAAACTTGATACTTTGGGCCACAGATATCCTAGATGTCACTGATACCAAGGCATACAAAATATCAGTAAATACAGTAATTGTTAATTCAAAGTTTTTAACTTTTTTTTAGGAAATCACCTGTTGTATGACAGTGGCACCTCTGGTCTACTACCTGCTGCCATTACAAACCTCATAGGCTCCAAAACCGAGGGTCACCTCATACACATGCACCCAGGAAATGAATGTCAAAAAAATGCATTTATGGCCATGCAGTTCCCCCAAGAACAAGTTGAAAGGTGCACCAATGTCAACCTATACTCAGTGCTTAGATGTTTCTATCAAAATAAAGACAGTTATAAGAAAACTCAAGATACAGAAATTGATAACAGTTGTGAGGAACCTGCACAGAAGAAAATCAAAGTTGAAGACGGTGAGGAACAATTGCCCAAAAAATCTTGGCAGATAGATAATGAAAGAGCATGCAGAATACTCAGTAATAGGGTTGATTCATTGATTATAACTTCAAAAGAACACCCTGTTAATATAACAAAGGAACTGCTGCAATTTCTAAATGGTAATAGACAATTTGTGGTGTTTAATATATTAAAAGAACCTTTAATGGATCTCTACAACTACCTAAAATCAAGAGAGGATATAATTTCAATAAGATTATGCAATAATTTTATGAGAAATTACCAGGTATTACCAGAAAGGACTCATCCAGAAGTGAATATGTGTAGTGGTGGATATATTTTAACAGCCTACAAACTCAGTTGTTGAATTTTGCTTTTTTTTATAATAAATGCATTTACTTCCAGACCCACCATTAGTAAAGTATTTACAATACCACCTTTAGGATTGATCATAAGGCATCTTAATAATCCTTACTGTATCATGTACACTAAAGTTATGTAACTTATGAAAAAAACTATAAACACTAAAAATGAGTAATATTGGCAGCAATGTATTTTTGTAATGTATATTTCTTAGTATAGAAGCCTACCTGTGTGAAATACTGCTGCAACATAATCTTATTTGGTTGAGGTACCAGATACTCCAAGTATCCTTGTAAAAATTGATACTGTGCCGCTAAGAACACTAAACTTTCCACAGCTACAATCCTTTCAGCCAGACCATGTAAATGTTCAGGTTTTTGAAGATTTACCATAGGTGACAGAGAGGGTTTTAGTATTTTACCCTCAATGTTATCACTTTCTTGCAAGTTGTTTTCCAAAATTAAATTATCAGAAATCTTATTTAGTGTCATGGTTAGCTCTTGAGAATATAAATTTGCACTAGAAACACTCTACAACAAAATGTTGAATTTCATCTAAACTGTGTTATTGTAGCTAAGGTTCGGACATCAAAATTTTTGTAAATTTAGAAACGCAACTTACCAAATCGCTTGCAAAAAACAAGTGAACAGCATACAAATAGTAATCAAAAAGTTGACTCATACAAGTTATTATTTGGAATGCTATTGGTTGTAATAACCTGGACATTTGGATATACTTTCCAATCTGTCTGAGTACCGAGAGAGTCGTGTTTGTCAAAATTGGGGCCTTTTGATGATGTTTGTCCTTTTTATCTTTGACCAGTAGCCTACAATATACAAGATAGATCACACTTTTATTTTGGTACAATTAATACATGTATCATTGTTCAAACTATCTTGAATATGGCAATAAAAATAGTTATGTCGACTCACCTGGCATGGTTATCGTCTCCAAACTCTTCCACAAAGTCCTTCTTTAATTCTTCAGATTCCTCTTCGCTATCTTCAGAATAATACCCTGATCCCTCATTTTCTGACGCTAAAATGTCTTCCTCAATTATAGTATCGTCCAACCGGGCATCAAAAGGTGTACCATGATCAGCATATCTAGGAAAAATATGAATAGTAATGACTAAAAAACAACCAATATATAAAAAATGAATTGCCTACCTGATAAAATAATTTCCAGTGATACTACTTCCATCTTGCGAATGACTAGAAGAGCATTCTGTAGAATTTGTTGAATAATTTGGTCCAGTAGGGCTACTCTGTGGATTGGATTTAAAATGTTTCATCGAATTTCGGTACGACTTGAATTCCTATAAGAATTAATAATTTGAAAACTATCCACTTTTATAATTTTACTATTTATACTTGAAGTTGCAGAATATCAAATGTTGGCTTGACTGGGCAAATTTCCCACATCTCATTTTCTAAAAATATCTTTAGTTCATCCATTCTTTGAGCATGGTAATTTTTGAAATAGTTGACACTTTGTTTTCGGATGGACTCCTGTAAATCCTCAGATTTACTTTGACAAAATTCTTCTCCAACTTGAATCAGTCTAAAAGCAGTAATTTAGTATTATCCTACCAAAGTAGACCCTCGTCTCAAAAACGGTTAGAGCTTGCAATATATTCAAAAGATCAACGTAGATTTTGAGAGTTGAATAATATGCAGGGTGTTCTACTTTAAATGTTGGTATCTGCTTTCGGTACAACCGGAAGGGCCACCATTTTGAAAATATAGCCGAATTCACCTCATCAGTTACCATAGCCACACATTTTCATTATTGTCTAACATCAACTTTTAGAATAATTGATCGCTGCAGTTCTACCTGAAACGCACTGTATGTCATACATTAGATTGTCAAACCTAGGTGATTACAAAAAAATATTTTGATAGTTGGACTTCAAGAAACTACGACTTTAAACATTTAAAGTTTCATAATACCAATTTATGTCGTGGTATGTACACCCTTGAAGTAGCTCATAAAACCTGAAAGAATGCTTGCCTGATGAGATTATGAACCATATGACTATCTGATAATTTCAACATCTGCTTAGGATATTCAGCTTTTTTGAAATAACTAAAGGTTGGCAATGTCAATGTACGAGTATGATATACATTTTTGGAATCACAATAACTCTGTTCACTTATGCAAAAATCCAATATGGCATCTATAATAAAAAATAAAGTTTATGATTGTGGACAAGAGATGAAACCTCATATTGAAATGTTCTAATTATGACGACTTGTAAAGGAGAGAAAGTGACTATCTAAATGTAGCTTTCTAGTGTCATTCTCTGTTACCTAAATGTGCAACTTTGCCTTCATTTAATCGACTTTGTATCTCATACCGTTTCTGAGATTCCAATGATGAGAGTCTAATTTGAAACACTCAGTATTGCAAATATTACTATTATTGTGCATAGCAGTATGAACTACTGATGGAAATCATTACCTGTGAACTACTCTGAGCACTTGCACAAACTGATCAAACTTATAATGTGCCAGATCAGCATTTAATAGCAAGCTGGATACCTTTCTCTGCACATCATCCCATATTTTTATTAAATTGTCATCCAGTTTCTGGATACTCATCTTATTTTCAACATTCAGATTCTCTGACTCAGTTGCATCATTGTCAGATCTGTGATGCCATTTGACAAGTTGATGATAACTGAGGACTATTTTGAACAATACTTGACAGAGGTGGACCAGACAGGGGATAAATACATCCTGACTTATAGACTGGAAAACAATTATACCTGCTATAAAGATTAGGTTCACCAAACTGTTTTACCGCAAAACTGCACAAAGCAGTTCTGCTGTATATGTTACAGAAACTTGCATTTTTTAAGGTTTCTTAATCCAAGATCTTATATCAAAAGATACAGAATATCAACCTCACCTGACACAATACTTTATATGGATTCTTCCCTGTATTCTCAGTACTTTCTAAAACATCAAGTGAATGCACATAAGAATGCACAACATTCAATGAAGAATTGTATATTGCTGTAATATAGTGAACATGTAAATGATCAATCATGGATACTTGAGATTTTCCTAGCAATTGATATGCTAATTGAAGTTTCTGATACCTTTCACTATCAAAATGATAACATGTCTAAAAAAAGAAAAAACATAACTCAGCTGGACACATCTGTGTCATGTGTTTGCTACATACCTGTGACAATACTCTATCCAACTGAGCATCTGTATTTTCTAAGGTCTCTTGGAGTTTGTAAGTCAAAGCAGCCACACAATTGAAGTGTCTGTATTTACTGGCTATTTTTTGACATTGTTTTAATTCCACAATTGCCCCTGCATAATCTTCCTCATGCAGTAACTGTTGACATCTTTTATCAAAGCTATGCTATACAAAAAAGTTTATTTTTACAGATTTTGCTAGAAGAATATAATCATGCAAATTCTCTATATCGTATATTATAAAAAAAATTACAAAACACACTCAGTACATAATTAGACTGCTTCTCACACTTATTTTGAAATACGAGGGTGGATCAAATATAAGCCGGAATTTTACAAATACTTTTCTTAGCCAATCACGAGCGCTCTCACAGTGTAGGTCCTTGCAGTGTAGTGTATCCGGAGTGGGGATAACGCGTGGTGAGCTGTTCCACTCAGTCAATGCGTCAGTACAGTCATGAGTGAGCAACCGGTTCCAACGAATTATAATAAAGTTTTTGACGAAGATTTTGGCTCGATTGAAGGCTCAGTATGGAGATGATACCCTGACTAAAACTCCGGTCCTGGATTGGGCCTGAAAGTTCAAGAGTGGACAAGAACGTGTAGAAAATGTGAGTCATAATCAACATCCTTACTGAAAGTGACAGGTGGCTTACTATTTATCCAGTCGCTTTAGGAGTAGGCATTAGCTTGGTGGAAGTGGCCAAACAATCATCAAAAAGCATCTTGGCTTCAACAAAATCTGTGCTCGATGGGTGCCGAAGTTGCTGAACGAAAATCAAAAACACGTCCGACTGCAAATCAGTAGGAGACATCTGAATCGATTTCGGCGGGAGGAAGAGACTTTTTTTAATCATTTTTTTTATACTCCAACTACCACGAAGGCCTAAGGCCTAAACACCCATTGGGTACCGTGGGGCTATAGGGGGATACAGGGGAAAGGGAGAACGCCACACGGACTCTGGCGAGGGAACACGTGTGCATGCAACATGCACACATTCAGGCTCCGCCTACGAGATCCGCCTGGTGGTACCTCCACGTTCGACAGTCAGAGACCGTCTACCACCTACGGACAATCATAACATCCATAGCCAAGAGAAAAATTTCTCCTGAGACGGGACTCGAACCCGCACAGCGCACGGCGACTTATCAGGAGACCGAAGAGTCTACTACTGCGGCCACCGCTGCTGCCAACTGCAGCACCAATATCATGACGTGTGATGAAACATGATTGCATCATTACACTTCCGAGTCCAAGATGGCGAGTAAAGACGAAACCGGCCCCGAGAAAGGCAAAACCCGTCCCTCAGCCGGTAAGGTCCTCTCGACCGTCTTTTTCGACGTGAGTGTTGCTCATTGATTTTATACAAGGCCGACGTACGGTTAATGCTGCCTACTACTGCCAGAAGTTGGAGGCCAGCGAAAGCCGCCTACAGACGCAAACGACGCGGTGTCCCCATCAGAAATGTCATCCTCCTTCATGACAATGCCAGGCCACCTACAGCTGCTGAAACGAAGCAAAAACTTGGTTATATGCATTGGGAACCTCTTGAGCATCCTCCATACAGCCCAGATTTGTCACCCTGTGACTATCATTTGTTTGCGCCCATGAAAGATTCACTTGGAGGATTACGATTTAACAATGATCAGGATGTGGAGGACTTCGTGCGCAATTGGTTGGTCACTCTACCTCCAAGTTTCTACAAGCAAGGAATTAGTAAGCTGTCAATTCGCTGTGGAAAATGTGTAGAGCATGGAGCAGATTACATAGAAAAATAATCAACAGCATTTTTGTATTGTTTTATTAATATATATTAAAAAAGAATTCCGGTTTATATTTGATCCACCCTCGTACTATAAATTTAATGAAATATTGATGAACCAAGTACAATAAAGCCTAACTGAATTAAAGATCCTTGAAACTCACCAAATTTTTGATCATCATCAAGTTATTTAACAAGTTTTGGGCTAACTTTCTCTTTCTATAATTTGCTAATATTCCCAAGCTGTAGGTAAACTGTTTTCCAGCAATATTCAACTCCTTCCTACTATTTCTGCATAAATCTAAAGCAATTTTTAATTGCTCTAAAATCTCGACCATCTTTTCATATTCAGCATTACAACCGTTTTGATGCTCCAAAATCAACTGCAGTACTTTTTTAGACACAACTTGGTGTTGTTGCTTCAATTTCTTGAAGTCTCTTTGAATTTGATCACAGTCCAGTACCTCAGGCAGTTTCTAAAAATGTATATTATATATAGGAGAAGGAGAAGGTAGGCTTTTGGACTGGCCTCTCAAATAACAAAAATTTACCTATATAAAAGTGTCATCATTTTTGAGATATTGAATTTTTTCTTAAATTTAAAAAAAAAGAACGTATTCATCTGTGGTCATTAGCTTCAGGTACAAATAAGGTTATACTTTGTTCATTTTTTCTATAAAATACTTCTAGATAGTTGCTTTATCATATACAAATGCAATGTAGTTAAAAGATATTACGGAACCATGATAAAATAAGGACTGTTCTGGGATTTATAACCTTCTGATATTGTTTCCTCAACTTTTATAAAATTATATCAGGAGCAGGTAAAATAATGTAGCTTTGTACTATTTAGCATGTCACTGATCGGTAACCAGTGCAACTTGAATTTAAATCCAATAATTACATTGCAGTGAGTGTCAGTCACTTACAAAAGCAGCTATCACTTTTTTCTATTCCAAATAGTACGTGTGGTGCCTTCCTGAAATCTACATTCAACGAGCAATGTTTTTATTCAATATAGTGCAGTTATATATAAGTAGATTTTTGTTTCACCACAGATGGTCAAAGTTGAGTAAAAAATATTATAAGGTTATAAATCACAAAATAGTCCTTATTTGATCATGGTTCCTTAATATCTTTTAACTACATTGCATTTGTATATGATAAAGCATCGATTAGAAGTATTTTTTAGAAAAAATGAACGTATAACCTTATTTGTACAAGCAGCTAAAGACCACAAATGATAAGGTTAGTATTTTAAAATTCAAGAAAAAATTCAATATCACAAAAATGGTGACACTTTTATATAGGTAAGTTTTTGTTATTTAGGAGGTCGGTACAAAGCCTACCTTCTCCTTAAGTTTGTCGTGGTACTATATACAGGGTGACTTCGAAGTTGAGTCATTTATTTTAACAGTGAGTAGATCTGATCAAAAGAAATGTTTTTTTCCTTTAACATTTTTCTGCTAAAATTAAAGTAACAAAGTTATAGCCCTTTAGAAGTTTGAGTACCGCCCTGTCTCAATAATAATATTATGTGCTCGTGTTTGGCAACAACGGATATAATCGGAAACAAAAAAGCGAAAGAATTTGAAACGTTTATCACGATGTTTTCAGTCGGTAACGCGTAAGTGAATAGTGGTGTTTGTTGCGTGGCTCAAACGAAATAAAAAATGGCACATGTTTTCGAAAATGCTGAACTTGTGGACATGATTCTTATTTACTCAACTGAAGTTGAGTCATTAATTTTCAGATAATGATTGTAGAAGGAAGATAAACCAAAATATGTGTGTAAAAATAAAAAAAAAATTAAAAAAAAAATTTTACCTTGTTTTATAAAGTATCCTCCCAACAAGTATTTCAGTGCGGACCTGTATTTGATCGTGAGGTGCCCTGTGAGGTCTTAAGTCACCTGATTCACGAGCCCGTTGTACTACATTAACAAAGGCACGAGGGGTTGGTTGCACTCGATTGGGAAACCGATCCGCATAAACATGTGCCATTTTTTATTTCGTTTGAGCCACGCAACAGACACTATTCACACGCGACTGACACTGACTGTATGTATAACTGAACTGAATGAAATAAAAACATCGTTCCAAATTCTCTCGCTTTTTTGTTTCCCATGCGATGAACCGATAAGGTGGATTATATCCGTTGTTGCCAAACACGAGTACATGATATTATTATTGAGACAGGGCGGTACTCAAACTTCCAAAGGGCTATAACTTTGTTACTTTAATTTTACCAGAAAAATGGTAAAGGAAAAAAACATTTCTTTTGATCAGATCTACTCACTGTTAAAATAAATGACTCAACTTCGAAGTCACCCCTGTATATATATATATATATATATATATACATATATAAATTATTATAAAGAATTAAAAATCAGTTTGGCAAATGGTAAAACTGTCTAGTATTGTTAAATGTTGGAGAAGAGAATCCAGTATAATATGCAGGAAGGTATAAATATCTCTGTGCCCCTGCTTTAAGCACTCTCTGAAGAAAGCAATCCATATTGACTGTGAAAATGCATAGTGGTATGCAATCCTTGAAATGTCAAGAGCGTTATTATTGTTACTTCAGAGTCAGAAGTGTATAAGAATATAGGACAACTGTTGTTTCAAATATATAAATGTCATGATTTTGTAGTTGTTTCATATGTATAAGAAATTGGAAGGAAGGAGAGATTATGCTTTCCGAGCAGTTAGGTATTTTGTGTCCATACATTGATGAATGTCTAGGGATAGAAGCAGTTTGCTACGCAAGCAGTCATTAGCTAGTTCAGCAGCAGAAGAGATGACTGGAAAGTGGCCATCACAAACGCTGGTAGTTAGAAGAAATACTGGAATAGAGTTGTTTAAGTGATGGTATTAACGAAATATAAGTGCAAGCACATGTAACAGATATTGATTGAAATATATAAAGTTTAGTAGCAGTGGATTAAATTTTAATAGAAAAGTACCATTATTTATGTGGTATCATTTTGAATTTGGAGCAGAAGTTTTCAGCCACTATGCAAATAAAACATTAATCTTATTATAGAGATTTTCAAATAACAAAAAACTTCTGTTCAAAATTCAGAAGTAATAATAGTATGAGGTGGTGTATGTGTCATAACTGTCAAACTTATAATAGAAGGTACGAGTGCAGTTGAGTGGTTTTGTTCCTTGTGAATAAATTATTACTTATGTTGGCTTAATTAGAATCCTTCCTTCAGGTGGCCAAAGACGGTTCTGAAATGAATTAAGACGAGTAACATCTGTAGTATACTAATGATCTGTGATAATACACCTGAAAATTGATGATACACCTTTTATATGCCTGACCAGTGCTGATTCATGCTTATTGGCAATCATCACCATTGTCAGAGTCTCTAAGTAGGGCAACTAATGAAAGCAGTGTAAAAGTATCCTCTATCAGTGGTAAAAAGTCAATTGAAATACGACAGCACAACTGCCATCTACATACAGGATGATTCAGAAAGTAATGACAATATTACAGTACAGAGTATGTTAAAAAATAGGCAGTTAAAGTTTCAATGAATTGTTCAGTATAGTTCAAAAGTTACCTAAGAAAAAACAATTTCCAGTAGCATCCTTTGGTGTGCCTGTGTATAGAAACCTGATAGGACATTTTTGCAATAGAAAATGTGTCATTTTTTGTGTTCTGTATTATGTACGTGCTCAATTAATATGTTATGGGGCATGAAAGAATAGAAAGCGAAATTTGAAATTAAGCACCTCTAGTTCGAATCTGCAAATATCAAAGTCGTCTCGCATGGAAAAGTAGGCGGCCTCAATACCCTCCAAAATATCTTGATCTGCTGGTCTATCTACTTCAGGCGTCGTTTTGCTGTTTATTGATAATGTAGGCACTTGAGAAAAATGATAATTTGCATCGTTAAAACCCATACTTGGTATTTTTGGTGGCTGAAAGCAAATAATTATGTCAGTAACATTTCGAAAGACGCAAATATTTGTTAGTCTTACCTGTTTGTTTATAAGGCCTAGAAGTTTCTGTTTAAGTTCATCCATTCTATGAGCCATAGTTAAACAGTTTTCTAAATTAAGTAAACAATATTTGAATATTTTGTATTCCAAATATTTACATTTCCATCACCTTCAAAACGTCACTATACGTAAACATTTGACAGCTACCTTACATGACATGACGTCTTCACATGACGGGTATGTCATCATCGACGTTTGAAAGCTTTGAAAGTTGTCAATCTTTAGTCATTTTGACAGTTAAAAAACTTGCCAATTTTTAAATTGTTGATTCGTTAATCAACTAGTTCTTAAATCATTCCTAAAATATGTTTTGCAGATTTCCACTGATTTGTAGATTGATTTCAAATTTCCAAAAACAAAATAGTGACGAATGACTTTATAGATGGCGCAAGAATCGAATTTGATTTGAAGGAAGCCTAAGTAAAATGGCCGCCTAAGATCGATAAAAGTAACAGTGTGTTTTTAGTAAAAATTCGGGATATTTTCATAGAAATAAATGCTTCAAGGTGCGCGAATCTGTGGTCAACTGTGTTTTATAATTCTCTAGTTATTTAGTGATAATAGTTTTAATCCATACGACAAATTCAGATGGAAAATCTCTGAATACATTGCGATTGTTTTACTAAAGGTGAGTACGTGATGATAGCCCCTTACAATGTTAAAAATACAACTTTCCTAGTTTTATGCGCATAATATCAACAAATTAACTAATATAGTTCAGACATCCATGTAATTATCTATTAGCGCATATGCTAATTAGGTAGAAGACACCTAATTGAAATGTATACAAGTTAATAGGTGGTGGGGATGCGATACCTATTTGACAAATTGCTTATGGTCAACATCGGGTCAAACGAACCGCCTCCTTTTGTCTTGTTAAACATGTGTTAACCAAGCGACTAACCAGCCTGCTGCGATACAGACTTACAGACTCGCTAAAAATTCACCATTTTGATTCTTTGGCGATCACCTTTGTTCTCTACTAAAAGGTGATTTGTCGATACTGGAGCTGGATGGCCGCAACACATTTTTACGATGTCATAAAGTGCGAGAGGGCTGTAAACGCTAAATTGGCTTAGTTAATTACTGTTTATTTGTTAAGATGCATTCCTATGATGTGATGGTTATGTCGAGAGGTTTCCGCAATTTATTTTACTACCTTTGTAAACCAAAAAGCTTTTTTATATTTATACCTATGAGATTATTATTGCTTTCAAGGTACTAAATAATAAACACCTCTTGGCGGTGTTAATTAAAATTACTAGGCGCTATGCGGAAGTCAGGAAGTGAAGATAACAGTTGTAACAATTTTTGCTTTGCATTGACAATACTGATAATTTTAATTGCCTTTGTGCTCACACCTGTATTTTTGTTAATTGGAGTTCCTTTGGTGAAGTTAACAATAGTTTTTTGTGATCTGCCTTTATGTGTGGATGTTTCTTTAAGCTCATAGACATGTCTATAGTTTTGTCTTGCCACCTAAAAAATTTTCTTACCAACTACAATTGTCACTGTGTCAACCCTCTTGGTCATGAGCAATAGTTTGTTCTCCATTATCCAAATATGTAAGGTAGTAGTTATTGAGAATTGGCAAGGAGTTATTTTTTTCTTATTCAGCACTGTCACCATAAATCTATATAGTTTATAATAATGTATACGTTTTAATGCGGTACTGTTGCATCTTGTAGAACTTCGGATTTCACTATTTTTTCACTTGAAACTTATAGAGGGTAGTCTTATAGATTATTTTAAATCATAAAAAGTGTGGATGAAGCAGACTTTTCATGTATATTTTTTCCCAAAACACTGTATTTTTTAGCAGTTATTTCCCCCATTATTTCTAGATCCATCTACCATATAACATCTGTCGATATGTCATATATGAGAGGCGTTTACCTGCAGTGTTGCCGGATTGTCTCCATATTTAGGGAAAAATATGAAAATTAGAAAATTTATATACATTTATATTAATTAATGAAACACAAAAACAGAAAACTGAAACAAACAACAGTAGCAAAATTAAAAGCGATTCTTGCTAAGTATAAAACAAAAAATAACAATCAGCAGTAAAATAAAAAGCAATTCTAAGTGATTATAAAAAACAAAAAATTAAAACAGTAGTAAAACAAAAAAACAATTCCATGTAGTTATAAAAAAAAATGGCAAACAGTAAAATAAAAAGCAATTTGGATGGAATGAAATTGTTTTTTGTTTTACTACTGTTTTTACTTTTTGTTTTGTGTTGTCACTTAGAATTGCTTTTTATTCAACCCTTTGTTACTTTTTATAATTACATGGATTTTTTTCCTAGTGTTATTATTTTTTCTTATCACTTAGAATGCTTTTTATTTTACCGTTTCTTATCTTTTGTTTTTTATAATTACATGGGATAATTTTTTTTGTTTTACTACTGTTTTTATTTTTAGTTTTTTGTAATCACTTAGAATGGCTTTTTATTTTACTGCTGTTTGTTGTTTTGTTTTTTATAATTACATGGAATTGGTTTTTGTTTTACTACTGTTTTTATTTTTTGTTTTTTATAATTATTTACAATTTATCATTGTTTAGCTTACAACTGTAAATTTTTTATTTATACTTATTAGGAATTTCCTTTTATTTTGCAATTGTCGTTTGTTTCAATTTTTAGCTTTTGTGATTCATTAATTAATATATATATACAAATTTTTCACTTTTTATATTTTTCCCTAAGTGCATAGCCCAATCGGCAACACCGCAGGCAAGCACCTCTCATATATGACATATTCACAGATGTCTACGTCATATGGCAGATAGCGGAGGAAATAAAGGGTGGAAAGAACAGCTAAAAATACAGTGTTTTGGGAAAAATGTTTCATGAAAAGCGTGCTTCATCCACACTTTTTTTGTATCTAAATAATCTATCAGACTACCCTCTAGAAGTTTTAAAAGAAAAAACAGTAAAATCACAAGTTCTACAGACACAACAGCACCTTCTATTGCTTAGTTGTTTATGCGTCATTGTGTCAAAAGTGAAACATACTTTTGGTAACATATTTTTCTAAAACTAAATATGATACTTAGAAACTGAAACAATTTTCTGTCAGACATGTTGAATTGCAGTGTAACATCTTAATGTATAAGCTGCAGACTGATACCTGTCAGGATGTAAGAAAACTATAATAGAAGTAATTTCCTATAGAAACTTCTAATTGCAAATTTATTCTTGAAAAGGTTCTATAATATGATGTTTTTTTTCTAGAGAATGTAGCTGACTTGAGAACATAACAGCATTTCTTTGAAAAATGGCAACAACCCAAGGCGAGATTAGGGTGGGTCCTGGCAACCAGGTAAAAGATATATATGTACGTTGAGAGTCCGAATCAGACAACGGTAACATTCAAAATTTGCTATTGGCTTAGAATGTTGATTTAGTAATTATTAGAGTTACATGTTGCATGCTCCAAATATTAGGAATATCATTTTTTGATCGAGTTATACAGGGTGTCCGCAAAGTTGGGGTTTTCCTTTTCAGAAACAACTACCCTTGAAATAACAAAGGTAATGTGTAGTGAAACGAGGGCGACCATGTAAAAAAAAAATAAAGGAAAAAGTACTCACTCTCCAGTTGTCGAGAAGGGCTAAGTACGTCTCTGCCTGAAATCGAAAGTTATTCATCCCATTACGCGTGAACGTAGATTCGCCTGTCACCAATATGCACTTCAAAAAGTCCGGGTTATTGTCATGTTGATGCAACAACCACTCACAAAACCGCACTCTTGCTGGAAAATCGTCAGGTTGAAGGGCTTGTACACGTTGGACGTTTGCCACACTTTAGTTTTTGATACTTGCACTTCTCTAGCCACGTCTCTAGTGCTTGTTGAGGGATTCTCGTCTACGCGATTCAGTAGTTCTTCCTCAACTTGCACCATTCGTGGTTGTCTAGGCCTCCCACTGTGCCCACCTCGAAATTCCTCCAAATGGCCCGTATCCCTGACTCTCTGGACCAGGTACACAAATCTGCGGGGCCTTGGATGATGTCGTCTAGGGAAACGATCTGCATACACTCGCGACGATTCTTTTTTTTTTTTTATATCGAAACAGTCGCGCAGGCAGAAGCCTAAATGCCGGAACACCGCGGCTGCTATGATGATCCCAAAGAAATTTTGTTAATACGATTTTTGAACTGCCTAAGGTTAGTAGAACTGGGAAAAGCTTCCTCCCGTAGATTGTTCCACAATCTAGACACCCTCGGGACAAAAGAGCGGTCATATCGGCCAGTTCTGGATGTACGAAGCTTGACACGGTTAGAATGGGACGCCGAAGTCAGGCGGGTCTGTCTGGCAGGCACATCGCGCGGCGGCATCATGGAAGAGAGCTCCGAGGAGCAAAGCCCATTGGTGTAGCGATAGAAAAGAGCTAGATCGCCGACGACCCGCCGGTGCGAAAGAGTCCCGAGACTGTCTGTTAGAGAAGAGTCATCGATAAGTCGGACCGCCCTCCTCTGGACAGCATCGAGCATGGACAATGTAGTCGGGGCGGCAGCACCCCAAATGTGTGAGCAATACTCGAGGCTAGGCCTTATCTGGGCCTTGTATAGAGTGAAAAGGTCATGCGGAGAAAAGTACTTCTTAGCCCTAAACAAATAGCCTAGCTTTTTCCCAGCAGCTGCAGCTATTGAAGAGATGTGTTCGTGCCAGATCAGGTCCTCGGTGATCTGGACTCCGACCAGCCGAAATGAATGGCTCTTTGGTAGAACTCGACCGTCCATCGAAACTGTATGAGCGCTACGACGCTTTTTGTTCGTCAAAGTACAGTACTGTGTTTTGGAAGCATTGAACTGTACAAGATTGTGGCGTCCCCAAGCAGTGATAGCCTCCAGGTCTCTTGTCAGAGAAGAAGTCGTCGCTAGTCTTCTTTTTTCCAGCTCAGCGGCAGAGATCGGCTTGTCACTCTGAATTCCTGCATGTAGAGTGCTGTCATCAGCGAAGCTGTGGATTGGGTTGATCGTGCAGGAAAGGAGGACGTTGATATGTAAGAGAAACAGTGTTGGAGCCAAGACCGATCCCTGGGGAACACCCGCGTTGACGTTGTGGGATGAAGAGGAGAATCCGTCAATTACGACGGATATCTTGCGGCCAGAGATAAAATCAGCCACCCATCTGCAAAGCTTTTCTGGGAGGCCGTAGGATGGAAGTTTGCTTAAGAGGGCAGCGTGCCACAGCTGATCGAACGCTTTCGTGATGTCAAGAGCAACGACATGAGCCTCACCATAAGACTGGATGAGTTTACTCCACAATTGGGTGACGTAGGCTAGGAGATCCCCTGTGGATCGTTGGTGCCGGAAACCATACTGCCTGTCGCTAATCAAGCTGTGACGTTCGAGGTAGTCCAGAAGCTCGCGATTTATGCACCTCTCCATCACTTTACTCATAACAGAAAGCAGAGCTAAAGGCCTGTAGTTGTAAGGGTCGGTCTTAGATCCTTTTTTGGGATGGGCTGTACATGAGCAAATTTCCAGTTTTCTGGGAAGGTGTCGGATTCATAAGATATCTGGAAGAGACGCGAAAGAACTGGAGCAAGCTCCGCTGCACATCTCTTCAGTACAATGGCAGGAATTAAGTCCGGACCAGAAGCTTTGTTGATGTCGAGCGACAAGAGCACTCGTCTTACGGTCTTATGCCTGAAGGTTACCTCCCGCATAGTGTGGGGAACCCTTTGAATTGACGGCACTTGGGCGTTGGTGGGGACGTCCATGGTAGAGTTGGCAGCAAAGATCTTGGCTAGCACTTCCGCCTTGGCCTTTGAGTCGAATACAATAGTTCCATCCTGACACGTAAGTGGTGGAAGGCTACTGTGTGAGAAGTTCTTTTCAATCTGTTTGGCCAGCGTCCAGAAAGACCGACTGCCATTGCGCTGCGACATTACCCTGTGCCTAACTTTTATATCATGCTGGTTTTTGGCATTGCGAACCGCTTCGTTATATTTGTTTCTGGACTCGACGTCGGCTTGTCTGTTCTCTACAGTGGGGTTTTGTAAGTAGGTTCTGTGGGCCTTGATCTTCTGCTGGCGAGCAGTGTCACACGATTTGTTGAACCAGCCGTTGGACCCTGGTTTAGGAACTTTCACTGTGTGAGGGATGTATTCCTCCATTCCGACGTGGATAATTTCGGTTATTGAAGAACAGACAGTCGACGCATCCGCGTCAGTGAAACAGACATCTCTCCAAGGAAAGCTAGAGAAGAAGTCTCTGAGCCCCTCCCAGTCGGCATGTCCGTAATGCCAAGTTTTGCGGCCTGTGCGAGATTCTGCTGCCACAGCGGCTTCTGGCCGAAACCTAACCTCCACAACACCGTGATCTGAGTTACCCAGGGGGGACAGGACAGCAGTGCTGTAAGGGGCAGGATGCGTGGTCAGAAAGAGATCCAGCATTCTACTGGCGTGTGATGAGACGCGGGGGAAAAAAGTAGGGCTCGTCACCAGCTGGGTCAGCCCTTGAGTAAGAGCGAACGCTTCGTCTGCACGACCTGCTGCATCGGTCTTATTTGAGCCCAACCAAAGCTCATTATGGGCATTGAAATCACCGAGAAGAACTACCTCTGAAGCGGGGTGATTGATGTTCAGGAAGTCGATCTGGACGGCGAGGTATTCGAGTAGGTCATCCCAGTTATGATTCGAGGGAGAGCGATAAAGGCAGCAAATAAATTTGGGTGATGTTTTGGAGTTGAGGCGAAGCCACAGAATGTCCTTCCGGTCTGATCCCAAAGAAAGATCCCTGGAGCAGGAAAGACTGCTGCGGACAAAAGCCACAACTCCCCCGTTCTTTCTCAGATTGGAGTGCACCTCGTAGTTTGGGAAGTTGAGATGGTTAATCGGTGCAGTCTCTGAGATTCTGTCGCATTTTGAAGACATTCGCCATAAATTAACAACATATCAACGAGTTCATTATTGGTGTATGAGTGTGCCATTATTATTATTTTTTTTTTTGAAACGCAATCGATTATACGGGTTCGTTACCTCTATACGCGTGACCCTTTACCATCGGTTGAAGGTTGCATACTGACCTGACACACTGACCCCGACCCCCGACCCAGTTCTGTCGTCGGGTTCAGCTAGTAGCCGGTACCAGTCTGGGATATCGCGGTGGGTCGCGGCTGCAGGACGGTATTCAGATATTTTTGATGTTGCAAAGCCCTTTATCCCTTAAGACATTGGTGTATATGGTACTAAGAAAAATTGCTTATGTTTTCAAGATCTACACGTCGTGTAAAGGAAAACCCCAACTTTGCGGACACCCTGTATAGTAGATATTCATAAAAATAAGATTACTAAAATAATCTGATACTTGAAATAATGAAATTGTTATGAAAATCAACAGTTATGCTTAACTTTCTTAAGAAACATAGAAATAATAGCTTAACAGTTGGCTGATTCATCATTAGACTGGAATATCCAGAAAAAGGTTCTGAGGAGGGGCTTAAGAGTGGATCTGGCCTCTCAATTATAGGGGGTTACAGTCATAGTAACACATTTAGGAAGCTGTTTAGAGGAGGATGGGCAGTAGTGGTCACAGTATTAATATTTATCTGCTATTGAAAATTGAGAGGGGGATCATCTCTGTGACATTGGTGCTTCTAAGAGAAAGTGAGTGTACTTGTGACAATTGAGGAGCAGAGGGTGGTGTTGGCGATTGAACATTGAAGCAAGAGGGAAGGCAGGGGTTGGCATCTGGCCTCTAAGAGTCCATATCATCGTGACAAATACGGCCAAGGGATATTGGCAATAGGAAATTGAAAGGTTTGTCCCCCAAAGCCTCCCTGAATACACCAGTGGTCAATTATGATTAGTTTAGTCACCATAATTATATCATTCAAAGTACACTTAGTGTTTGTTTTTTGTTTTCAATAACCATAAATTAGCTATGAGACAGTATCACAAAATGGAGTATGAACATGTCTCTAATTGAATTTAAATTGAAATCTTATTGGCATGATAACTCTTGCTGCATGTCTTTCGGGCTACCTTGGTTTATGGAACTCTATTTAAAATTCATTTATGCATCAAAAAAGCTATCAGGAACATCAAACTTCACATTTTCCTGATCCTGTTGGTCAATAGAGCATAGATGCTTGGGCATACACTAACACAAAAACAGCCACAAGAATTTGCGATTGATTACCTGTGTTTGTTTTGACACAGCATAAATGAGGTTTGAATACAGTATATGTTAGTAGTACTATGTATGTAGTGTAGTAGGTAATATTATATTACTGTAGTTTTGTATGGAAATGGCTGAATATGGTTTTGTTATTGTTATTCATTTAACAAATGACATGAACTGGAACATTTGCTTAGCAAATTGTTTTCAACAGGCATTTGTTGTTATATCTTATTTTTATTGCTAACAGAATTCAACTAAAAATGAGGTCCATGGACTCATTTTTCTTAAAACCATTTTCTCACATTATTTTTTGAAGGTCTGTATAGGAGAGCTGTAGATTTGTAGATTTAAATGATGCAGGCTTTAAGAATAGAATAGAGTTTTATCTCCAATGACTATGTATATAGTATAGAAAAAAGGATACATATATAACATACAATGGTAAACTACAAACATGAGCGATCCATAACATTGAAGTCAAAAATTCAAATTAATACAATCATAACAATAGATATTAGTCATAATAAAAAAAATACAAGTATCTACTTAGTAAATAAAAGTAATAGTATCACAAAACTCCAATGTCCAATTTCATTTGCCTAAGAATACACTAAGCGAGTAAAAACTCCTCTCACATAATTAATTTTTCAACTGTAATTTAAAAATACTTAAATTTACATTCCTTAATAGAGTTGGGAAATTTATTAAAAATTTTTAAACCCATAACATTTGTTGATCTCTTAATGTGGCAAGACAAGAGTTATGACTATGTATAAATCAGATTTTCTTGCTTGCTGTTTCCAAATACCATATATGAATACCTGTTGGATAAATAAATAATGACAGCACAGTTAAAATTTCAAATCTAGAAAACAGATCTCTATATGAGTGAGTTGGCAAAACACTGGCTATAATTCTCACTATTTTTTTTTTATGGACAATAAACATATCCCTAGATGTAGTTGAACTGCCCCAAAAGCTAATTGCATAGGTAATTCTAGTACCAATCTGCGCATGATACAAAACCACTAGCTGATCTTGTTGTAAAACATATTTCAGCATTCTACATTGATAATAAGTCTGGAGGTTCAATATGGCGCCTTTGAGGCATTTGAATGATGATGATAGCTTATACCCCATGTGTATGTTTCCTAATTGAATGTCAGTATTTAAGGGACCAATTTTGGGTCCATTTTGAGGAGAAAACTTCATATGAACATATGTTCTATATGACTTGACTTTTGAGATCTAGTGTGGTATAGTTTTCAAAAATAAATGATATATTATTATTATAGAAGTTTCAATGAAATCTGGCAAACATATGCTATGTAGCAAGAAGCATTTTTTAATGTACCACATTTCCGCCAGTGGCATTTGCATATGACATCTTACCTGCCTATTGTGACACACATTGATGATACGCCACTGATTGATCTTGAAATAAACATTATTCTTGAAATCCCCAAGCATTTCTAAGCAAATTTAATTGCTCCATTTTTTCGATCCAATGCACGGGCTTTGCTTTAAGAGATAAAAATAACGTTTAATTGCATGATCATAACAATATCATTAATGTGACAATATCACCATCCAGAGAAATAGCTTTTATTCCGATAGGTGAAAACCGTGCGTCGGGCTAAAGGAATATAAGAGATCATATCTGCTCATAAATGAATACAGATTTCTTTTTATTTTATTTTAATGAAAGTTAGTATACCAATCTGTATCTGTATAAAAGTTAAGACGTTTAGTACATGCATTAATTTGAAGTGTCTTCTGACAATGAACGCAAAAATCGCCCGCATGAATATTGCCATTGAATCAGGAATCATCATATGTTTCCCATATTCATATAACAGACTTGCTACTGGTTGTATAGTCTGCAGTATAATCATTAATTTCACACGAACCTAATTGTATCCAAGATTGTTTATAAACTGTTACCAAGTATATGTTGGAAACGATAAATTTACGTGCAATTTATCAAATTATGTGACTTCCTGTGTGTATAGTGCTATCTCAGTTACCTGAATATCATGTGTTCAGGAGTACATTGCAAAGGCTTACTTTATGTGTAGATAAAAGCTATAATATTTTGTAACAAAAAGAATCGATAAGTAACTCAATACTTGATTTGTTTTAACTTATACCAGGAACTGTTTTGATAATTTCAGGAACTGTTTTAATAATTTTACTGTACTAATAAACTGTTTATAATAATGATTCACAAAGATGTTAAAGAATAATATTTGAAACTAAATTATTTACCCATTATCATAGTAGGATCATATTATCTAGCATGTTATGTAGCAGTGGATCAACTGCGTTCGTTACGTATATGGAATACCCGTTTGTCAAGTGCAAGTGTTGACATAAAGGTCACAAAGTTTTAGTTTTGTCGTGGAGTGGGTTAAAGGAGCGAAAATTGCTAAAATAAACAAAAATGACTTTTTTCCCATCTAATTCCTTCAAAACCTGATTGTAAAACTCTTATCCACTATGATTTGCATGTGGGAAGTCGTGATATAGCTTCACTGTCAAAATTAAATTATGTACATAACGCGATCTCGTTATGTACATAAGTGTGTATGATACATTATAGTAGGCAAACACCTTTAGGCTTTGAGTTTCTTCTTAACGTTTTTAAAATCAGTTATCCTCATGTATAGGGTGGAAGGCTTAGGAATAGGCTATAAATAAATATTCGTTATAGTTAGTATTACGGGCGATCTGTTGTTAGATTGGTTTTTGGTGTTTTGATACCTGTTGAATACCAGCAAATTTCCAGTTTTGAAGTAGCCTCAGCATGGTGTATACGTATATACTCATTATTTTTTTTCACTCATTTTCACATTTTTCGTGTTTATAATTATTTTGGAAATTGTTAATTTAAAATGTTTCGCAATGTAGTGCTTCTTTCCAAAAACTTATTTTTATGAATTTTTCGGCCTGTGGACTCCCTTGAGCACAGTTATCCTGTTAAGGTCAGTCGTTTATCCTGTTGGTGCATATGCCACAACTATATTGTTCGCCAAAACAAATTCTGTAGAATACCGCCCATTATTATTTATTAAAAGATCTCTCAAATTGTGGAATAAGCAAATCACTGATCTTCCGGCAAAAAAGTCTGTTAAGCATATTTTTCCGTGAAAAAGACTTACTACCGATTGTATCTCTCCACTTGCTTATTTTGATGGTATGCAACACAAGTGTTAGTATCTTTATTAGCAAACTTTGATATAAACTGCATTTGAACCATAGCTTTGTCATAGTAAACAAAGTGTTATTGGTTCTGGGCCCCCTATTATGTTTTGAACTATAACATCCATTATTATTCAAGTGCATTGATTGGAATGGGTAAGCATATATATACATATTTTGTAATATAGCCGGATAAAATTAACTTTTAGAAAACAGTTACTTCTGGAATTAGTAAAGGTTAATGCTGTGGATTCAGATATATTTCATATGACATCCTTATCACGTTAAAATTGCAACTCAGTTGGATAAGAACCGTTTATGTGAGACACAAAATTTGTATTACCTATCAGCAATGTGTCCATTCAACTTTTTTGTTTTAGTGTTCCCTTTGTTAGGCAAGTGAACTGAAATGCCCAGATTAATTTTGGGGTAAATGATTTTTTTATTAAACCAAAAATAAACGTTCGTATCTTTAATATCTTTTGGCCTGTTTCATGTCTATTTTAATTAGGTATACTCAGGTGGAATACGTTAATCAGTGTCTGAATGCTCAATTAGAATAGACCTTCGTGAGGCCAAAAAGTATTTGACGATCCTAGCGCCATCTATCAGTCTGTAGCGGAACCATTCTAACTCTTGTCAAAGTAGATAGACAGTAAATACTATGCACACAAAGTAGGTCTTTGCTTGACGCGTTGCCAAGATTACTGAATCAAAAAATATGAATGAGTGTACATTCAGTTAACTTGAAACGCTCCAGTGATGTGTGAAGTGGTTTTATTTTGTATCAGAGCAGCCTTGAAATATATCTTACAATCATCGCTAATCTTCAGTTGGCTACCGAAGAACTATCTGACTGATAGGTAATATCAAATCTACGGCGTATCTTAATCTGTCTGATCTATTAGGCTCGTCTGCCGGAATACCGGCCTGCTGTGCCCCCGGATCGCCTCAGTCCTGATCCTGAGGCTTCTCGTAGCAGGGAAGAGCCCCGTTGGGTGCCTAACCAGAGCTTGGACGGCGATCTGCTGATGTACCTGCGGGCGGCAAGGTCCATGGCTGCGTTTGCCGGAATGTGCGACGGAGGATGTCCGGAAGATGGCGCTCACGCCGCCAGCAGGGATGACACCACCATCAACGCTTTGGATGTTTTGCACGATTCAGGGTTGGTTGCGTAGATATACAGGATGTTACAGTATGTTGTCAGGACAGTTTAGGGACAGATTCACCGCTTAAAAATATGAAAAATATGTATAATTTTGGACTGCTAAACCCTCTGCACTCATAGTTATCTTTATTATGAAATCTCTCATTTTATATTTATTATAGATTTATTCAATATGCTAGTGAATCTAAATTCACCCTTCAAATGTCGTACGCATGTTACCACCAGTATTACGTAATGGCACCCGTATTACGTAACTTAGAAAGTGATGTTAAGTCGTTTTTTATGACATTATGCACGTTTTTTTTGACATATTGTAAGTTTTCGCGGGGTGAGCTAGCGTAACACCAGCGGCTACCTAGTACAGTTGACTATGCCGATTTTTTTTACGTGATAATCCTGCCGATCATTATAGAATAAATGGCAACATTGGCTTGATGATACCTGGCTAATCAAGAGCTTGTAGCTGTATCTTGACTTCCTTTCCCCCCGAGTTGCCAAATAATACAAATCATTCATCATTTGTATCGATTGTCTTGTGTTCCACATCTCAGAATAAGTGTTTCATAAGATGCGTGTGATGCAGTTCCCACTAGCCGAGCCATTTGATGGCTATCATTTCATTAATGATAAAAAGCCTAAAAATTGGCAACCAATAACACAGCTCTACAAGAAAGTGGTGTGTGCTGGGGGTCACACCATATTTTCCCATGTATTTCTTCCTCTGCCTGATGATGCTTTTAGAATGATGGCGCAACTCGTCAGAGGTCTGCATTTTTATTGTAAAGCTTCTAGGTAAATGTGTCGAATTTATATTTTAGTGTAGACATTCAAAATTATTTTCAAAGTGTCTAGTTATAGGTGAAACCGGCTACAAGCCGCTCTTGTGATCTCTATTATTCAGGAACATCTCAAATGTACGTTGTGACTCTGACTACATCATCAGTTTTTTATCATCCTCCATTGTCTTGTATCGGTTTAATGCAAAAAAAAACAAAAACGGTGAAAAAACATAACCTAATACTATAAACACATTGTCATTTTCGTTATCTTCACTATTTCGGAGCGGTGTAATACCGAATAAATAATAATAAAAGCTGTGCATGAGGGGGCAGGGGATTCCAAAAACAAGTAGCTCAGGTGCATGACACTTTAGAGCAGTGGAACAGGATTGACAGGTGGTGGACAGTACCGAGTTACTCCGAGTAACTCAAATGATCAACTGGAGAGCGGCTCTGCCGGTACCGAACAGGAGAGCAGCGGAATACACCGCACGCCACTGCAAGCGTGGTATCTCTTTGAATACAGCGAGATACTCGCGTTTCCACATTGTCATTACAAAGGAACGCCGGGCCTGCCGTAGCGTGCGATGTGTTTTGCTGCTCTCTTCCTTTTCAGTATCAGGCCACCTTGCAAGAACCAGTGCCATACAATGTTTCTCTAAACAGAAACATGAACTGTTTTTCATCTGGGTGCTGAATCTGCCTGTGTATTTTCCTGACCATATTTTATAACATCTTGTATGAATTTGTTGGCGAGCTTATCTACAACTAAATATTTGTCTTATCAGATACGATCCAGGCAAGGCCTTGCAGACATTAGTAAAGTGTCCCGTACCAAAAGGTATCGACAAAAAATGGAGTGAAGAAGAAACGAAACGGTTTGTCAAGGGACTGAGACAATTTGGAAAGAATTTTTTCAGAATCAGGAAGGATCTTCTGCCACATAGAGATACGGTTAGTATAGCCATATCACCAGTCTTGTGATCTATGTCTGTAATCTGGTATTTTTGTAGCCTGAATTAGTGGAATTCTACTACCTCTGGAAGAAAACTCCGGGCGCGAATAATAATAGGCCTCACAGGAGGAGGCGACAAGGCTCTCTCAGGAGGATAAGGAATACAAGAAACAGTAGAGGAGGTTGGAAATTATTTGCACTATCAGTAATATCCTTGGATAAAATCTGATGCGTATAATTCAGTATTGCCTTACAGTATAGTTGTATTTGTTGCCGTGCTTAATTTCTCTAGATATATCCAATATTCTAAGTTAAAGATGTGTCAGTCAAGATCATTGCGCCTCGGAGTCTCCTAGAACTTTGATCACCTGCCTATATTTTACTTTTACCCAAGTCGTTAAGAACGTCAAAAATTTGCATCAGTTTAATTTTATTCGTGAAATCGGAATATTACTGTGTAGTAATTTAAACAATTTGTGTAATTGAGAAGCAAGCAGAATTTATGAGCTATATATATATTTTTATGGAGATGCTTTTTATCACGTAATCAAATAAATAATAAACGGTGATATTAACAATGTTGACTTTTAAATACCTCAATAAATATTATACAAAGTAGTGGTAATATCCTATTATTCATAACATTACAGTTCACTGTATTTACGTATCCTTAACATGTTCTGCAAACATCTTTGTTCCATTTGTTTGAATTTGATATAGCTCAGACATTTTAATTAAATTTTTAATAAATTTAATTTTGATCGGTACATGTCATGGAACGACGTGGCTGTCTCTAGCTTCTACATGATATCATTCAATATTCAGGAACATGCGGAAGATGCAAGAATATTTATGAAAAATGGGAGATTAATCTTTTTTACCTTACCTAATAATGATTTTAATCAATATTTAGGAATTATGTAATAGCTTCTCGTAACATACTTGAAAAGCATGAAACAGTATGTTTATAAGACATTTTTCAGGTTAGGTGCTCAACTGTTATGGCTTTTGTTATTGATATCCGGTGATCAGCTAATTGCTTTGTCTGACGTCTGTCGGGTTTCTGTACTAATTTAGATCGATATTAGATTTCTAACAAGCTTCCGGTAAAATTTCAACAGACAGTGTTGCTCGAAATATTCCATCGTAAAGGCTGCAGTCTCACATGAATCATATAACATCTGTTTGGTGTCACTGAGGATAGATACCGGGATAGATAACAGTTTTTCATCATCGAAAAAACTGTTATCTTCATACAACATTTCCTTCATATTAACTAAAAACAGAAACATAAATACTGCTTTCTCAATTATTATACAAGATTATAGAAAATAACTATTATGCTACGCCTTTGTTTTTTGTCTAATTTTCCCTATCTACAATCCATCATACTGTTTATGATTTTTTTTTCGGTTTCATGAATTTATCGCATGACGGTTAAGTAATGATAACGTTCAAAGCAGCCAAGCGTGTTATGCGATGTATTCACGAAAATGAACTGGCGATTGTTTTTGACAGGTCGCAACGCTCCGGCGGAAACGGAAAGCAACAGACCGTCACCTCAACCCGGCAAAGAACCCGGCGAAACGAGTTCCGTTACAGAGGATGACAATGATAGTGAGGATGACAGTGACAGCAGAGATGCTCAGTACAGATGCTCTCATTGCTTTACAACCAGTAAGTATACACTTCTTGAGAAACTGGTCTTTGTACTACTCACGTGGAAAGCATTTAGCATAAAATAGTAACTACTTCTATTATGTACAGTAGAACATAACTACACAATTTATAGATTGTTAATAGCTGTCTAGTGGCATTTATTCTTTTTCTATGAATTCATTACACGCCTTGAATCAGAAAGGTTATTGAAGGATTTAAAAAATACTTGAATGCTTTCCGAGCATTTTATTATACCCTTTCAGACTTGGAATCATCATTGACTGATGATGATGAATGCTAGATATTTCTGCTTTTACGAATCTTATTCGGGATGCTACTATAAGAGTATCACCCATCGGGAGCATTATAGGGAGTGTATATGGCAGAACCGACTTGATGTTTCAGGGTGGGGATACGTTAATACATTTATTAACGTCATTGCGTTACCTATTTGCAACAAATCTTTGTAATTTGACAAATTGGGGGATAGTGATCCAAGTTACAGGTTTAATCTATTCATTAGGCCGGCATCATCAAGCTAATGTTGCCTATTATATTACCTACTAGCCGTTACCCGCAAATTCGTATGCTTAATAAGTTTTAAAATAGCTAAAATTTTGAAATCAACACATTAAATCTACTCTATCTTTAGTTTAGTTTAGTGTCCATAAACTACTTCCACGCCAAGTTATCTCCAGTAGAAAAACAACTTTCGTATTAACTTGTTAATGCCTCTATCCCCCTTTAGTCTGGCCCTGTGGGAAAATTCGTTCTTCCTTCCTTCTTCTGACATAAGCTACAGATAGTTAACGAGATAAATTTTTGTAAACTCATGTTAAAAAGTGATAAGGTTCCCCATAGAAATATTCAACTTATTCTACCCCATCTTAAAGGCATAATTTCTTGAATTCTTCATAAATATTTCTCAATTTAGGCAAAACATACTCCTACTTGTAGGCTGGCCTAAATTGAAGTATTCTAGGTTTTTTACCCTCAAGAGTATTAACTCCCACTTCAGCCATAGGGACAGAATTTCCAAAATTTCTTTGTAAGTGCCCAGTTACATCATATCACAGAAGCAATATATAAGCCTATTTGTATCTCTAACTTGAAGAATAGTAGTAAATTTCAACCCCTTTCTAATTTTATATTCGCAAAAAAGGTAGCACATGTGCCTCTCCAAGGTCTAAACTATATATATATACATATATATATATATATATCTAAAAAAATCGGTTCAGCCTGAAAACGGATCGTACATTTCATACAAAAACACACATATACACTTATGATAAAATGCAGTAAACGCACGATGCAAATGAATTATTTATATATCCTTACTCATTTCGGTCGGACCAGTTTTTTGGGCTGTGAAATAGATATTACAACGATATTTCTCGGGATAAAAGTATCCAGTGTGCTATTCCAGATTACAATCTATCTCTGTAACAACTTCCATCCAGATCCGTTCAGCCATTTTGGCATTATTGAGTCACAAACATCCGCACTTTATCATTTATAATATTGAGTAGGGATAAGGACCCGCTGTGCAATACTGGTGATAACATACTGTATGACATTTGAATGGTTCATTTTTTATTCACTAGATTTAATTCAATATATCTGTAATATAAACTGCTGCACGATTTCTTAATTAAAAATAATTATTACTTTGCTATTATTTGTTCCGCTTCCAGCTTTCCATGAGCCCTAAAAATCACATTTTATTTCGATTAAACCTTTCTTGGCAAAGTATTCTCAACAATCTCAAAGTTTGATTTCATTGGCCAGGGAGCATACGCAAAAAGGTTAACATGCATACTGAAAGCATATAATCACTTAGCATTGAATCTTGATTGTCATCATTCTCTTAGGACACTACATATAATTATTTTCTACGAATTCGATTATTCAGTGTTTGTATCAGTATGTTATGTTTAGATTCCAAGGATTGGCAGCCAGGTGGAAAAGATCGACAACTCCTGTGCTGGGACTGCAGGGCTCATTATAAAAAGACGAATGAACTGCCACCTGTCACTAACCCGCCTGCTGGCACGAACAATGCTTCTACAGGTGAACTATAATTTAAATAAAGTACTTAAGGTTAAATCCTAAAATAAAACTGATATTAAGATCATTTTTATTGTAATAGTTACTACATATTCAAGTGTCTGAACTCATTTTATATTCTCATCACCGACGGTGACAAGTAAATTTCTGTATTTTACAGCAACGCAAATTGGTACAGTATTTGAATATCTGCTTATATTTCAGATAATCCGGACGACAGTCCACAACGCATGCGGACACGCAACAAAGCAAAAGAACAGACGAACAATCGTCAACGACCGAAACGCGGCGGTACTGAAACGCCGGAACCTAAAACACCAGTCAAACAATCGAATTCTGAGAAATCGAACTCTACGCCTTCCAACACCCCCGTTAAAAAGGTAAAATTGATAAATCTCGTCTTCAAATTGACCTTAATGTGGTACATCCCTTTTTTTTCAACTACCTATTTGTTTGCATTTTTGTTCATTTTATTGTGCATTTTTTCTTCATTCGGAACTTGTTAACAAATATAAGTACGGCTCTGAAATTGTGTGTGAATATTTCTCTTTTATGGAAGAATTAAGCAAGTGATTAATTTTGTTATTATCACTTTTCATTTTCAAAAATCTTTGATTTTTTTAGAGCCTCATCTCGCAGTAAGTTGAGTTTTCAAGAAAAGCACATATTTTTCGAAGAGAAAAAGTTATAAGAATGAAAGTAATCACTTGTTTCATTCATCCATAAAAGTGGAATATTCACATACAATTTCAGAGCTGTACTAATATTTGTTAACAAAATTAAAAACGATGTTTTTTAGTCATACCTATACACATCATGAAGTGATCAGATGAAAAGGATTTAGAATACTGTTCCGTTTTTATGTCCCTGTACGAGTATAACTACAAGCATATTTAAGAAGCACGAACAGTTTAAGAACATTCAGTAACACCATTGATTAACGTATTCTATCTGAAGCTACCCATCCTAATGCTATATTTCCTCGTCTAAAAGATTATCTGAGATAAAATGAAATACACACCTGTTTTTCTATTTACCATATATACTAGTGTTTCATAGATGGTGCTGTAGCCACGTGTATATGCTAAGCGTAACACGCATGGTTACCTACCAGATTTAGTATAGTACATAACGCAAAAACTTCTGAATACCATATAATTGTGAATTCTTTTCCGAATCAAAGGGCAAACCTGATAAACCCGAAACACCGAACAAGAACCGCAAACGCCAGCAAGACGCGAAAACCGAAGATACAGAGACCGACGAGAAAGACTTGGGCGTACTAAAGAAGAAACGCGAAAGAGCTGAAAGCCCAAGCAGCGTCACCACGGACTCGGAAACCGTGAATGAAGATATCGAGAACACGGAGAACGAGAACGACAACTCAAACGAGAACAGCAATAGCAATAGTTGTCCTCCGTCAACTTCGACTAGTACCATAATTAGTTCTTCCAGCAGTTGTGTAACCACAACGTCTGCACCTGCTACCCCCACTCAAGAATCTCTGCCAAAGTTGCCTGTTAAGCAAGAGGCTGTGGATCCGGTTACGGTGCCCACGGTGGTGGACGTCAAGCCACCTACGCCGACAGGTTCGTCATCCGCGCAGGCGCCTCCGCCTACGCAAACGGTGATCAAGCCACAACCTTGCGCAGAACCGATGCCGCTCAATATTTCTATCAGGTGAGATAGTTAATTGAAATTATAGATTTTATGTTCATCACGTATTTCCTGGCTTGAAGACAGATATGAGTAGCATTTTCCAATATTGGCAACAAGCGGCACTCTACACAGATACATGTATAGGAACAATGAATTCGGATAAATTACAAGGAGCCAAGCGTATATGATTGCATTATTCGTCTCCAAATTTGCTTAGTTTCAGTGCATACTTTGGACTCTATTGACTACCATTGCCTATTAAAGTGAGAGTGTTGTATCTACATAATGCTTACCGATAGAAAGATCTACATTCATTATTCTGAATTTATTGTTTAGTAAAGAATGCTGACGATAAAATATGGGATGTAATAGAAACATATGCATAAATTCGTGGATATGTGTACAGGGTTCTGGAAGTTGGGCTTTCCATTTCAGAAATAAGTATATTTGAAATAACAAAGTTGATGTGCTGTGAAAAAACAGCGAAAAGTAAAAATAAATTTACAAAAAGTACCTACTGTTCATTTTATAAGAAATCTCAAGTACAGCTCTCTTAGCTACTAGCTCTCTAAGAATATTGTTGAAATTATCACAATTGAATTCAAAAACACTTTTTTATTAGCCGTTACTTCAATATGCAACATTCGGGGATGTCAAGGTTAGCTACTCTGCCCTCCTCAACGTTTCTACAAGCGGCCTTTGTACAAGATAATCAAACCTACGGGGCGTGAGGTGGAAACGTCCCGGAAAATGATCTGAATCAACTCGAGAAGTATAAGCACCATCTTGTAAACGTTCATGGTAAAACATCGCCAAGATTGTTATTGCTATGGGGATGTGTCGTTTTTTATCTGATTTGTAAACAAGTTACTTATTTGTTGGATGCGAGTCTTAAATCATAACTAGATTTGCTTGTTCATATATTCATTTTGCTCCAGGCTCCCAGATGACATCAACGAGCGTAAAAATCTCATAAAAAGAAGCCTAGATGGTGCTCTGGAAAGCCCCGAGATAAAATATCCTCCAGACGGATTGAAGTTCAATCCAGACTCTATGAAAATAAATACAGACATCAAGTTCTCGCAAGAATCCGAATTCAAGGACATCAAGCAGGAAACTGTACCTGTAAGACTCGAAGAAAAAGTTGAAGATGTTAAGGATGTGATGCTTCCTCAGCAGGTGTCAGTGGTTCAAGAAAAACCATTCAAAACGGAACTCATTATCCCTAAGGTACATACCATGGACAAGACTGTCATCAAAGAGGAAATGGACTCTTCCAATGAGGCTATTAATTTGAATCCCATTAAGATACAACACCCACATGAAGGCAGGAAAGAGCCACATGAGAGTCATTACAAAGAGAATATCTTCATACCACAAAATCTCAACAGCATGAAGGAACCAATACAGGTAAGTAAGCATAATTTGAACTGTACAGAACTCTTGTAAACGTTCTCCAAAATGTTGGGAATTAGATTTGCTTAAATTAAATCCTCGCGTAATGTATGCATTATTTCAAGACAATTAGATTACTAAAAAACTTGCAATTATTCCATAAAGTAGGAAATTTTGAACGAATGTTATCAATACCCTGTCGACAAGAAGACCCATAGAAGCTGGTCTGCCCCAGTGTTCGATTCTTGGGCCATTTTTACTTTTTTCGCAGGACATTATTCAATACAAACTATCAATTATTTTCAGTACATGAAGGATCCAGGAATAATGAACCACATGTCCTCGAAACACAATCTGAGCGTAAAGGATCCCCAACAAATAGAAAAACACAAGGAGCAGATAATCAACATGAATCATTCGAGCTACATGTCAGACATGAAGCCAGAACCGCCATCTTACGGCGGATATCAGAACCCACCCTCGAATCCCCCTCCAAAGGACCCGAATGCGAATCCGAACGCAACCACTGCTGTCACGATCAACAGTATGAATAATACTGTGATCAAAATGGAGCCCAGGGATGAACCGATGGAGTTGACTAGTCAGAATAGGAGCGAACCGAGTCAGCAGTATGGTGGAATTCAGCCTCAACCACTTAACATACCACAAGTGAGTTATCTGTTATTTGATATCCAGTATTTTTCTACTCTACCATAACTATCTAAAACTGTAACGACTCATCAATATTCACGTGAACATCACTTAATCACCGGTAGTCGAGTTGTCAGTGGTGGGGTATGAATTTTTAATGTGGGTGAACTTGATTTCTTTTATATGTTTATTAAAAAGGAAATGATTTGAAAGACGTTAATAGATCAGAAATTTGGAGATGAGCTAATTGAGTCTACCTCTCTTCATTCGTCGTCGCTTCCACTTCCATCTAAAAATAAGCTGTCCCTATCTGTTTCTTCTCAAAGATTGGCTATAACTGGCTCCATCATGGTGTGGATGTTTTGGTCAAGCTTCCACATTTTGGTTTCTTCCTTCACAACATGACGGACAGCATTCTGCCACGCTTCAGGCCTTACTAGCTGTATGGACTTCTCTAGCAAAGCCTTGATGACTGGTAATTTAAAAGGTGTGTTAAGGCTCGCAATATAACCCTTCACTTGAGCCCAGACAAGCTCTATTGGGTTTAGTTCACAATGGTAGGGTGGTAAACGCAGCACAGTGACACCACAATGACGGACCATCTCATCAGTCAGGTAACTAATGTTCGCAGGTTTGTGATGTTTAATTCTTTCGTTCAGTTCCGCTTTCACACATGAGTCGTCAAACGGCATGGCCTTTTCGCGCAACCATTGATGCATCTCACTTTTTCGAAGCCCCATATTTGGTACACGTTCGGCTCGACGACTGTGGTTGGTAGCATTATCCATGACGACCACAGAGTTGGGTTCAACTCACTGAAGCACCCCTTGAAACCAGCTCTCGAAGCAGCTGGCATTCATTTCGTCATGGTAATCACCTCCTTTCTTAGAGATGAAAGCCACTATCGCTGCCAGTATGTGTAACGATCAATCTTTGACCTTTCCCTGATGGTGCATGAAGACCTGTTGACAAATCTTCAATGCTTGCTTGTCGGTGACTTAGTACATTTTCGTCTATCCAGGTTTTTTTAACTGTGTGACCTGCATTTACCCACGTCTTGTCCAAATAATATATTTTTCTGCCCAGTCGTGTATATTCAGTTATTGCGCGTAGGTATTTTCGACGCCACGTTACTATTTCAGGTTTCTCTATCAATCCTGACTTCCGATTATGCGTTTCGTAACGAAAATTAAGTTCCTTGCATATATAACCTCAAGGTTTGGTATTTCATTCCTAATGAAGAATGAATGTACGGTTCGTCGTAATGTCATTTTGCTTACGCCATTTACTTTCGCAACGCGTAAGTGTATCTCCCTGCGACTTAGTCTTGTTCAGATAATTGAACACGTTCAGCACGATTTCTTTCGCGTCCTTTTTCAGTGCTTTACGAAGCCTTCTACTTGTTCCCTGGCTTCCAGTACTTCCACTCCCAGTCGCACCCTCCATGGTTAAGGAAATATAAGTATATGCCGGACAATAACAACAGAAATTACCAAATAACAATTCTTCTAACAACAAACAATATTACGCGATAACTAGACTCTCAACGAAGTAAGCACTACTAGTCTACCCCAATGTATCGGGCCTTGTAGCGTGGAAGCGCTGAGGCGTCGTCTTATCTTAGGACCGGAATCAGTTTTTATTTTTATTTTCATTTATTATGGTGATATTTTGACTGGTTTTAATGTTTTATTACAAGTAGACGAGCTCATCAGTGGAAAAACAATACGTTATGATTTTTAAGGCCATCTTGAATTGCAAAAAGTTGTAAAATATAAAATATTAATGCAAATGATATAATTCCCAAAAATGCAAACTTCTTACTAGAATAACCTCACGGCTTTGCCCGTATAATAGTCGATAGTGTTACAGGCAAACAGGATGCCGCGCGGCATCAGCTATTTGTTCATTGTCCAGCAGCTGAATCGTAATGCAAAATCTACATTGAGTTAGCAAATAAAGCCGACTATAATTTTCTCGGGGTAATGAGTATAACTTGGCGAAGTTCCACGGGATTTCGTGTCTCATGGCGATCGGACAAACTTCCTTGAAGGAAAAAAAATGATAATCACCTGAGCGGGGTGGAATGAAAGCCCAAAACTCAACCGCTTGAACAAACCAAGCCATTTGACACCCGTTCCAAAACAGGAAAGGACCTAATAAGGCAACTAGAGGTAAAGTTACGAGTATTAATTAATAAAAAAACGGGAATATTACGCGTCAAATTTAAAGTATCGAAACGCAACGCTATTGGCGTGTCGTTACGATGTCAGCAAGTGAGCGCCAATCCTTTGTCGCTGCCATTGAATCTTTTACCTATCAGTTTTATCAGTTCCAAAGAGTATTGGTTGTTGCGAAATCTACGACTGAGCTATATAACTGCAATGGGTTACGCCCCTTTTTCAACATCGATGTCAACACCGTTTGACAGCGAACGTGCCTACCTGGGGTGCGTTAGTAATGTAATACCTTATACAGTAATGGAATGTAAATTGACGATGAAGTTGTACTCTGGAATAATGTGGAACATTATTTTCAGAACGCCAACCATTGTTTTATTACAAGAAACGCCGTGGATACTTGATACTCCATTTATTGTGAAAAATATATATTCAGCCAATTTGAAGCACTTTTTAATTTCCAAATAAAGTAAATAAACAATGAGAATGACAACCGACACCACTCTTATTCCCAAGGTTTTGAGGACGGAAAGAAGTGTAGTTTTGACGCTCCAGAAGGATTTCTTTTCCCATTTTCGAACGCATAGAACAGGTACGTCAAACAACTACGAACGCTGACATTGTTACCGAGTAGTACTAAGTAAAGTTGCAAGTACTTTGAAATATGATTCACTTGACGTTTGCATGACGAAAGATAAGTAATCTTAACATAGGTGTTTTGTGAATCGCTCGGCTTTGCAGCTTTTCCGAGGTACTTATTTATTACGTTTAAAAAAATGATATTTGTTTTCATATCATCCAATTCAAGTTAGGATAATACCGAAATTCGTGATGATATGAATAAAAACATACCCGTAGGATTTCTTCACGAATTAAATATCGTGTGCAATGGGCTGTAACTAATTACTCATCTAAGAATTTTTCTCCCTGTTTGATAACAACCAGAAGGCAATACGGACAAATCTCAAGTACCTATAGGTATTTGAACAAACAAAACAATGCGAATCGATGCATCTATTACACAAGTCAAGTGGACGAAAAACTCGCCCGGGAGCTAAACATGAACGCTGAAAATCAACATTTGTGTGAAAACAACTTTTGAAGTGAACACGAAAATGTGTAGCTCAAGTCGTTGAAAAATGGCGCCAAATTTAAATCTCGATCTACAATTAGAGCATGTTTTATTTGGAACAGTTGCGGTATTGAGTCTTCCCATTTATTCCTATGTCAAACATGCATCCGAAGCTCTAGCATAGCTCATTTGTTTTTTTTATTTGTTTCAAGATACAAATAAGAAATTTTGGCATATGTCGCAAGAAAATTGACTTATAAAAATTGAGAATACATATTGATTTCAAAAGAAGCGTGTATCAACACATGCTAGAAAGAGGTAGAAGCCGGCTGAAGAACGAATGTCGTCACTACTTTGCCTACCGACGGTGGCACAGAAAGTCGTGCAATTTGCCGCGTTGCCAATATCTTACACCAGAAAATGTTTGGATAGGATTCTGTAATAGGTTAGGTTACTGTCAAACATAAGAACGAGGTCTGTTCGAATACTTAGTGTAAAAGTTTTTTTCCATTTTCATTAGAATTATTTATTTCAATTTTGATGTGACTTAATGTTTCAATTTATTTTAGATTCATCTTTGATTTCTACCGATGGTGATAAAATCAACACATCGTGAGTTATTGTTACATTTTGTCGCAAAATGTAGCAAACATCATTACGCAATGCAAATTATCACTTCCTGCGCGTACCCAGGTGAAAACCATTTGGTAGCAGGACGACAATCCTCAATGAACGTCAGATGGATTCTGACCAAAATCGCTCATCTATGATTATAAAGGTGGAAACCTCGCCTTGGATTGTACGAGATCGGTGTTGTCAAGCGAACCAGTGATGCAATGTTGCAGAAGTTGTGGTGATCCTAACCTTTCATTTCGACCTAAAATGGAACGCCGTTAGGGCTGATCGGAAATCGATCCTATATTCGACACAATTCATAAATGTGTACGCTCAAATTAAAACCATTTTTTGGGCATAGAGAATAAACTAACTCATATTTTCAAGATGGATCTTAATTCAAGGAATTGGTGTAACATATTGGCAATGCGGCAGATTGCCGCGTCAACGTTGATAGGCATCCCGAGGATGAGCTTCGCTAACCAGCCGGCTTCTATCTCTTTGTAACATATATGTCTACACACTTCTCTCTCGTACATATTGAACTCAAGCCGCCTGACAAATTTAGTTCCCAGTGTATGTTTTGTAAGAATCTCAGGTTTGTAGTATGTAAAAAGTTACTAGATACAAGGGAGCCTTAAGTAAAATATCACTCTTCTTAGGTAATACCAATGGCTCAGAGCATCCCTTCGAGTATACGACCTCCAGACCTCTACGAAGAAGAAAAACGCCTGGAGAAATTGGAACGACCTGAAAGGGTGGATCGACCGGAACGAATCGACAGACCGGATAGGCCGGACATCAGCCCAATTACTTCCGGATCTATTGGTCAGCCGCCGTTGCCCAGTCTCATGCAATCCAACAATTTGGTTACCATTGGTGGGTCTCAACCACCTCCGCCTATCAGCCACTATGGTTTCATGACGGGAGTGTCACCTTTTAACCATCCGCAAAGTCCTAGGAATATGGAGAAAAGTCAGCAGCATTTGCCGCCGACCAGCCAGGCTCAGAATCAGAATGAACCTCAGAACTTGAAGGTAAGATATCATCGACATTAGTATGTACAGGTGGTAATCCCGCGAATCTAGCAGATAAAATTTCTCAGCCCCGCAAACCTTTTGGACTGTATCTGGCCGTACTCAGTTTTCATACTGAAAGCTGGAGTACAACAGCTTTTTTGCTGAATGTTCTATAAGCTAAATATAGGATTGACCTCAAGCTTGCATTAAGGCTGTTATATTGCTTAAGTTTCATATGGTCAGTTAGCTAATATTTTTATGATTTTCCCTTTATCAAATAAAAGATGGGAAAACAAGAAACGGAAACCACACATTTATAATAATAATAACAATAATCATAAATGACTTTATTGGTTAAACACCAAAAGGCGGACTTCACAAATTATGATTTTCCTCTTAAACTAAATTTTTGATTATTTCATAAACGATTCCCGGGACTTTCGTCAACTTTTGTGGTGTGGTGTGTGAATATTCCTCTTTTATGGAAGAATTAAGCAAGTGATTAATTTTGTTATTATCACTTTTCATTTTCAAAAATCTTTGATTTTTTTAGAGCCTCATCTCGCAGTAAGTTGAGTTTTCAAGAAAAGCACATATTTTTCGAAGAGAAAAAGTGATAAGAATGAGACGATTCCCGGGACTTTCGTCAACTTTTGTGGTTGCATTTTAATGTGCCTCTAGTTTCATATGGTTGGTTTTTAGAACATTTTCATAAATGTTCCTGGCAAAATGGAATAATACAGGAAAATATCGAATTTCCCAAGAGTCCATATAATCTAATCGTATTATCAAATTTCCATGAAATAATTGTAAAGTTTGGTTTTATTGATGCAAGTTGTTCAAGATGGTATAAAACGTTGACGCATGAAATGTTTACACCAATTTGTGTGGGAAAACTTTTTATTCGACAATAAAAATTGAGAAAACGTGTTTTCTGGGATTCAATCGTAAGTGTTCAAATAAGATTTTTTGATATCTACCAAACCTACAAAATGAGACCATACGTAAAAAGATCAGACTAATAGCAAAAAAGTTATGGCCGAAACCCTAATTTCAGGCAGCTACTTGAAATTCTTCAAATACGTAGGCTTCATACTTCTAAATAACCGCAACAAAGTTAGAGTAGATCGGTCAAACAATTTCTTAAGAATTTCTAATTGTTTTTCCCAAAACACCTGCTTATCGGCCATCACTACTAGTTTAATCGACAATATACAGGGTTTGTTATTTCTTTCGTTCTTTGTTGTCTAATAAAAAGTTTTCCCACAAACATTGGTGTGTCCATTTTATGCATCCATGTTTTAAATACCCGCTTGAACAACTTGCATCTATAAAACCGACTTTACAATTATTTCGCAAACCAACCAGGGGTATTTTCGTCTAATATGATTAGACTAATAGAAATGTTATTGACAGAACGGTCTACTTCATTCAAACTTTTGATGATACAACTTATTAAACATAAGACATAATATAAGACATTTCATTATTAGTGTGGTTTATCTCACTTACTAACCAAGTTAAATTTGGTGGAATCACATAAATGCACTTGAAAAGAAAACATGACTTTATATTTTACCTTTTTAACAATTTTTAAAAAATGCATACTGGAAAGAATGAAGTTGGATACCTACTGTCAATAGTTGCGTTCGTTTTACACACAATTTCAGATACACCCACCACACCTTAGTTTGCTCATTGTATTGCAATATCTTTTTGTTTTTGCCAAAACTCAGTTTGAATGAGGTGAGATTTCTTTTTTGTACCCTTACTCCAACTACATTACCAACAGACCAACCTCAGAGTGAGATTTGTCCTCACTAGCAGGTTTGAAGTTAAGTTTGTTCTGTTTATCTGCAAAATCCACGGAATCAAATTGTGATCACTGATCTTGGCAAAAATGTTTGTCTTGTGTGTAGCTAAATGATAATTTTTTTAAGTTATGTTCTGATCAAGGTTAACTCAGCCGTTCTTTTTGAACTGTGAAGTAAGCCAGTCATTCACTAATTTGACAGCTTCATCTCTGGACTAACTCACTTCTCTTGCAAAATTAAGACAACTATTAACAAGTCAGCAAAACTGTTATAAAATTTTGTTGTACCATAAGAGCTTAGTGCACTATACATTATAGCCATTGCGCACCTTCCAAAAGTGTATCACTTTCCTTTCTTCACTTAGATCAAACAAGAACTGCCAGACACACCTTCCACTCAGTCTTCTCAGCTGCCACCGGCAACGAACCATTTGAGTAGTTTAAGTAGTTTTGGTCCTCCTCAACAGTCTTCTGTCTCCAATGGCTTCATGACGCCTTTGCAGCCTCCACCACCACCCGCTGTTGATCCTCTGCAAAGTTTGAAGGATGTTAAGGTAAAACATACACTGAGACCCGTTCACGGTATTACGATTACGGTATTTCAATCAAATATGTGCCGTCTGCAAATAATTGTGTCGGACTTATTTATCCGTGTTTTTGATGACGCCTAACCCAAAAATATATTTTTCAGATTCCTGGGTACCTGCCTCCTCCTCAACCTCCAACCTCGCAACCTAGTAATGATCGAGGAGACAGGCCTCCATCGGGTTCTCAAGTGGAAGTGAAAAAGGAATTGGACTATGGTTCTAGACCTGCAAGTAGCGGTCCAAGTCCGAAGCCTCTGGTCGAGAAATGTACCACGCCAAAGACGAATAGTAATACACCTACTCCCGGAGCACAAATCTCGCAGACTCCGCCGCCATTGAGGCATCAAAGTAAGATACGAGTTTTTGAAGTAAAGTCGTTATCTGATATTTGCCATTTTAAAACTGTGAAAACGTATCATTTTGTCAGCCTCTTGAATATCCATCGAATGTAATTTTGCAAACTTTCTAGGTACATCTAGGCTATTGATGAAGATGCTCAAAAATCCTTAGTTATTAGTAATCTCGTCGATAGCTCCTTTCTTGACTAAATTAATAATAATAATATTTATTCACTCAATGTACAAAGATAACAAACAATATGAGTAAATAAATATAAAATCAAAACAGGTCCAATAGAAGGCATCGCCTGTACATGGACCAATAATTTAAGTTGAAACTGTAGAATGCAAATGACAAAAAAGGACAAAAATTAGCTACAGTAGATTATGTATTTAGTTGATGTTCGTATTTATGAGTTTATGAATTTCAGTCCTAGATATAGAATGTAGCCACTTTTTTAAATTTCTTTTGAAACAATTTCCGAAACGTAAATCTTTTAAGTCTTTATGTATAATTTCATAAAATTTAGGCGCTAAATAGAGATATGATCGCTGCATTATTGGGTCTATAGATCACGAATCCGATGTCAATTTTCGAGTTCATTGCAAGCCCCACTCTAAATGGGCTTTCACAACACTTTGGCATTTTTTTGGTAACCATATTCCACATTAGCATCGGAAATTACACCTGTATACCGAGTTTCGGTTATTTGTAGCAACGGGAGACGAAAATGGAAAATTGCTCTGACAACCTTTTAAGTTTAAACAATGAAAACGGTTACGTAGATCACTAATATGACGTCATATTTTCGTAGAGATAGGCGAGAAACGTCAAAAAATACTTTTCTTACTTCAAATAGGTCTTCGCGACATTTTTTTATAGCTATATTTGAAATCCAGCCTCCCAAATTACCCTAATATACTGAGTGCCTTTCGCTTGCAACAGGAGGCAAGAATAAACATTAGGAGACGAGAATGGAAATATTACTCTGAGAAAATTCAAAGTCTAGAAATGTTTGTATGAAGTTTAAGGTAGAAATACGTGAAGTAACATACACTGTACTGTTCTACCTCGTTTACTAACACTTTGTTCGAACTCATAATGGAAACAATAGATAGATAGATTTATTTGCCAGAATATATACATGCCAAAAATTACATTTCAAGAAAATGGACTAAAATATCTGCAAATAAATAAAATAATCCCGCAGAGGGGAAACCCTTGTGCGCCAGTAAAACGTTTATAATTTGCCGCATTAAGAGCTTAAAATACTAAACAGTTTTAAAACATTTTAATAAATGGTGAAGTTTAACTAAATTATAAAATCAAATAAAGTAAAAATTTTTGTTCAACGCTATATTGGTGTTTTGCAATTTCAATCATTTGTTAAATGTATGGGTATGTTTAAGATTCATATTTTATTTCTGAATATAGTGACAATGTCAAGATTGTGGTCTAGGGCTATATTGGTACTTTCTTGAAGTCAATCATTTGTAAAATGGTCATATCTGGGTAGGCTCAAGATCAATTTCTTTATTTCTGAATGAAAAAACCTTTTAACTTTATTTGTTTTATCTGTTGTGGTATCATATTGAAACACCTGGGGCGTAAGAAAATAGATGACCATTGTAGAACATTCTGGTTTGGGGACATCAATATAATTTTTCTTTCTGGTATTGTATTCATGTTTGGTATTATTAATGTTATGCTAATTTTTATATTGCCAGGTCTGTATATTCAACAGATATATCTGTCTGATATCAAGAATGTTTGAGTATTGGAAATGTGAAATGTGCTATACTGCCGCGATTTATTAAAGGGACTTTTTAGTAATGCTTTTTGGATTATCGCCAGCTGTCCTAAATGTCAACTATGTGCCACACTCCAAGCAATGATACCATATTCCATAAGGCCTTGCTCTAGTGAATAATAAATAGTTAAAAGATATCAGAGGCTATGTTGATTTGTGTCTAATTTATAGCACAATAACTTATTACCAAAATATAATATCAAAATTGGTAATATGCCTTCTTTGCATAATTAGTACCGTATTCTATTACAGGTTCGCCCCATTCAGCGATAAACCTAGTCAGCCCGAGCTCGGGTCCACCACCCACCTCCTTGGCAAGCCAACCGCCTCCAGGCGGCCCTCCAACATACGGCTCACCGATGCACCCGCACCATCCACACCTAGTACACCCATCCTTCCTTCACATGCAGTTCCACCCTGCGACGCACCCCTATTCCGCTTACCCCTTCTCTTACCCGTACCCGTATCCAGTACCGCCCCAGCCACACGCAATCCCACCCCCTACCAGCCGAGGCGAGCTTCCTTGCGTCCCCAAGGCTATTGACACTGTCAGCGCTACGTTGATGTCGTCACAGCACTCTACAAGTAGCACCCTAACCTCTAAGAGGGAAACCAGGGAGTCCGACGAGAATGGAGGGGAGAGACACCAGACGCACGAGATGACCTTGACCAATCATCAGAGCACGTCGCATAATAGTTCTGTACATGCTACGGTCAGTATTGTTTATAAAACTTGTATGATTAGAGACTGACAAAAAGAAGGGATTGACCCTGTACAGTGGTCAGTAGAGCTCAACAAGAACACACTGTCACTGAAGTCAACGCCAGTTTCATATAAAAAAGTCCTCTGTATAGAAGCGTAATACTAGCTTTAATGATCTGATATACAAAAAGCATACAGCATTTTGAATCTGTAAAATAGTCTTGGTCATAGTGACATAGCGAGTTAAATGAAGGGGACTTTTTACTGTTTTTCATATATATGTATATTCACTGTTTCCGTTTTGTGCAAGACTTTAGCCTGATTTTGTTCTTGTTTCAGGTGGACAAACACAACTACGGTAGCAGTCACAGCATCACAATTTCACACAGTACAAGTACCAGTTCGAGTCAAAGTGTGCAGCATAAGGTTAACCAGAAGACTGTTAGAGCTAGTTCACCACACACTCCAGTATCACAGGTTAGTAAATAGTCAATGATAACAATCGAATCAAAGGTTAAATCTTGGAGCCTCTTGTATTGCTGTAGATGTTTGTTGACCCTATGTAATCTTTTAGCATTTCATAAAATTGAGCAAAAATCGATGCAATTCTTGATTATATATGTAGGACATCAAGTAATTTTTGTTTGCAAATATGTTTAGTGACTGCTTCTAAACTTTTTCCATTAATTTTGCATATTAATCATGTCTCGTCCTTGTTAAGTGCTACTAGGTAAGGTGTGTTAAGGCATATCAGATGGTTTTTTCTTGTAACCTGATATCCAACTTCAAACGTTGATGACCACTTAAAATACAGATATATTCATTTTTTACTTCCTACTTCTCTGGTCAAGGAAGTATTGTAATCGCGAAAAAATCGAAAATGGTTATTATATGACATGTACATAACGAAACACCATGTCACTCATTTCCGTCGGTCTGTCTGTCTGTCCACCAATCCTTGGACCGCCTATAACTTGTCCTGTCGATGAGATCTTCACCCAAGATTAATAATATTCCAAAGATGACCAATTCTTAGAGAAATTTGAAAATCGGAGCTAGGGCAAAAACAAATAATATAACTCGCTCAAACTTCGTTTCTTAATGCTTCACAAGCTCCTGAACATTTTCAAAACAATTATGAGTATAAATTCGGGGGTGAGGGAGGGTATATCTCATTTTCTGGTGGCAGTATATTTATACGCTTCCAACCCCAGTATCAGCTCATATTTCACACATCAAAGGTTTCCCCGTACATTTGCCCTTAAAATTTGAAATATTTACAGACGCGACACGCGTTTGGTCGGACCGACGCGGTGGCAACTCGTACGCCCAGCTTTGTCCACGCCTAACTGACGTGTTTGACTGGTGTGGTTCAGCAGTGGTGACAGATGAACCAGAATCGATACTTAGGGGGAAGAAAGTAGCGTTAGCGTTATCAAATATGGACTATGGAGAATGGACTACTTGAATATGTTTGGCTGACCGGACCCATTTACATTTTGTGTTATACATGTTCATAGCTATCTCAAAGGGACTAACTTGGGCCGAACATAATATAATAAAAAATAATATTTTTCAGATTACCTCATCATCAACATTGAATCACACGTCTACCTCCTCAACGTCAACAAGCAATCACCAACACACCCATCACCACACGCATTCGCATCATGAACGGTCGTCTCCGTTGCTGCGACACGCTGGAATAGGCGGTAAACCTCCCACTCCACAGGCAAACCCTCACCATTTGATGATTCAACCGCCGAATATGGGCCACCATCCTTCATTGGGTAAGATTTGAAAAAACTACAATAACAGTTACTTCATAGTAAACGCAACTGGGAAACCATATTAGTCAGAAGCATGGAAGCAGACATGACCGTGTTGTCGTGTATCATGGTTACATAGGACACTTTTCTAAACACAGTTAAGAATTGAAGTAAAATAGGCATAGTGTCCCTTCATGACCAGGAAATATTGAGGAAAATTGACAGCATACTGCTAACTACGTTGATAACGAGCATTTTGTTGAACCACACTGCTGGCTGCCTGTGTGATTTTGAAATTATAGGAATTCTCAATTGAATGTCACTCGTAGTTAAGTTGGGTTGCTACTATATTCGACCAGGATTCTTCGTCCGCTGGCACGTGCTTACTGGAATATTCCGGGAGGGAATCATTGGGCTCAAGCCTCCTTTCGGTCAGCTCTTCAATTTTCTCTCGCCGATACCACCCCCTCTCTTTCTTCAACTATTACAAGGACATTCGCTCAGAGGTACTGGTACTGATGCAGCAGACGCCACTACCAACTCCCCACTCTTCGATGTTCAACCTCCCACATCATCCTAAACATCCTGACTGATTCTGCGCATATTGTTGCCTTTAGCTGGGTTATTCCACAGCGCCCGCTTCTGTATCAATCTCTAAAAGCACGCTAGGAAATACCGCGGCAAAACATGTTGTTTCTGGCCGATATCCGACAGTATATGGTATTTTTTATGAGTCTACATCATGTCAAACGGTGACAATTCTAACGGACCCGTCTACACTAATCTGTACATAGAGACGTATTTTGTTGTGTTCTTTCGTACGCTATCGATTCATACTTCCTAACAACGCGACTAATTAGTAAAGTTCCTTCGCAAACAAGAATAAACGGTACAAGCAAAATGGCCGTTAATGCTCATAACTATATTTCAAGTCAGGTAGGCAATCAGTTATGAATACGACCTTGAGTTTTATCCGATTAACACCCGATTTATTATTGCCAACACCACAGACGTTAATACAAAGATGTTACTTGTTGATCAGTTGTTCACCTCGGTAGACGTCAAAACGTATTGGAGACTCGTGAGAAAGACCATACGTCAGTGTGCACCGAAATCTGCCAGGTTATAAATGCTTTGGTATGCTGGAAGTTGCGAGTTGTGACTTTTCAAAAATATGTACTAATTTGTAAGTATTTCTTAATCCATTGTAACATTTTTTTCTCATTAGGACCTCCACCGCATGGAACAAGTTCTCTGGACGCTCTAAGGGCTCACGCAGCCCAAGCAGCGGCCAATATGGGCCAACAGGCAATGCCCCCGTCACCCGCGGGTGGTCTGCAACCGAGACAGGAGGATGTCAAGGTGGAGGAGCCAGAGCCGACGACGCCCGAAGAAGACGTCCAAGCTAGTCCTCCAGGTGCGCCAAGAGGCCCATCTCCTGAACCCAGAATTGAGGATGCGGAGTGTCACAGGAGTCAGAGTGCAATGTAAGTAACTCTGAGTTGGTATATTCTCAAGTGGGGTCAAGTCAACAGCATCTTGAAGACTCACCGTATACCGATACAATATTGACAAGTTCCTTATTGCTTTAATAATGTGCTCCATTCGCTTTTTTAAAATCCAATGTCTAAACAGTTTGGTTTACGTACACAGTGCGAGGCTCCCGGGTTGAGTACTTGCACACGTTGTATCTTCTCATTTAATTTTTTGTGCGGAATTTGATATTGCAGATTCTTTTATAACCTAATATCTCCGTTGTCTTGAAACGTTGATGCATATATTACCAAGAAAATTGGCTTTTTTCTACAAGTTCACTGAATTCTGAAAATTTTGAACATTCTTTAGCAGGACCAAAGGATCCGAACTCGACATTTGAATATTCTTTTGCAGTTTCTTGAGGCATTGGAACCGAGGCGACTACAATTCCTGTTGTCGTACGGATCTGACCTTCAAACCGGTGCCAGATTCAAAATTGGCTCGCAAGAGGGAGGAGCGATTGCGAAAGCAGGCTGAGAGGGAAAGGGAGGAAAGAGAGAGGGCGCAACATGCGCAACAAAGAAAGATCACCACCCCTGAAAAAGGGGGCGGTTCCAATGGCAGTGGGGGCAGTCAAGGAGGCAGCAGTGGAGACTCCAAGCCACCAAGCAGGGGACAACTGGAGGCTGTCGCCTCACCATACGAGAGGTTTCCCAGGTAAGGTACCAAGTTTCAACTTCAAGGACAAACCAAAAGCAGCTTATGACATATCGCAAATGTTTTGGTTTGTAGTGTAATTAACTAAAAACAAGCTGTAAATAGACGCTAAGACAATCAAAGGCTGAAGTATATCCTAATCTATTTGAATTTCGCTTTAATCACTGAAATACTTGAGCATCTTTCGATATTCATGTTTTTGAGAAAGTCAATAAAAAAGTGATTTTCGGAAAGCGACATTAACTAATTGCATTTTTTAAATTTAAATATACCTTTTTTGTGGGAACTGAAAGAACTGCTGAAATTCTACTGCAATTTCTTATTTTTTTTTTCTTTTTAGGAGTGGCTTCGCAGATACTCCCGCCCTTAGGCAGCTGTCGGAGTATGCCAGACCTCATGCTGGTTTCAGTCCAGGTCACATGCCTAGGTCTTTGTTACCTCCTTCTCATGTAATGGACCCACTGATGCAATATCAGTTGAGTAGTATGTATGGGCCTGGAGCTAGGGAAAGGTATGTATTGCATTGTCGTTATCCAAATTTAATTATTTCTTCGTTGTTGTTAGATTTTAAAGTATATGGTAAAACATAAGATTGTCGGCGCGCAGAGGTGACAAACTGATTCAGCATAAGATTGCATCTTGAAGTATAATAATTAATGTAATAATTAAAGTGTACTATATAAAATTCTTATAGGTTGGAGCTGGAGCACTTGGAGAGAGAAAAACGGGAGCGAGAAATAAGAGAACTCAGAGAGAGAGAATTGAATGATAGGTTAAAGGAAGAAATAATGAAGAGTGGAATGAGAGGGCCTCCAAACCCCATGGATCCCCATTGGCTGGAGATACAGAGGCGGTATGCTGCTGCTGGCTTAGCAGGACCAGGAGGTGAGTTGAAAACAACTGAAACATCATATATATGTTTCTTGTTTATACTATTTTTCATGATACCTCAACAACGCTAAATGATGCCAACAACCAACAGCTGATCATTTAATGACATTCAAAATACCCCATATCGTGGAGTGAAAGACGCCTACATCAATGCGTCTTGTTTTCCAGAGGTTATTTGTTCTCTATAAAAGCTTACAAAACTTTTTGATATACAATCATACCAAATCGATAGCTGTTAATGATCATGTCATCGAAGATCTAAGTTAACTTGGATTAATTAATTAAATTAATTCTTTGATAGGTTGTTATGATAGGGTGCTGAGATTCGACAGATTGACTATCACCAATGCATAGATTTAACAAAAGGGGTTCCGAATAGACGTCTAGATTGTGCTGAAGTATCGTAGTGAATAACCCACTGTTGGCAAGATTTAGAGGGGGCTCCCAAGTCTACCATTTTTGTCAAGAAAATGGCATATATTTCTGTATCTTGGTGTAAAATTACGGTGTTAGGTATGAATCGCATTAAGCTGTATATTGTCTACGTGAAAACGGGCACGTGAGAGATTTTTGCCTCACTTGATTGCATGATTGGAGGGGATTCTTGGTTGGTTATGTTTACATACGTTCTGGGAATTAGCGAATTTTCGCAAAAAATGTTCATAGAACTCTGAAATCGGACGTTTTAAATACGAGGTGTATCCGAAAAGTATCCGACCTGGATTCTTATGAGCGTATCCAGTTGTAATGGCTGTAGTTATCGGCCGGACGCCTTGCTTCGCGCACAGCGTGTTTTTTTCCGTTCTTCGCATTTGTTTACTGTTGAAAATGACAGAAAAAGCAGATCAGTGAACGTGTATCAAGTTTCGCTTCAATCTCTACAAGAGTTGTTCGGAGACGATTGAAATGATATAGAAGGCCTTTGGGAGACGAATGGATGGCCAGAACATAGATAAAGGAGTGGTACAGGCGGCTTAAAAATGGCCGCACATCAGTTGATAGCAACCCTCGTTCTGGTCGACCTTCGCTGACATCAACACCTGAAAACAACATCAAGCGTGTGCGATTTGCGATTGAGAGTAATTGTCGATTGACTCCGTGAAGTAGAAAATAAACTCGGAATACCGAAAATCCAAAATTGCTCACGACCGAGCACAAAAGACCTTCGCTCTAAAATCGCTCGGTGATGATGAAAATGTTCTAAAAAATGTTGTTACTGGTATGGGTTTATGGTTACGATCCTGAGACTAAACAATGATCAAAGTCAAAGTCGGAACCACGTCAAGCCAATGAATTTGCTCCAAGAGACCACTAACAAAGAATATTACGTGGAAGTTTTGAATAAATTGCGAGATGCCATGAAAAGAAAACGCGTTTGTCGTCAAGCGGTGACTGGCTTTTTCACCACGATAACGCGCCAGGGCATTCATAGGACCTTGTGCAGCAATTTTTGGCGAAACACGGGATTGTACATCTTCGCCAGCCTCCGTACAGTCCCAACCAACTTAGCTCCAGGTGACTTTTGGATGTTCCCAAAATTAAAAATGGCGCACACGGACACACGTCGTACTTTTGACATCTGAAAAAAATCACTCAATTGCAAATAGCGGGTTCATGTTTTTTTTTTTTTCAGGCCCCGGTCTACCTTTGCACCACTTCGCCCTGTACCCGGGAGCGGCCGCAGCGGCGGCGGCCGCAAATTCGAACGCCGCCCAACTGAACCAGATGGAACGGGAACGACTGGAGCGACTAGGAATCCCGCCCCCACCACCTCCGGGAGCTGGTGGACCGCCTCCACCTCCCGGACATCCCCACCATCCTGCAGCAGCAGCGGCAGCGGCCGCAGCTCACCAGGCCCAGCTGGAAGCGGCCGAAAGGCTTGCCCTGGCTACAGATCCTATGGTAAGTGCTTTAATTTGCGCCTTGGTATTTATTTAATTTCTGATAATATAATGATCTTGTTGTGAGCATTTTCCTACAGGATGTCACAACATAACGTGGACATAGAAGTATCAAGTATTTTTAGACTCAAAAATAAGTCGAGTGGACATGAGTTACCTCTATACAAAAGTGCTTCGTTTGTGCATTAGAATGCGTCAAATTTTTCTTTTTGAAACACATTTTTTAAGATATTTTAAGAACCGATAGTCCGAATTGAATGAAATATGCAACAGCTACGAGCCCCTTCCCACTTCAGTTGGCCCACTTTAAGATTTGTACCAAAATATGCCTTTATAAACTAAACATGACGAAACTATTTACTTCTAAAACAATTTATTTTCTCAAAAACATTTTAGAATCACTCTAGTAGTAAAAAATACATATTTGAAATCACTTAGACCTATAACTAATAGAACATCTGAACAAATAAACAATGTGCGAATAAATGCGCGAAGTTAACAAAGCAACAATTGAAAGATTACGATTTCGTAACATCACCTTTATTTTTTATTACGGCTGAAATTCTGTGGGGCATAGTGTTAACCAAGTTTTGGCAAAAATTTGGTGTAAAACAATCCCATATTTTTTGAAGCTTTTGTCTCAGTTCGGTGATTGTACGAGCAGGATGTTGTCATAGAACCTTTTTCATCTCGTGCCACAAAGTGGTGACAGATCTGGACTGCTAGAAACCCATTTCAAAAGTGGTACATTATTTTTTATTTATTTATTCCATTCATTTTATAGCCTTTTTTGAGGTATGGCATGCTGCACCATCTTGCTGAAACACAAAATCTTGGCCGGATGTCAAACATTCTTCCATCACTGGTAAAAGCGATTCTTCTAAAATTGCCAAATATTTGTTTGAATCCACATTTCCATCAATTAAATGAAGTTTTCCTACTCCTTTTGATAACAGACCAAAATGGATGCTGGAAATTTCACTTTTCGCTTCAGACAGTCAACATGGAATGCTTCATTTTTTTTGCGAATAACTCTACTGCGACTGTCACCAACACAAACGTCGAATCGGGCCTCATCACTCCATTGTATTGCACACCATTGTTGAGGTGTCCATTGTCTATGTTCTTTAGCTCATCTAAGCCGATTTTTCTTTTGCAGTGGAGTTAATAGTGGCTTTTCTTTGGCCTATAATCAAGTTGGTAGGGTTTTTAATTCACTTTTTTTTATAAGAAAACTTACCTGGCAAGTGCTAAATCCCTGTTTGTGGGCCTCTCTATGAGTTGTGGACCTCGAAATTCTCCTTCCAAGAGCGTCACTCCACAGAGCACTTAATTGTAAATAATTGGCACGCCTGTTTTTCACGATTATTCTTCTTAATGCTCTTCGATCGGCATTTGTGATATTACTTTTTTTCACATATCGTGGCTTATTATTAACTGAGCCAGTTACGTTATATCTTCTAACAATATTTCTCACACTGTACCGCGATAAGTCTAACAAAGTTGCAATTTCTGAGTTTAATTTCCCAGAATTAAAAAATTTAATTATCAGTAACCGAATTTTCTCACTAATAACCTTTCCTCTACCCATTTTGAAAACCTTAACTATTTTAAACATATTCTGACAGCTGTGTTTAATAAAAACAATTGTCATGGCTTTTATTTTTCACAGCCACCTATGCGTTATAAACTTTTTTGCATTGAAATGAAAATAGGTTGATATGCTGTAATTGCAACATGTGTTATTTTTATGCTGCAAATTTGAATAGGGAGTGATAAAGTTGGGGTTTTCTACTATATATTATCAAAATATTCATTGTTAATATTTTAAACCTATAACACCCTGCTACATTTTTATTATTTGTGTTTGATAAGAAAAAAAACTAGGATTTTAATAGTTGGGCCAACTGAAGTGGGAAGGGGCTCGTATGTTTTGCTAGAAGTTGTAATTTTTTACTTTTACGAAAAACTGGAAGGTTCGAGAAAGGTGAAAACTACCCTGATTTTTTTGGCTATTTTCCCGACGACTCTGAACATTTCTTCATTTAGCAGTTCTTTTTGTTTACTCCATTTTTTATCTGCAATAAAAACATTCATGTCGCATAGTTTATGAGATAAAAAATAAGTTGCATCAAGAGGTTCACAGGCATCTCATTAATTCTTTAAGGCCCGTATCGTCAGTCGTCCCTACAATTGTAGGGCGCGTTTATGGCCTCCTTGATTGGCATACTCCTTTCTCTCCTTCAAAAATTTCTAGATTACACTTGTCTCGTGTCAGCGTCAGCGCTCTCCTATTGTGAAGATATGTTTTCTTTTTAAATTATAGGAAATTTCAGGCTGATAAAACAAGATATAACTCAAAAGCAAGCACAATTTGATGCAAATAGATGTTTGTGACATAACCTCAAAATAGAGTTCTGACACGGAGAAGTAGAAAACTATGACAATCAAGGAGGCCATAAAGGCGCCCTACAATACATTGTTGGGACGACTGACGATACGGGCCTAAGTGTAGTTAGTGAAAATAATCAAGTATACTTATTACAATTTTATTAAGTAAGTGCGGAACTTTGCTAAAAAGTGTTCAATATGACCACCATTTCAACTTTCTCCAAGATGTCATTATTCTTTACTGTATTTGCCTCATTTTGAATCATGACCCATGGTTGATTGGCGTTATTTATCTGAACCTCGTATACCTTTGGTTTTAATGCTTTCCATATAAAAAAATCGCACAGGGGAAGATCCGGGGTACGAGGTGGCCATTGAATAGGAGCTTCTTGACCTCTACCAATCCATCTACCTTCAAGTTTCTCGTTCAAGTAATTTCCTACAGCACGGGCAAAGTAGGTGGAGCGCCATAATTGCATAAAAAACATGTCGTGATGCCTACTGGATTTTAACAAACTTTTTTAGAAACCATCTCCGAAAAACATAAGAGACAAAAGGTGCAGTAAAATAAAAGGGTCTTAATGAAAAAATTCTGAGTCGTTGGAAAAGTTGTGAAAAAATTCTGCTATAATTTATGTAGGCTTGGGTGTAGTTTCTACCTTTCGGGTTTTTTTGTAAAATTCAAATATTAGGACGTCCAGCAAAACACATGTGTTCCAAATTTCATTCAAATCGGACTATCCGTCCAAAAGGTATCCGAAAAAATGTGTTTTAAAAAGAAAACTTTGACGCCTAATGGACAAACGAGGTACTTGTATGTCTTCGAAATGACGTTACGACGCCTGGTGCCACAGAGCGGATGTTTCTCTTAATTTTTTTTTCTAATTTTCGCTGCTGTTTTACCGCACATGATTAAATTTTTTTTCTTTAAAACATGTTTGTTACTGAAACGGAAAGGTCCCAAGTCTCAGGACATTTTGTATAACCGATTTCACCATTTCCACAGTATAACAATTAATAATATGAGTCTTAGCCATTGCACCTCCTCCCAAAATCAGTTGATCGCCCCCCAATTTCCTCTAGGCTCTTTACGACATTCTCCCAACCCATAGGCCCCCAACGCCCATAAGCGGGCTTTACCACCAACTTTTTAACACCGATTTTAGAGGGCTAATGGAATTTCCTTTATGTCACCATTTTTCTTACTTTTTTTTACATCCCACGCCTACTGACTGGGAAGTACTGTGATCCCGAAAAATTACGATTACGATTTTTTTGGATGTTATATGTTCCTACATCACGAAAAATCATGTCACACATTTCCGTCGGTCTGTCCGCTAATCTTATAACCGCCTATAACTTGAAAAATGCTGCTCGGATTTCGATGAAATTTTTAGACTATGCCGAGGACGCAAAAAGTTTGTAGTTTTTGAAAATCGGTCCAGTGGCAGCAGAAAAAAACCTAAAACAGAGAAAAAAAATCGCTCAAACTTCGTTTTTTGACGTTTCGGAGGATCTTGATCTTGAGGTAAGAAAACTTGGGGGTGGGGTTTGTAACGGGGTCTTGAGGGTGTGTCTCAATTATTTTTTGATGCTGGCACATTTATACGCTCTCAACATTGGTAATTAAACGCACCTGTCAGACATATTTCACATATCATAGATTTCTCTGAAAACCAAAATATTCGGATTGCGGACCTATCGGCCGCAGCTGCTGCTGGCGTCATGCGCCGAACGTGATGACTGTACTGTTACCACGGTGGCACGTCTGCCCGATTTAGGTAACGGGGACAGGCGTCGTTTCCAGATGCGCTACCGGTAGGAAGGGAATGTCTATCGACTTATTGTATGGACCTGATTGACTGACTTTTTTCTGAGGATCTAGTTTGTACTGAACATACACTTGACGCCATTTGTTTCCTCTATTTTCTTGGATAAGCTCTTAATTCAATGACTGATTTCCCATTCCAGGTGCGACTCCAGATGGCAGGGATTTCACCAGAATACCACGCGCATACTCACGCACATACTCACGCTCACACGCACCTTCACTTGCACCCACAGCAACAGCAAGCGCAGCAAGAAGCTGCCGCAGCAGCTGCAGGGTTTCCTCTTCCAGGTAATATTTTGAAAACTTAACTACCAAATTTGGTTTGCACACATTACTCATCAGAAAACTGTATAAAAAGAATGACATACGAGGTCTGTAGATTAAGTGATGAAACTGTTTTTTTTTTAATTTTTTTATCCAAATGTAATTACAATTTTATATTATCACCCTCTAACTAACTTCCTTCTGAAGTCACACAGCACTGGAAAGGGTTCTTCCACTCCTCATAGTAGTGCTGGATTCTGGAATAACCTTCAGCTGGTCAGTTACACCAGTTTGAATGTATTCGCCTGTCGCAAAATGAGTTCCCTTGAGGAGATTTTTCAACTTCGGGAAGAGAAAAAAGTCACAAGAACTCAAGTCAGACGAATAAAGAAGCTGAGGAGCCACAGGAATGTTTTTACTGGCCAAAAACTTGTTTATGGACATTGCTGTTTGACAATGAGCATTATTGTGATGCAACACTCAGTTGTTCTTGATCTGATGAATGCTGGTGTGAGTCAAATTTAACTCATACCTGATTATTCAGACTGTCAACCAACGATCTGAACGCACAAGATCCAGGAATCTGTCGATATTTTCATCGGTTCTTAAAGATGAAGGCCTTCCGTGGTTCATCTTCAACCGACGTTCTCCTTCTGAAAATGCCTCAAACCACCGAAAAACCTGGCTCTTGACAAGATACTATCTCCGTACGCCTATTTAGCAAAAGTTTCTATTGCACTGTGCCCAAGTCTGAAGCAAAACCTGTTATCACACCGTTGTTTGAAATTGATGTCACTCATTTTTAGAACACAATACAAAAAACTGTTTCATAAAAAAAATCGCTATGAAGAACCGAATGACTCGAGCGAGTTCAAACTTATACTGAGGACGGATCATATGTTCCACTGTCTCCCTTCCACGCCCAGTGCCCCCAGTGTTGCCAGATCGGACGCTACGTTGCCAATCTCATCACCTAATTTACGGACCTCGTATATGACATTTTCTTTTTACAGCTTCTGGAACCCCAGGATATCCGAGGCCAGGGTTGATTCCTAGCAGAGATGGCCCACTAGGATTGCACCACCCAGATCTCTTGGGTAGACCATATGCGGATCAGTTAGCACACCAGGTAAGAATATATCATAATCTGAACAATTAATTTTTAATAGGGCGATCAATAATTCTACGAAATTTTTCAGTTTTATATGATTCAAAAACGTTTCTGTGTAATTGTTAAAGACAGTCCATAGTGAAATTTACTGAAAGCATTTGCAAAAAATGTAATTGCCGAAACGATACGGTATAACGTGATTTTGAACCAATGTTCATGAAATGAAAACTATCTCTGAGTAATTTAGGATTTTTGATTTCTCACTCCAGTATTCTCGAAAAATTTGTAAAATGATATGTTTTTGGATGTTACATGATATGTACATTACGAAAAAGCGCGTCGCTTATTTTCATCGATCTCTCTGTCTGTTGGTCTTCTCGCTAATCCTTGGCCCATCTATAACTTTGAAAATCGATCTATTGGCGGCGGAGCTAGAGGCGAAAAGCGAAAAAAAAAATAAAACGCTTACCCTTCGTTTTTTGACTTTTCGGAGACATTTTTTGAACATTTTTTCCAGGGTTAGGATATATGTCAGTTTTTTGGCGGAAGTACATTTGTACGTTTCCATTCCCAGCAATTACATTTACCCTTAACGTTTAGAGAAATATTATCAACAGACGCGTCGCGTATCGGTTGTGATCGCACGGTAACCTACATGCACAGACTCCTGTCTGCACCTAATCGCCCACTACTGGCATTCTGATGTTTGTAGCGCGGTTGACTGTTGCCTATTAGTAAGGTTGCCAGATGATATGACATACGATAATTTAGGTGAGGTAGGGATAAATGTATAGCGTAATCAAATGGACTAATTGTATGGGCCTGTTTGGCCGACTTGATTCATTTAATTTTCAGTTATTCATGTTCGTATCTAAATTTTTCATCGAGAGAGGCTGACTTTTTTGTTGATATTCGTGAGAATTTTTATTATAGAGGCTAAATAATATTTATTTAGCTACAGTATAATTGCGGTATCTGTTTATATGTAGTTCCGAATCGAGTATACTAAGTGACATATAAATCCGAACACCCAGCTTAAATGGTTTTATTTTAATAAAATTTTGTATAAGTACTTAATGAAGCATAATAAGTAAATGATAAACATTTCAAAATGATTGCACTGCTTTAAAGCCCTTTGACCTTTAATAATGTGTGGATGCACCCTGATGTGCTACGCATTCTCCAACGCGCCTAGGCATGCTTCTGATCAGGTGGTCAATGTCCTCCTGTGGTATCTCATTCCAGGCAACCACCAACTCCTCTCGTAGTGCTTCTAGAGTCTGATCCCACACGTGCTCAATTGGGGATAAGTCGGGAGATCTTGGTGGCCATGGTAACAATGTGACATCATTATGTTGAAAGAAGTCTATTGTGACTCTTGCAACATGTGATCGGGCATTATCTTGTTGGAAAGTTGGATCTGCCAGGGTGTCAAGATAGGGTAAAAGATGGGGTTCTAGAACTTCGTGGATATAACGCTGCGCGTTCATGTTACCTCTGATGATGATTAAAGGTGACCTGGAACCATAAGCTATAGCACCCCAAACCATAACTCCAACAGTGTGATGAACATGTCTTTCAACAAAAAACTGTGGATTCCTCCTTTCACCACGTCGCCCCCTGGCACGACCATCGTGCATGCCTAAACAAAATCGAGACTCGTCACTAAAGACAATACTGTTCCATTCCTGATCCCAGAGTGACCGTTGTCTGCACCACTCAAGGCGATTACGTCGGTGTTCTCGAGTTAAAGGGAGGACCCAGTGTGGCCGGTATGAAAACAAGCCAAAACTTCTCATTCGTCGGTAAACACTTCGCATGCCAATAGGTCTTCGGTGTTCTGCAAACCATTCATTTGCAATGGATCTGGTAGTGGAGAAACGGTCCCTTAAGGCCAATAATCTTAGGCGGCGATCTTCACGGTCTGTTGTTCTACGGCGGCGTCCAGTGCCCCTTGCTCTTTGCGTACGGCCTTCTCGGAGCCATGCCTGACAACACCTAACCACAGTGTCTACACTTCTTTGCACTCTAACTGCAATTGCCCGAAAAGAAAGTCCAGCTTCCCGAAGTCCCACTATACGGCCCCTATCAAACTCACTAAGTTGACGAAATCGTACAGGTCTCCGTACTCTAGGCATCGTAACCGATCGTAAAGGATGTCAAGAACCAAAATCCGCCAACGTTGATTCTTTACTGCGGCTGAAATATTCATTTTTAGAGCGTTAGTGAATTAAAAAAAAAGCAGTATAAAAACCGGAATGTCCAACTGATAAGACTGAAAATTTTTTCACTTGTTATTTACAGTAAGATAAATACATTCACCAACTTTTATTAAAATAAAACCATTTAAACTGGGTGTTCGGATTTATATGTCACTTAGTATATTTAGTAGCTGATAATTAATTTTCATAATAGGCTGCCGCACATGAGCATCAGTTGCAGAGGCAGATGCTGCTAGAAAGAGATAGATTTCCTCCCCATCCATCCATTGTCGCCCAACATGAAGAGTACCTAAGGTCTGTTCATGTACTTTGATTGCCATTATATACCGCCAATGCATTTTTTGTTAACTCTCGTAGCTCCATTCGTAACACTCTCACCGGTCCTTTACCTGACTACATTTTCAAATTGTGTTGAGACTTTATAATTGTGAATACAGACAAGTATAAAGGTATGCAGTTCGAAACTAAGATGTCTTGAGGTTTTGTATTTTTCCAGAATCAGACGGGGTTTAAATAAATAACATATTAATCGTGATTGTAATCGTTTTATTCACATTGGTAGTGCACTGATTTTGACTATATACTTTATTTGTCTTCCAGGTGACTCCGTTTGTTTTTTCTTACTTTCATATTCCAAAGTGTGTTACTGCAATAGTGTGGAAGGTCCCGGAGATTGCGCGAAGTCATTCTAAATCTTAATTTGTCGTTTTGGAGGGCTGGACGTCCCTTTTTGGGCGTGAGAATGCAGCCCTAGGCGGTCCTGCGCTATGCTGGTTTTGCTTTTTGCCGACTTAAAATTTTTAATGATGCTTCGTGCTATCTCAGTATGTTGCGGGACATTTAACTCTAATGTAATAACATACTATAAATAAATATGAAAAATAAATAACAACCGAAGTGTCACTTGGGAGACAGATAAATAATAAATATGTCATTTTGCTGAAGAAGGATACTGTTGTGACCAAAACCATTGCATTAAAGATTTTTTAACACATGTGGTTTTGATTGGCCAGAAAAATATAGAGGGTTATCGACGCGAAAACCACAGGATAAGTTTCAGATGTTGCATTAAATAACACGTTGATACAATAGTTGAATAAAACGTTTTCTCGTCCAACACGACTATTCAATGATAGATTTCATTATTGAATTTGACTAATGAAGTTGTTGCGCTTCCAACTTGCGCTGTTTGCTAATTCTTTTTCACACTTCTAGTCTGCATTAAATATTGTTCCCGAAATAGGATTAATTCTTAATTGCTGTATAGTATTATCGGTATTTCGGAATTAAAACTGAGAACCAATAGGTATTAAGGGTCCATTGTCAATAATACAATTCTGATTGAACATCCGTTTTTTGAAAAAAAAAATAGATAGCATCGAAAAAATGTACACGGGTGAACAAACTCACAATTTGAAATTGTCATGACAACAGATGCTTTACAACTACGGTATCGACTGAAACATGAAAAGCCTATTCTTATACAGTTTATTTGTTATAATCACTCACACTCATAGAAGATTCGATGAAGAACCGCAAGATTTTCATGTTTCTCGAAACCTGTATTAGGGAACAGCATCTATAAACCCACCCATCCTGTTTAACCATTTTACATCATTTGCATTAATTTCTATTTGCTTGGTACTTTTATTCCTATAACAGTTTGGATTAGGCTATTAATATTTTCAAATGAATTTCTATAGACCACGCCCAAAAATGCGCTTCTGCTTTGAAATCACTAGATAAGTTTCACTTCATCTTGCGTGTTTCTCACAAATTAATTATTGTATAACTTGTTCAATCCAACTGAGATGAGTGTGCTTCTAAATGTCAGTTATTCTGTAGTACACTGTGGTTTTGTGATGCTTGCCATCTATGTTTTCGCACAATCACCAGAGAGCTTACTAATATCAGTTTGTGTAAACTAATGATTATCATTTGTTGATTTGAAAAAATTGTTGAATCCTAGAGAGATACAGTCATGCTGACAGTTCTTCTCATGTTATGTCGAACAACTTTAATGGAATAGGAAAGCAGAAGGATGTATTTTTCTGCTTAGAATGCCGAGAAAGTATTATGTGAGAAAACAGCTTTGCACAAAATATACCGTTGATTATCGGTAGAAAATGCAAGCCATCGCTCAATGTCGGTAGCGGCGCGTTAGAAGTGAGCCGTAATAACTCAGATAGCTCTCCGAACTGCATCAAATAGAGCTGATGTAAAAGTTGTAGGACCATCACTTGACTTTTTAACTCATTTGGCTCTAACATCTTTCCAAAACTTCTATCTTGCTTGAAGAAAATTAGTTGACCTTGGTATACTGATAAGGATAGCAAATACAGCATTCATAATGCCAAAATTGTATTTGTGGGTGTTTTCAACGGGAAAAGATTATGTGTATGCTAGCAGCTACCGCATGTCTTCCAAGACACAAGTAGTGCTTAATCATGTATATCCCACCATCAGTTGAATTGAAGATTGAACTATTATCAATCATCGGAAAACCGTAACTCAATTCATTTTTAAAGGAATAATGGTGTCGTCTATAAAATTCAGTCATGAAAAAACAGCCTAAGAACGGCTGTCTATATAATATCAGTTTTCATATTTTAGGCAACAAAGAGAACGTGAGCTCAAAGTGAGAGCTCTTGAAGAGGCAGCAAGAGGTTCTAGACAGTAGAATGGTAAGAATTATTAGGATAGTTTTGAAAAATTCACAATATACGTAAAATGTGTGGGCTATTAAAAATTAGATGAAATGTAGAGTTGCAAAAAATACCATGTGATGGATTGCCCTAAGATTTGCTGTGATTTCCTTCGCGTCCTTGTAATGTGTGGACAATGTGTCAGGATTATCGCTGCATTTTACTGTATCTGTTGTCACATGACTAGGAAATCTTGCGCTTACATCAAACCTCTTAAATTTGTGTATGAGAAACTTGTGGTGTTCTAACTAAACTGGACCATAGCAAGCATACGAAAGCTGCTGAATAGATGACTTTAATAGTCGTTTAATAAATTTATTGCAGTTGATTATATTCGGTAGTGAACTCGCCTTATAGGCCAAATCACAGTGTGGAATATATGTGAATTTTTCTTGTATCCTTTTAATATTGTACAATGCATGACTCTCAGTTTTATAAATTGGTGAAAAAACCTCAGGTCCCATCTAGTTATGACAATGACGAATTTATTAATACCAGTGTTGCAAAAACAGCAAAATCTGATTTTTACGACTAAAACGTTATGTTTTTGTTTATAGTTAAATTGAAATAATTTTTTCCTTGAATATGGCAATGAACTTTGAAACCACTTATTTTCATTATTTTTCTCTATTCGCCCAAGAATATTTTTTATCTAGATTTACAGTAAGATTCGATCGTCTTCATAATGAGCGGTTGACGCCAGACGAATCATTCCTTAATTTATTGTCGGTCCATACTGTTTTATCCTTTTTTTTTTGTTTAAATCGTAGTGTTTTCAATAGATAGCTGGAATGTCCCGAAATGGTGGTAGTAAAAAAGACTCTATTTGGCAATATTTTGTTGAAAAATCGAATAAGCCAGACGGAAAAAAAGGAAGCAGAAAGAGCTGTAAAAATGCAAATTTGAATTACAAGGAATTGTTGAACGGATGAAAAGACACTGAGAGTTATGTCAGAAAACGGAAGTAGTTCAATTTATGAATATTTACGTTGAACTGATGAGGATTAGTTATGTTTTTAAACTTATTTATATCGTCGCAACCATGCTACTTACCGCTTCACCATATATCAGTTCAGGAAGAATTTACGAAGAAAATATTTGATTTTGTAACCAAAGGGCGACCAGCAGAATAAGCAGATGTTCGACGAAAAGTTTTTTTTTCCTGTGAGAACCTAAACTATGTTCACGCTCTTACTTTTCGGCGCCACTCCTTCCCGTCAGAATTTTGTTTTCTAAGAACCGTTTTACACACAAGAGAATTACTCCGAAAATTACGGACATAATTATGCCGAAAATTTTTGCTGTCGAATTACACGTAAAAGAATTCTTATGAAAATTTTCATGGCGAGAATCGGCGCAGAGGATTATTTCCGTGCATGTCATTATCAAATGTCAACGTCAACAACCCAACAACATAACCTCACTTAACATTTGTGGGTGTGGTCCTGTTCGAGTCGTACGAAGAAGCGTTCATTGTTATTGTTTATTCATAATGTCGTGGAAGCGGGAAGAAGTTACACTGTTATAGGAGGAGTACCAAAAATGGCCAAACCTGTACAAGGTGAAGTCACCCAATTACAAAGACAGACATTTACGGCGTCAGGCGCTGGATGCGATAGTCCAAGCATTGAGAAGTTTTATAATAACCAGGATCTCGATTTCAAAAATAAATTTAAATCAACGACGTCTGTTGTCTTTCCGATTTTATTGGACGTCATACCCGTTAAGGTTATGTACATTCGAAAATATTGCTCTAATGCGCAGTCGTATCATATGAATTACTCGGAAATTTTGTTCGCTTGTGTCATACAGGTTGTAGAGAAAATCTTCCATATTTTTTCCATGCAAATTTTCGGCATAATTATGACCATAATTTTCGGAGTAATTCTCTTGTGTGTAAAACGGCTCTAACACCAGTTAAACATCTTTTTGCTACGATAGCAATGTATGGTACTTACTGTCTAGATATCAGTCTGTCAACCATACAGTTACCACATACAAGTTGTTACTTGGTGGTAGGCCTTAACTACCAGGACGCATTCCTGGACCAAATTCAAGGATAAAAGTTCATTATAAACATGCGTTGTAAAAAATGCTGCTTTGTAAGAATCAGGTTGTCAAAAATTTTAAAAAAGTATGGCTGTTGACGGAGAACAAATAAACTGTCACGGGAAAACAAAAATACGTTCATAATACCAGAACAACAATCCTTGCCAACGAGCAAAGTTGATTTGTTCTTATTTTAATAATTTGTCGACATGTATTGAAGTTGTTTTTATTTTTCTCCTCGCAAACTAAGTGAGATACGAAAACATACCAATAGACAAAAAAGTTGTTTCATTATCTACTTAATACGAAAAAAATATATGGTTTTCAAAAAAGTCAGCGGCGTACAGTTTTTGTCAGTATCATTCGTGAGATTCACTGGAATTTATAATAATATTTTAGCTGAACATGTCTTCCAAATGCCTTTACAAAATGTAGATGGGAAGTATGCTAAATTGGTGGTTACGCATTGAAGTAGGCTAATTCATGATCCTTCCTTATTATTTATCCAATTTTAAATATCGTCCAAATTCTATAAAACAATTAACAAGTGTTTTTATTTTCAGTTTGCTCTCCTTGGCCAGAAATACTGACTTCAAAATGGCGGGTCTATGATATAAATCAAATTTTCATAGGTAAAATTTGTATGTTTATACAATATCTGGAAGATTTAACATTTTATATAGACTAAAATAGAGCATAGTAAAGTATATAGCTATTTTATAAGGGAAAAGTACTTATATACAATTTTACTTTTTCAAAGTATTTTTTGCAAAATAGGCAACTTTTGTAAACAGTGTCTTGTCTGAAGAAATAGGTGTTCAGTGGAGTTATTTTGTAGAGGTACCCAATTGTAAATATTACAGAAACTGTTCTGTGTGAAATCGTTCTAAATATTGTACAGTCTTCCCGTTTTTTAGAGAAGAAAATATAATTTTTTTCATGTACATAACCAACTGTGCAAATCTAAAGGAATCATATGCCTTACAACTATATCAAGAAAAATACAAAAATACGTATTCTAAGCTTTTTGTCATCTTTTGCAATCATTTCTGTGTATTTTCAAAAGTAGTACTTATTTATGTGTAATTTATATACCTTCGTTTTTGTACATTTTTTGTTTATAATATGAAAATAATCTCAATAAAAAATTCATTTTACCAATCCGTGTTTTTCATGTCCTCCTTAAAATTCGTCCCATAGCTCATAGCAACAAAGCACGGAGAGATCTTCCAACTTCAAGAACATCCCTTATTTCAAATTAATAAAGGCTCCCCAAAGATAACCAACTCACACTTTTGATTCATTTAAACTCGAAAGAATCGCTCCAGAAACTCGCACATCACGATAGGAAAATTGATTTAATTGTCAACAGTTTCCACGGTAACTAGCAACTAAATTTCAAAAGTCAATTCGTAAATTTTTTATCAATGTCATGGGCATTTTGGGGGGATTTCACAGTTGTACACTGGATCTACAGAAGTACAACGAAGATCTAAGGGTTTTCAAGTTTGTCAAAATTAGTTGTGACCATGGAGCTAGTATCCTCACCAAATCCTCATTTCATCCCAGGGTAATCAGTTGAAAATTTGAATAGGATAAAGCTTACATTTCTATGCCTATTTTTCAGTTATACAGGTTTTTGTCCCCAATACAAGTATCGATTAGGTGACACATTTGGTACCACTACTCACAAAGTCTTATTGGATCCCACTGTTCACCATGCAGAAAAATTAGTTTTGTCTGATAGGTCAGGAGATGATTTTCAGGTAAGGTCTCATCAAATTTTGATTGGTTTGCAATATATCACATCTGGTTTATAGACATTCAGGCCAGCTACAAAAGAAATTGATATTGTAAATGAAAGACATGGAGATACTATTTACAGACATCCTATGGTCCCTGGTTATGAAGGTACATATTTAGAAAAAAAAATTGTTGATCGCAATACTATTGCAACTTTTCTTTCAAGGCTTCGTACCGAAAGAACATGGAAAATTTGGGCAAAGGTACACTGTTCAAGCTACAGAAGCGCTGGCAGATTTTGAGAAAGCTCAATTGGATAATCGTCTAGCTCAGAATCAGATAACAAAGATAGGGTATTTGCAAGATAATCGGTGGGATCCCAAAACTTTGGAAGACAAAGAGGTTATATAAATATAGTTTTTCATTTGTAGAGGAATCTAATCCAGTTATTTTCATTTATAGTTAGCTCAAAGTCAGTTTAAATTGCCACTATTAGAAGTTAGACCAGAATGCGGAGGAGTCCTAAGAAACTTACCTGTGACTGAACCGCCTATTACTCCACCCTTACAAGCACAAAGCCCATATTTCTCAGACCTTAGTGATCCTGAGAAATATTTAAAATCGGGTAAATCAAAAATACACAAACATTAAATAGTAGTGTCTAGTTATGTCAAGATTGAGGTAGAAATCGGTCGTTTGGGAACGTATTTATACTTAATCAATCAACTCCAATTTTGTTGTGGTTAGTTGGAAGTATGAAGCCTACGGATTTGAAGAATTTCAAGTAGCTGCGTGAAATTATCGTCGCATTAGTAACGAGAGCCATAACCTGCATTTTGCCACGGTTTTCGGCCATAACTTTACTACTATTAGTCGGATATTCTTACGTGTGGTCTCATCCTGTGGATCTCATAAATACCTAGAAATCTTATTTGAAGAATATTTTCGTTCCTGTCCACTTTTTCGATTGAATCCCACACGTTTTCTCATTATTTGACGTCGAATAAAAAGTTTTCGCACAAAAATTGGTGTACCCATTTTATGCCTCCATGATTTAAATACCCCCTTGAACAACTTGCATCAATAAAAGCAGACTTTTATTTCGGAAACCAGGGGTATTTTCGTCTATGATTAAACTAACTCCTGAATTTTCGATCAGTCAAATAGACAGTTCCTAGTCAATTCCCTGTCATCTTGTTTCATAATCAGTTTTGGGGTGGAAATATAAGATAAAATCAATATGTATGACCGACTATATAACTCATTCTTACAACAGCAAAGCTATGTTTCACGACCTGGAAAAAGTGAGTAATTTATTGGTATATAAAATTCAAACATATAGCAACGATTTTACCAATTTATACTAAATTGTGTTAGCTCCAAATGTTTCGAAAGAAGTATAGAAAAGGAATACCATTCCCGAATGATTTTAAAGGCCATACCCCTCACAATGATATTTTCCCAACTTCCAGTACTTTCTAATGATAGTCATCTCAAAGAATTATTACTTACCGATGTGAAACTAACATGTTTTACACATAGGATTTACCGGCCATGTGCCCTTCGGGTACGCCTCTTTCGGCCAGACTAACGAAGCGATGACTAACAGCGCCCTCTGTGACTTCACATCAAACTACAGAAAGCGTCTGAGTAACGAATGGGCTCCGGTAATGATCGATAGGCCTGATCCACCTGTTCTGATACAACCATCAGAAATATATCACAAGCATGTTGGTCAGCTTCCAAACTATGGTGGACATATTCCCGGAGCCATATTCAGGTAAGATAATCGCATAACCGCAGACGTAATATTAGTTATTTGTCGGGAAATTCTAGTATACTTTGCGTTTTTTGGAAGTGGAATAATAGTTGCTGGAAGAAACATTTCATATTTGAACATTTTTCGGCGAATTACTATAAATCCCGTTTTGGTTAGCATATACGTATGGTTAGTTTGGTTTGAATATATGACAAAAATTAAGATTATGAAATAAAAATGAATCATTGTTAGCTTCAAATGAGTGGAGCAGCTAAAACATTCCATTATTTGAAGGAATCCAGCAAAAAACGTTTGTGCTTAAGGCCCCCATCGCAACTTGAACCTGCGTGCTACTTTACCTGCTGTTCCCTCCAGCTGAGGTATTTTGTTAGCTTTAGCTGAGGTGTATGTTGCACTGCTGATAACAAGCTTAAATCACAGGCAACCAGTAATTGTCGCAGTAACTTCATAATACCATCAGTAAATTGACTATGAATTGGTCCTCCCAGAAGAACAGTGGCCCGTAAAGGGTTAATCAGATTTCGTAATTTTGACAGCTAGCACGTAGCTAAACGCCTTTGAATCCAAGATCCCAAATATCAGAAATCTTAGCAATGTCAAACCTTAGCAGAGAAACAATGGGCTCACTAGTGTTCCCTCGTGCTCTTTGCAGAATTGGCCTGTAGATCTACTTCATATATTGGTTTAGGCGAAATTGCCTCTAAGAAGACGCACTATGGCCCTTATGACCTCTGTTAGCTCTAAGCAGGTTCCCTGTAAATACGAGCTTCTATCTTAGTATGTTGTTACCAAGAGGATTTGTATAACTTCGCCATTCGGAATTACATCGTATTATAATGCATATATTTAAAAAAAAATACAAAATATTCTATAAATGTACATTTATATTGTTTTGTTCATCTAGGTATGGCAAGACGTATGGAAACGATTCCAGAGATGCGAAACGATGGCTTCGTGGCGACTTTTCTACATGAAATTCTCATTTTAGTTTTCCACAGTTCTTATTGGATGTGATGATAAATCATGTACAGTGTAGCTGTAGTTTGTCTAAAATCTTAGGTAGAATCTCTAAGGTTTCATGATCCTGAAAAATAAGCTGTTAACTGATGATGACAAGAAAGTTTATATTGTACATTACCTTAATAAAACAGAATCGAACGAAGTTCTCCATTTCGTTTCTATTTTCTTTGTTGTAGAACATGGTGGATGGCATTCCATGCAAGCCAATGCTTTCGATCAGCCATTTGGTGAAGCCTACGTCTTTGTAGTCACCATTTTTTACGTTTATATTTAGTTTGCTTTCTAAAAGTATACTTGTAAAAATTACACTGCATCTGTCTAAAAATACGTTGGTGTTCAATATAAGAATGTCTAGTTACCTAGATTTGACCAGTTAGCAATCAAGAATATTCCAGAGTCAGGTACGACGGGCAAAAAATTATGTCTTCTTAGTACATCGACAACATAATCTCTATTTTTCTTAAGATTTTCCTGCATTTTGTGAAAAAATGACTCCGGAGTCCCCAGAAGTTCTATCTCTTTTTCCAGCATGATGGCAACAGCTTCCTAGAATAGCGTTGGTTAACATATCAGGAAGCGTTTTTAAAAACAGTAATTGAATAACAAGGTATTAGGTTACAAATATGTAGAAGGATCACTCCTCAATCTGCAAAAGGCGTCTGGTTTCTAGGAAAGTTGACACAACCGAACATTTTGTTTAGCGAACGACCGAATTTTCAGTTTCGTGCAAGAAGAGGTTTTGGACGAAGTTTCGGTTTCCGACACAAATCGACCGAACCTTTCGGCTTGACCAGAACATACCTTCTTAATTCGTGGACTATCGGGTTATGTCCGACTGTACTCGGATGTATTTATACTATATCTTACGGTTACATTTTGTGAAGTAAAACAGATTTTTCACTATTAACCTCACAAATTATTATTGACCGCAGTGCGCCATTCAAAAGTAGCTTTTCTGTCCGAAAGAGATTAATATGAAAAAACACCTAGGTAAATAATGAATTTTATTTTAAAGTATATAAGTTAATATCATTGTCATATTAGCCCTGTTCGTACAGCAGTCGCCAACCTGTCGTTGATCGTGATCAAGATCCCGCCACACAAATTCCGTTCATTATGCTACGCTATATAGATGGAATACACACGGCCAGATCCCAGACACAGTCACCGAACACTGTACAAACAAAGCTATGACTACTAAACTTCATATTATAAAATATTGATATACGGATGAGTATTGGCCGGTTTTTAGGTATAACTGGTAATGTACCGACCCTTCTTGAATACCATTACTATTTGAATAATATTAGAAAACTACTTTTAATGAGAGCAACGTATTACAGATGGAACATGGTAATAAACGGTTATAGTAAATGTGGCGCTAATCAATTTTGAGATAATTGAATCGAATGTAGTGGTGTAAAGTGTTAGTCGTGAAACAAAATTCTATAAGTATGTCTGTATGTGCTTGACCACTAGTGGCTCAGTTCACAGCCTAAGTAAGTAATGTACTATTCTTTCCTTCACAAATTAAGTATAGTATTTAATTGTAACCCTACTGAGCTAGAAAAACATACATTGTGAGACTGAGAAGTAAGGTGTCAGGGTGCTTCTAAATCTCTATATTATTTTGAATTTTTCGGCTGAAAATCAGTTTTGATCGGTCTCAACTTTTGTTTCTATTTAGTCTGCATTTAACTATTTAACTGCAAGCTCTTGTAACCATATAGTTACCAGAGCTTAACTGTAATCATATCTGTTACCGACGGTGAACATGTCTAACATGTTTTTGGATTGGTGAAATTACCTGAAGAGGTGTGCTACCTGCGTACACTGCCATTTGATGGATCACTTTCAAATGGTTCATGAGTTTGTCTGGGCCGTATACCCATCCTACCTTCCAGCCTGTTATGCAAAACGACTTCCCACCAGATCCTATTGTAAGTGTTCTTTCCCACATTCCTGGGAACGTTGCTGAAACACAAATATATTGAATTCTACGTCTGGGATACCACAATAAAGCACTAATGAACAAGAACGTGAAAGTTGAAAATAAAACTCTCGAATGAAAAAACTCACCTATTCGCACATGTTCTCTAGGTTTGTATACCATCCATTCATAAACTTCGTCAGATATACATACTGCATTCCATTTCCTGCATAAATCTGTAATTTTTTGTAGTTCTGCTATCTCAAAAATTTTCCCCAATGGATTTATAGGGGTGTTCATTATCACTGCTTTTGTTTTTTCGTTGAAGGCGTTTTCTAATGCATAGGGGTCAAGTATCCAATCTGCAGACGTGTTTGGTGAACCGGTACAGCTCTAAAAGTTTGGAGGCGGTTCAGGTCCGCGAATCATTGGTTTTATATCTTAAACAATGAAACCAGGAGTTTCTCCTATGAAACAATTAACCGATACCTTTTTAAGTGTCACAAATCTTGGAGTTCCTCCAGCCATCTTTATAAGTGGAACATACAAATCAAAAAATGGTTCAATGACGACAACCTCGTCACCATCCTCGATCAGCCCTAAAATTGCACAATACAGTGCTTCATTGGCCCCCATGGTAGATAACAGCTCCGTATTTGGATCTATGGTCCTTTTGAGCAGCGTTGAGTATAGCTTTGATAGTGCATTTAGCAGCCTTGGATGTCCCTGAAATATTTTTTGCGATATATGGTATTCTCGGACATATCAGGGATGTCATATTTTATTAGCACGCTGGAAACTTTTTTGAGGGCGTGAATACCAATAACCGTCCCTAAGCTAAATTCTGGGTTGCATAGTTACCTGTTTCGAACGTGCTATGGCAATTTATGAGACGGTTTACTTACATTACTGATGGAATACTGATGTATTGATGAATCACTCGAATTCGCTACTTCTAGCAAGGCTTCTTTCGCTATATTTGGAATAAAATCAGGATGTCCTTGACCCAGATCCAGAGGCTTGAATCGCTCTACCAGGAGCCCATATTCTCTCCTAAATTAAAATAAAGACTAAAAAAACACCCCCACAAAGAATTTTAATTCCATTCATATTCAAAGGACCCTTATGGGTGAAATTGCTTTAAGTTTACGTTCAATCTTGATCTATCCCGTTAATGTATACTATAATGTGTCCAACTCAAATAAATTTTGCTTTTACGAGTTTCTAAAATAATTTATTTATATAATTACCTGGCAAAAATCAAGCACATTATTCCATTAATAACTTTTAAGTTATTAATGGAATATTAAAGACTATTACTGCTTCTATGTAATGTATAATTTAATCTGATATTGTTTTCGGTGTATTATGATCCACTTCATGGTTAAAATCAAATCGATATGAGTTTAGTACCAGGATTTTTTATTTATAAAATTGTGGTTGTGGTGAAAACGATACAACTTTTCTACTCACCATAGATTCCGGTCACCAATTTTAACCCGGTTAACACGAGGAATCGTCTCCTCGTTCATACTGCCTCAAACTGAATTCACTTCAGAAATAGATCACGTTTCGCAGATCTTCAGTATGTCATTATCATATAAAATAATTATAAAGTTCTATCGCAATTCTTATGAGTTATGATACTGATAATTCAGATTAATCTCAGAAAACAATTGTTGAAACTGAACACTGTCATTGGAATTTAATGATTAGCAATATCCCGGTGTTTAGCTTAATGAATCAACTCTGCAACTGCAAGGTATATTTTACGCGTTTCGCGGTGTTTTCCATTTTTTCTTCTTTTGTCTATATCTACAAGCGCGTTCTATTTATAACGCGGTATTTTTAATCATAACGACGTTCACATCAGAGATCGCTGCTAAAAAGTGGCTGTGGGGGTCAATTGTTGACGCGCATATTTGATAGTCGTAACGGAATTGATAATCCCAAGCTGAAATTCAAGGAAGGAAGGAAATTAGTGATTTAGCACTCACACATGAAATCACTGCGAAACATTCAAATTCAAAGGTACATAACTGGGCAAAATAAATAGCAAATTTTGCCAGGTCGTGCACGAATGTAGTGCCTTTTACGTGCAATTATAAAATGAGTTAACGTACCAAACGTTTGGTTCAACTTGCAAGAAACCTTTCCTAGAAGTATAGTAGGCTCAAGAAACATATTACATAGGCGACATTCTAAAATAAAAATTTTTCAGTTCGTCTTCAGAATTGCTGAACGATCCATCTCAGTGTTCCCATTTTTGCCTTGACTACTTCGGAACAAATCATAAATAAATGAAATTATCTCATATTTTGTATCCCTATATCATAACTTATTTTATATATATATATATATATATATGCATTTTCACTGGATGCTTGTTCTTGTCAATGTTGTTGTATAGATTTAGTAAGAAATAAACGATGTGAATCAATAAAAAATTGAATAAAACAAAAATACACCAAAAAGTTGGCATTGCAGTATAATCCATACCAGCCACAGCGGTCCATATCTAACGCTAAAATGAATTTAAATATGGACCTTTGACTGGAGTCACCGTGAACATAAATTAAATGCAAAGCGGTGCGTATGGACCCCCGTGGCGTGGTAGGCCCGTTGTCAAGCGGTCCCATGGGACCGCCATGGCGTTTAACGTGTTAATGAGGAAATACCCTGAATGATATTAAATACTTTTCACAAGTTGCTTGATGCAGGATATTTGCAAGTAACAATGTATTTTGCGCTAGAACTTTTAGGCCCACTGTATTTTATTCGCATATTTTTTTGAGTAAATACCTACACAAAATAAATAATGGGTTCTTACTGAATAGTATAACATAATTTTTATGTTTGTGCACGCAATGTTTCACTAGCCTTTTCAGAAGTATAAAATGGAAATAACAACGTACGCTGTTATTGCGCTATACACATAATTATTTAAACTTGAATATTTAGTTGACTTTTCTGTAAGAGTGGTACGTTACTATGGCGACTCATCTTCATGTCACCTTCTCCACGCAGGACAGAACATTTAAAGAGATACTAATCCTTGTACTATGTAGTGTCGGAGATGTTCATGGGCAAGTAGGCTTTTAGGGGACCAAAAATGCGGCTGCAGCAAATTTGTGTTGAGAGTGGTAAATGCTATTAAACGTCCCCCTCTCTGCCCCTCCGTGGCCGAGAGTATCACTATGAGCGCATGGACTTTTGTTGTCCATAATTTATTGCCATCAGTCGGCAATAAGTTTCTGATAACTAGGGGCTTTGAGTATCGGCTTTCAGTATTAGCTTTCATAGACTGAGTCAATATTATGGTCTTTGTACCAACGTGATTCCCTTTACATTGCCTTTTGAATTTGTTATTGGCTTTTCACATGTTTTTGTGTGTTTTGCCTATCGCAGCCTAATAAAGAAAATATTTTTTTCTAAATCCGTAACTCCGACAGTAGATAGGATAGGATAAAGAATATTTATAACAGTGTTAAAATCTTTAGTCAAAAATATTTTACATTGTATAAAGAAGGGTTGCGTCAGTATCACATATTATTCCTATTTTGAGTTTTTCCACTTATTCAATATTTCGGCAGCTTTGGCAAGATTTTCGTCTTTCTGCAAAAGAAAAAATATAAAGACCAGTAAAAAAACTACATTCATATTTCTTTTACAAATATTACCTTCATGAAACAATATCGGACAGTATTTTCAGCCAATGGTTTATGTGCAACACTGTAGAAAGCAGTAGGTGGGATTCCCTGCAGTCCTACATTTTTCGTCATCCATTTCGTGAATCTATAATCCTTGTATTTATCTTTCTCCGAATTTATATCAACTCTTGATTCTAAAAGTAAAGTGTAAACATACATTAAATTGTCGCCACCAAGAAGTTGAGAGCGACTCAAGGAAGTTTTACAAAAGAAAATGCGTTTCATTTGTTAGTCCCAGTTTTCAGTAGTACTACTACTAGTCGTTGTTTCTCAAGGCGGTCCGGAGGACCTTAGCCTGTAGGTCATAGTCACTGTAATGTCAGTGTCTGTCAGGTCTAGTGGCCCAGAAACCAGACAAGTTGTGGAGTTTTAAGTCGTTCAGTTTGCTCCTGCTTGGGTGGTTGGAAGTTAAATTATCAAAAGTTGATAGAAAGCAACCTATTTCTCACGATACTTAATCACTCTTTGACGACTGTTGATGTGAAAAACTGATCGTCAGTCGACATATTTGTTTATTACCACGAAGATCAGATATATGAGGTTAAACTGCGTAAGAAATACTCATATTAGTATGAACCCAATCCTGTCCAAAGATGATGTGGCGCTCGAAAATCTAGTTCACGTAGAACGTGGTGTAAAGCGACTGCGCATTGAAAAATATCAAACAAAATCAGCATATGCCACAATCTTTAGGAGCATTTCACTCACGTTTTGACATGCTTTTTACGTTTATTACTTCGTGGTTTGTTAATATCATCCAATATTTCTGCTTGCAACTCGTCCGATTTGTCAAAATTGGAGTTGTTTACAGTCATGATAACAGCAACAGAGAGATATGCCACTTGTGCAGAATCTGAAATTCATTTTCTGTGTAGTGTACTAATTTACTTCATCTTGGACATTTTTTGCCTCACTCCCACTCTACGATTCTAATCCCCTATCTCTAGTCTTCGTCTTTATAACCAGTGACATGACCTCCAAATTAATTAGCGTCAACTACTTCCAGCTTTCCAGATTACTCCCCATTAAAACGTTCCTATATACTGTCAGATGCTTTGTAATCTATTATACACGCTGTAGCATGTCAGAGCAAACAGATGAAACTGAAGGAATGTAGAAAAATAACAACAGATGTCTGCCGAAATCAATGGACTTTTGAGGTACTAACCCAGTGGTGACCAATCAGCAATGATAAAATATCCTCCTTCAGGTACAATTGGTACCATTCCTACGTCGCTCAAAAACTTGACCGTATAGTCTCTCTTTTTCTCCAATTCTTTAGGCATAGATATAAAATAACATTCATCAGTTCCTAACCGTGGAAGTTCTGTCTCAAATCCGATGGCAGCTGCCTCCTATAAAATTGAAAGTATTTTAGAACAATCATCAAATACTATTGGCCAGTAGGTTGGATACGCAACAATAAGTCAATATGAGCTCGAAAATTGCGTGATCGCGCAGACTTCTTTGATTTGACGCGGAATAAAGTCAATGTGAGCAATGTATAAACCTCATTTACTCAGCGTTGAAATAAACATGTGCACTCATCACAGCAAACTCAGGAATTAATGGCCCGCAGGCCAATAGGTGCGCGTGAATTTGAATGTCGCAAGCTAGTATTTGTTTTGATGGGACGTAAACGAGATTTGAATACACAATTGTTTTTATTATGAACAATAATGTTTCATGGTGCAAAAATAATCTACAGAAAATAATTTTGTACCTGAATGGGTGTTACTCCAGTATACACACTATTCTGATGGATCATCTGAATATTGACCATCAAATTAGCAGGTCCATATACCCATCCTAGTTTCCAACCAGTTAAACTAAACGTTTTTCCCGCTGATCCAATCGTAAGAGTTCTTTCCCACATTCCAGGTAGGGTAGCTACAAAAACTCGACCATTAAGTTATATTTTAAGTCGCACAGGTCTACAGATGCACCTGTCAAGCTTCTAATATGTATAATAAAACGGATTCATTTTGATTCTCAATAGAGTTATAATAATCATGTCAATTCATATGTAGACCTGTGTATTTCTTCTTGAAAATAGTATTACCAATTCTAATGTGCTTATTTGGTTTGAAAACTAACCACTCATACACCTCGTCGGATATGCAGAGTACATTCCATTTCTTGCACAAATCAGCTATATGCACTAATTCTTTTTCTGTAAACACTTTTCCCAAAGGATTGTTGGGTGTATTCAAAATGATTATTTTTGTTTTTGTATTGAACATGCTCTCCAACTCATTAGGATCCAGAACATAATCACCAGAGGAAGGAAGTCTCCCTTTAACTTCACTTTTCTATAAAAAAATACTAGTTATCTCATTTTATGATGTTGCAAAACAACTAGCTTTCAAATATACAAAGATCATTGATTCCCTTTTGAATATTTGGATGTTCAGTTACTTCTGTGTAGGTATGAAGGACAACGAGATCCCTTTTAGCCATACAGTTAATTGTGATCAATTTTAAGGGTGATTTTTTATTATTAGTTGCGTATTTCTACTCCATACTCTAACGAACTAAAAACGAACGATTTCTGACTAGGTAGAAACAGCCAGTCAAGCATTTGTTTGTCTCCTAATTCTTAGTCTGTAGTGAGGATCATTGTACATACTACAACTACACTTGACATATGTAAATTTTTGGACAGTTGTGACATTAAATGTTTATTATGTTATTTTTTAAAAGTGCGAAATAGGTGGCAACACTGACACCTAGAGACGGCTGTCGACGGCATTAGTGGTTGGCGGCACCACAGTATTTATGTTTATTTTTGCGCCGGCATGTATGAATCGGGAAAATTCTGGTGGAATATGTAAGAGCAAACGTTTTTTACACTTACTAATCTCAAAGGTATGAATCTGGGCACGCCACCAGCATACTTGACCATAGGTTCATAGCAGTCAAAGAATGGTTCAATAATTATAACTTCATCGCCATCATCTACATGTCCTGTTATAGTAGAATACAGTGCTTCATATGCACCTAAAGTGGTCACTATCTCAGTTTGTGGGTTGATTTCTCTACCTATTAGTTGAGAATAGAGTTTTGCCAAGGCAGCAACTAGTCTGGGATGGCCCTGGAAGGTTCAGATGGTCAAATGGGCCACAATTTTCTTTTAAATGTTTTAGAATAGCTTTTGAGTTGAGTTGATATATATAAAAAATTGATTTCCTCCTGTCATTAATATCATAAAGCTATAACTAAAAATACTAAAAACATCTAACTGATGGTTAAACAAAATTTTCATTAATCATTACTTGTTACGGTTATGCACTTATACCAGTTATACAGGTAGGGTAATTTTGAAACTGGGCAATTGATAATGATTTAGAATGAAGACTGCTTTAGATTTGGACGATGCAAGCGCAAAATATGGTTAGCAAGCTTTATAGTAGACATACTACATATATCCTTCATTGTATTTGACATGCTGCAGTATAGAATGCCCATATTGTGATTTCTTGTTTGCCAATGCAAGAATGTCCAGTTTTAAAATGTCTTAGCCTGTATATTTGATTACTTAATTACTATACTACTATTACATCATAAAGAGATATTATTTATCAAATGCTTTTGTTATCATGCACCGGTTTTGATATGAATTTTTTGATGCTAATATGACTGATAATCATTTAGAATATGTATTTTTTTGTTAATATGCTTTTACAATTTTACTAAAATCTAAAGTAGGGATATTATTAGTCCTCAACTATCGAGGGTGAGATAATTACATTTTGTGTGAGATGTTATTATTCATTTCATACATCAATAATTATTATTTGTGACTTACAAATCCTCTGGTATACTGGTGTATCATATAATTTTCCCCAGTAGCAACCTTAGCAAGTGCATCGGTAGCATATTTGGGTGGTGGAAAATCTGGAAATCCCTGACCAAGATTCAGTGGATTATACTCTGAAGCTAGCTGGATATACTCTACCCTAAAAAATGTACCGATATTGGTATGTTGCTCTAATTTGACAAAAAAAAAAATGAGTAGTTCTATTGGATACTTTTAGATTTAGCTTCAATGTATCAGACAATGTTTACATTATTTGTGATTGATAGTACTCAAATTAGACCTTTCTCAAAGCCTTGAAAATACTTTACCTAAGACTACTCTAAGCAACAGGCCTAGCTATGTTTTGATCAAGCAGAAATGCGCGGCAACCTTTCTTGTCATGAACCAGAAGACTTTACAGTTGAGCAAGTTTGCAAGCATACAATATTACAGCTCACACTGTGTAAAAAATTTAATCCTGCGGTTTCAGGTCTAACGAAAAATTGCAATTTTTCCATTACATCCAATTTAAATTAATTTTTAAATTAAATTAAAATTTCCAACTACTAGTTAATGATGGCCAGGCACTCCTCTAGCTGACACACTTCCTACTCTACCCCCTTAATTCCTTGCTCTTTGTACCCCGATTTTGTCTGGTATCTGGGCAGACCTGACAGGCATACAGATTTACAATGCTATAACTAAGAGCAAATGTTCTACAGGCTGCTCTGACAGACAATAAGAATAATAATATTCAGTTTAAGTTTAATAGACCAAATACAATGATGACCAGATGAAGTAGCCTCAAGATTGGTTTTTATTTAGCATTCCTACAGTGACCCCATGTTACACTGTGTGTTTCAAATTCAGCTCTCACCATTGAGATATCAGAAATTATAAGTAATACAAAATCGGTTAAGTTCGGGCAAAGTTGTGTGTTGAGGTAACTAAGAAAATGGCACATAGAAAGTTTCTCAATTCTTAGAATTTCCAGAGATAAAGAAACCAAATGTTTCCTAAATCATTTTTATTTTTTATTGGCTTCATTTGAGATGTGATTTCAAAATAAGAAGTACAATAACGTTACCATTTTTTCTTCTCTACTTAGAATTTCAATATGATGTTTTGTCTATTTTCCTCAATTATCAAAATTATTTTTTCTTATAGGTGCCACATTGGATTTTTGCACAGGATGATGATTGAGGACAAGATACAAAATGTCATATTGAAATTCTAATCATGCCACTTTGTAGAGGCAATGTTAATTTACTTTCTATTTTGAAATCCCATTTTAAAGAGTCAGGAAAAAATGAAAACAATTGTGAGTAAAGAAATGTTGCTACTCCTTATCTTCAGAAATGCTCTGAATTGTGAAACTATCTGAGTGCCACCTTGTTAGTTATCTAAATGCGCAACTTTTTCCCCATTTAACCAACTTCGTAGCTCTTACCGTTTCTGAGACCACACTGGCAATGGTCAGAGACGAAGTTGAAACACCCTGTATATAACCTACAAACTGATCCATAATAAGTTATCGGTGAGCGTGAGCTATGCGGCAGTTTGAAATATAAACTGTTCAAAATATTCACTTACCACACACTTTTCTCGCTGCCAGCGAATCTCCTGGGTAGTGCAAACTTTTTTTCAATTTCTGATGACATGTTTGCACCGCTTTTAACAAATGTTCTCCCTATGATATCAAGACACCTATGACCTTTTAGTATCTGTCTTATTTGTTTAGTAGCTGCTGACATCTCTAGATATAAAAGATAAATACTACAATCAAAGGTTTATTTTAGGTTTAGGTACTTATGCTGCAAAAAGTAGGTTCCTCTCTTATCTAAGATTATGACATAGCACTTCGTATTAATGGAATATATGTTAATTAATGTTACTATTAATGAGAATTTAAGAATTCAAAAATAAAAAGATAATCTTATCAGCATAGCTGTCAAAAACAAAACGTAAGCATTACCCAACTCGGCGTTGCCAAATGTTTCGCAATCCCTTGAACTATGTAAAGTGACCTTTGATATCACCTGTATTTCGCGAGTATATAATCAAATTCAAGGGGATAACCAAATGGAAATGGTATTTATTTTGGGTTGGTATTTACCAATCCGTTCAAGCGAGTGTAGTTATCAGTTTGGTTATAAGATCCGTGACGTCACGAATCAGCTGTTATATGTCATAGTTATCACCGCAAAATTGTGGTATTTACCCAACTCAAGAGTAGTTTTATATTTCTGGTTATTATTTGAAATGTGACAAGTTAGAATTTTGCCGGGTATTGGATATTGTTATTGTACTTCAGCTTCATTTGTGAGAAAAATGATACAGGCTGACTTCACTTTTACCATAAAGTGGAGCACCTTATTAGTTATACTCATTACGGTTGTTGGGGACACTTTAAATGTAGTTCCTATGCTTAACAAAGTATCCTGTGTAGCCATATACCACAAGAATATTAAATTATGGCCATATAAACTCACTAGATGATATCCATCTGTATACGGTTTTGCTAATTTCTTTTTTCATCATTTCTGCTGAATCAATAAATGATTTCTTTGACATGTTGAAAAATTTAGAGAATTGAAAGTTATCATAGCTACAAAGCCATGGTTCCATCATTAAAAAAAAATCTGAAAAACATTTCTCCCATGAATATTATGAAAGGTTTCTTATTTAAACTTTCCATATACAGTTGTAGACGAAAAAGCACCGATTATTAAGTGATAATAAAAATAATCAGAGATTATATACGCGCTTTTCTAAAATAAACAACTTGCAACAAAACCGCGGTTAAAACCAACGCGTTCAAGCGACTCGTGTAACTGACGTCATCAACCCGTGTGTCATCTTGAACAATATTATAACCGCGGCACATAACACAGAAATTTTTGTTATTCGCTTGGATTTGATTTATGACAGATTGACGTCAACTGAAGTGAACAGCTGATCAGCAAGTGACATTTTTGTGTTAGTCTGCAATGTTGGTATGTTGGTAATAATGAATCGGGTGTAAATCTAGTAAAACGTATAATATGTAGCACAATAATCAAATCCAAGCGAATAACCAAAATTTCTGTGTTATAGTCAAAAACACGAAAGATGACGTCATACCATAAATTGTACTGAAGTAATCAATGGACGTACGTCGATGATAAAATCACATAATGACAACAAATTTATATTATGATTTTGCGAAGTTAGGTTATTTCACTGATTATTTTTATTGTCATTTTATTTCATGGTTTTGAGTGATACCTTAATAATAATTTTAGTGGGGAGTTTTTAATCAAATTCAAGCGGATAACCAAATGGAAATGGTATTTACCATTTTGGGTTGGTATTTACCAATCCGTTTAAGCGAGTGTAGTTATCAGTTTGGTTATAAGGTCCGTGACGTCACGAATCAGCTATTATATGTCATTTACCCAACTCAAGAGTAGTTTTATATTTCTGGTTATTATTTGAAATGTGACAAGTTAGAATTTTGCCGGGTATTGGATATTGTTATTGTACTTCAGCTTCATTTTTGAGAAAAATGATACAGGCTGACTTCAGTTTTACCATAAAGTGGAGCACCTTATTAGTTATACTCATTACGGTTGTTGGGGCCATATACCACAAGAATATTAAAATATAGCCATATAAACTCACTAGATGATATCCACCTGTATACGATTTTGCTAATTTCTTTTTTCATCATTTCTGCTGAATCAATAAATGTTTTCTTTGACATGCGGAAAAATTTAAAGAATTGAAAGTTATCATAGTAACAAAGCCATGGTTCCATCATTAAAAAAAAATCTGAAAAAACATTTCTCCCATGAATATTATGAAAGGTTTCTTTTTTAAACTTTCCATATACAGCTGTAGACGAAAAAGCACCGATTATTAAGTGATAATAAAAATAATCAGAGATTATATACGCGCTTTTATAAAATAAACAACTTGCAACAAAACCGCGGTTAAAACCAACGCGTTCAAGCGATTCGTGTAACTGACGTCATCAACCCGTGTGTCATCTTGAACCATATTATAACCGCGGCACATAACACAGAAATTTTGGTTATTCGCTTGGATTTGATTTTTGTTTTGACAAAAACAGTTATGAGTAGAATACCTTAAGACAGGAACACCAAAGATCAAAGTATTACTCGAAAACAACATAACCTGCTTTAACATAACCTATCTTTCAAATATGATCGATCATGCAACATGAAAACATCGTCTATCTTTGTCGGATACGTGCAAATTAGCAATACAGTTTGTTTAGACATTAAAATTCTGTTTGTCTCTGTCTAACATATCAGAAACTTCATTAAATATATTCACAAATCGCTGTCGTATGTCTTTACTACAGACTAAAATGATGACGTAACCGTCATCTTTCGTGATTTCGACTATATGTGCCGCGGTTATAATACGGTTCAAGATGACACACGGGTTTTTCGTCTCCAACTGTATATGGAAAGTTTAAATGAGAAACCTTTCATAATATTCATGGGAGAAATGTTTTTTTCAGATGTTTTTTTAAAGCCATGGGGCTTTGTAGCTATGATAACTTTCAATTCTCTAAATGTTTCCGCATGTCAAAGAAAACATTTATTGATTCAGCAGAAATGATGAAAAAAGAAATTAGCAAAACCGTATACAGGTGGATATCATCTAGTGAGTTTATATGGCCATATTTTAATATTCTTGTGGTATACGGCTACACAGGATACTTTGTTAAGCATAGGAACTACATTTAAAGTGTACCCAACAACCGTAATGAGTATAACTAATAAGGTGCTCCACTTTATGGTAAAACTGAAGTCAGCCTGTATCATTTTTCTCAAAAATGAAGCTGAAGTACAATAACAATATCCAATACCCGGTAAAATTCTAACTTGTCACATTTCAAATAATAACCAGAAATATAAAACTACTCTTGAGTTGGGTAAATACCACAATTTTGCGGTGATAACTATGACATATAACAGCTGATTCGTGACGCCACGGATCTTATAACCAAACTGATAACTACACTCGCTTGAACGGATTGGTAAATACCAACCCAAAATAGTAAATACCATTTCCATTTGGTTATCCGCTTGAATTTGATTTATGTTTTTGTATACAAATTAACTTTTCTAAATAAGAGTTGTTAGTAAGTACAAAATGAATCTGTAACGTACAAAACATCAAAACAAAATATGACTCTGTCTACCTGGCATTGACGGATCCGTCAGAATTATGTGTCCATTGCTAATATGGGAAAATTTGAAATATTACTAGATGATCAGTTTTCATTCTATCGTAAGGAATACTCGTGAAAAAGGCTATATGTTTGCATTCGTCTCTGTAACCAAGACTAATCACAGGACCGGCTACTTGCTGTAAACAAGTAAGGCAGCACCATCAGGCTGCATTGTCGTAGGGGGTGCAAAATGCTGAATTAATGTTGAGGTAAGGCGTAGAAAACTCTGAAGCGAGACCTGATCAACCGTAGACAGAGCTGTTTCATGCTCTTTCTGCAACTAAAAGGTCTAGCCCTGGAGTCAGATAACCGCAAAGCAGACAAGTAGCTATGGTCTTTTGAGAAACTCAAAATGTTATGTGCAAGTATAGGTGAAAAACGCCACCTACAAGTGGTTGTGGCAAAGCTGGCATCATCTCAACCCATACGTTGAAATAACAGAATGACGTCTTCTGGCGTATAACTATTCGACTAATGTGTATGCACTGATGTGTTACAGATATAGTCCAGACGTCGAGTATAATTATAAAAGCCAGAAGATATAGGGGTCTTTCTGTCATTTCAACGTATGGGTCAGCTTTGCCAAACCACTTGTAGGTGGCGTTTCTCACCTATTTGCACCTACTAACGACAAATAAGTAAGGACAGCAATGAAGGAATAGTGAATGGCACGAAAGGCACTTCCCATCACCCCGTGGTCGATTTAGGTAGAGGACGGTAAAATTACGATTACCTACCGTCCCATGATGTAAAGATTGTAAAGTGATGGTCGGTAGGCTGAAGTGTGAGACGACACCCAAAACCTCTTCTGATTCACCTCGTAGTCGTAGATAAATAAAATTTTAAGATACACACAGCTATGAAAATGAGTACCTAAGGCCCGTATCGTCAGTCGTCCCTACAATTGTAGGGCGCCTTTATGGCCTCCTTGATTGTCATACTTCTTTCTCTCCTTCAAAAATTTCTAGATTACACTTGTCCCGTGTCAGCGTCAGCGCTCTCCTATTGTGAAGATATGTTTTCTTTTTAAATTGTAGGAAATTTCGGGCTGATAAAACATGATATGACTCAAAAGCAAGCACAATTTGATACAAATAGATGTTTGTGGCATAACCTCAAAATAGAGTTCTGACACGGAGAAGTAGAAAGCTATGACAATCAAGGAGGCCATAAAGGCGCCCTAGAATTGTAGGGACGACTGACGATACGGGCCTAAAGGTCTCAAAAGATTTGCCAGACGTATCAAAAAATCTACTACAGATAATCGATCTACTTGGCAACGCTGGAACACTCAACAGATGATAGTTCTCCGCCCTGTCAATGTTAACATAACATAACCAAACAAACTTTCTGTAATTGCTCAAATTTTCTATTTGTTTTACCTATTTTCGATAAACGTGGAATCGGATAACATGGCAGAGCGTATAATACCAATTCAAATAGAAGGAGAAAATGAGCAAAAAGAAAATGATGGTATTAATGGGGATGATCAAACGGCATCAAAAACACTGGAGTCATCGAGTATCAAACCTGATAAACCAAATATTCAGATAAGACGTACCTTAAAGAAGAGTCAGCAAGAAGAGAAGTTGCAGGAGTTTGACTTGTTTGAAAAATGTTGTAAAATCAATCTTCCAAATGCAAATGTTCAAGAAAAAATCATACTTGTCATAGATAGAGCTCAGGATGAAAATCCGACACCTTTCAAAGCAAAAAATCAAACCTTATCCCCTCTAAGCATGTTAAGAAGAGCACTACACATATTTTTGGAGTTGAAGCATGATATCAATAGTAATCATGAGTTTGCTTTAATGACCTTAAATGAAAATGGCACCTCGTGGGTTACAGACTTTAGTAGTGATATAAAGAAGCTACACAATGCAATAGATCAGATTTCAGGGTGTGAAGTGGAGGACACTTTTAGTCTTGATGGGCTTTTTGAGCAGATATTTGAGAAAGCAACAGTTTGTGCACCAAAAGAAGATGAAAAGCCTAATTTTGTTGTTCGCACAATTGTTTGCTGGGGTCGTTCTTACACTTTGCCTCATATAGAAGAAGCAGAATCTTTTAGTAAACTACTTAAAAACCCTTACTTTATTTGTGATATTCTCATTACACATGAACCAGTGGATCCAGGAAATCATTCTGAAAAAATAATCAACATACTCATCAACTTGATCCAGGACATTGGTCATAAGTCATCATATTTTTTTCCTGTTGGGCGTGATACAGCAAGGCTTCACCTGTGCATGGCAAGGCTGTTAGGACATCCTTCTCAGAGACCTGCACAAAAACTAGTAAGCAAACCAGAACTGTAATTTTAGTATGATCAATCTAATTATGATGTATTTCCTATGAAATTGTAATATAGGTGAACTTTGTGAAATATTGAAACTATTGCAAAAAGTTGTCAAATATTTTTTATATTACCTCCTATTTGCTATATGTCCCGCGAGGTAAGGGACAACATTTTTGGACCACAATATTGTTGGAAAATTGCTTTTATTTAACAAAAAATTTAATACTGTTTGTATGAAAATAACTGTTTACAATAATTAAAGTCCACATTCATGTTGTACTGCCCAATTAATATGCTGGTGTTTGTTTGTTGATGGAATAGTTGTGTCAGTTTGATTGAACTTTGCAAAAAGTATTTGAATAACACTTTTCCTGGTAGTCGGATTGGACCAGGAGGCGCAGTTTCTTGATCACCCCGCTCGCCCGATTTAAATCCCTTGGATTATTACTTGTGGGGACATATGAAGTCCTTAGTGTATGCAGAGAAATCGCATACCAGGCCCGAACTGCTCCGTAAAATTACTGATGTCGCTGACGATATAAGATTGAAGTAATAGTCTTGTTATCGGGAAAGCCTCCAGTCACATTATTAACCGGCTAGACTATGTTTACAGTGCGAAGGTGGACACTTTGAACAACTATTGTGAATAGTTATTTTCATTGTATACTTTATCTGAAGTCACTTGAAACACTGTGAAATACCGGGTGCGTTTTATATATCTATATTTAACACGCTCTGTTGCTGCAAAAATCGCCAAATTTCGCAGCAAATATCCCCCGTATAAGATCAAAGGCAGTTTCACCGGTCCACGTGGAGTAAAGCACGCGTATGCATGCGTGGACATAGCCAATGAAAAAGCGTGTATTTCAGAGCTCCGAACAAGTGCAGGTGGCTACTGAAAATTGAAACAGTTTAGCCAGTGCCGTGTAGCGGTAAATAAACGTGTTTTCTTTAGTCTGTCCGTGTTTTTTCATAGATTTTATTAGTTTGTGTGTTTTTGACTTTTGAATACTCAGTTTACTTGTTGATTTAATTGTTGTGTTGATTGTTCTTGTGTGTCCTAAATATGGCTCTTTGGAGACCTTGGGAAAATGCTCCAAGCCACGAGGAGATGGTTGATGAACCTGTGCAGGCAGAATTCTTTCATAAAGATTTAGAGGAACAGACCCAAAGAGTAATTCTAAATATGTATGATAGTCTGAAAAACGAAAATCCAGATTCCTCGCAAAATCAAATTTTAAACAGAATTTGTATCCTGACAAAAATCAGTCGGTCTACCATTTATCGGGTTATAAAAAGGGGAGATGTAGTCAACCATTCCTTCCACAGAAAGCGCATAGGGCAAAAATTAAAAAGATTAGACGTGGGTTTTCAGGAAGATATTCGTCGTATAATATACGGATTTTATAAAGAAAATTTGGTGCCCACGTTGGAAATGATACGGGATAAATTAAAAGATTATCCTGAAGATTTTTATAATTACAAATGCTTAGACTCACTGCACTGTATTGTAAAACTGTGTGGTTTTCAATACAAAAAATTAGATAAAAGAATGGTTATTATGGAGTCGTCTCGAATCGTTGAATTGCGCCAAGAATTTTTGCACAAAGTTAAAATCTATAGAGAGCAGAAAAGAAATCTGATTTACCTGGATGAAACGTGGTATGATACCCATGATGTTGTGCAGTACGGCTGGGTTGACGACAGCAACAAGTGCATTTTAAATGCACCATGCAACCGTGGAAAACGAATCATTATTCTCCATGCTGGCAGTGAAAATGGATTTATACCTAATGTCTTGCTGTTATCTGCCAAAAATATCAAAGAATCATGTGCCGACTATCATGAGGACATGACCTCCGACTTATTTGAAAAGTGGATAGAGCAGCAGTTAATACCAAACATTTCCCCAAATTCAGTGATTATTATGGACAATGCACCATACCCTTCCCGACAGAAAAACAAAATTCCGAATACAGGCACAAAAAAACAAGACATTATTGATTTTATGAAGGATAAGGGAATGGAAATACCACAAAAATCAACCAAAGCCATATTATTGGATCTTATTAAAAGACAAAAATTTTAAAAAGAGTATGTTGTTGACAATCTGCTTCAGCAAAATGGCCATGAAGTATTACGTCTACCTCCCTATTACTGCATTTTTAACCCGATTGAGTTGGTCTGGGCTGCTTTAAAAAAAAGTAAGAAAACATAATCAGACCCCTCAATTAAGTGAATCGCTATTGGCCACAATAAGAGATGCAGTATCTCATATTGCTGCCACAGACCTATGGAAGCAGTGTTCTAGGCATATTATTGAAAAAGAAAATGAATATTGTGTTTTGCCTCCTGTAAATCCCGTTGTAATTCCTCTACAAGATGACTCTAGCGACAGCTCCGAAGGCGAGGATGATATATAAATACCTATAATGTAAGTCTTTATATACCTTTTTATATACCTACCTGCTATGTAAATATTTGCCTATGTCAAACGTTGGAATTCTGTAATTTTTCCATTTCTTAACTTTCAGCCAACATAAATTAAACTCCCAATATAAGTATTTTTTATCCCAAATCAAAAAATAAGAAGATAGTAAAATCCATTTATTGTGATATAAAAACATTATTATTGTCGTTCTAAATAAATGACCGCACGCCAATGATACGTCATGAAATTACAAAGGACGCGCCGACCAAAGGTTTTTATGCTATTTCAAGTGACTTCAGATAAAGTATACCTAGTAATTTTGTGTTAAATAAAAGTAATTCTCCAATAATATTGTGGTTTTCCCACCATTAGCACCCTAAAAATAAAAAAATCTTTATCTCAATTAGGAAGCATTTGCGGACCATGCTCATTGGACTTTTTCCACTCGAATTGACCTGAGAAACAAGTAGAAAAATTTTGTCCGTTTCCTCGCAGGACACCCTGTATATATGATTCTCCAATCAGTCATCATCAAAATACCTATATTTGTTCAATATGGTCAAATTGTTTTTGAATCCCTATCACTTTCTATAGTAACCTAGTTCATGTACAATGTTTCCATTGATTTTTCAAAATTTAGGCAAGACTTAACCAAACTGAGTGCTCTAATAAAATTCAACATATTGTATTGTGAGTAGCTGGAAGCACTACTCCCTTCCCTGTGTGCTCTTTGATTATCAACTTAATGTTCTCCTTTAAAAGCACCACTCCCCACTCCTTCAGTTATCAAACCACGTTCAAATTAAGAACAGAAGGATCCAGAAAGGAAAATTGAGGCCCCGGTTACAAGATCCGGCCAGGTGGTACCTCCGCATATGACAGTCAGAGGTAGTCTACTTCTCTGGAGGAAATCTTGACAGCAGCATATTTACTTCTTTTCTGTGAAATAATATCTTACACCTATGAATACACCTTAATTGTAGAAGACATTACGTAGCACTTTCCTGACCATGACCTTCAAATGTTGCATTTCTGAAGTGCTCAAGGATTACATGAAAGTAGATTTTTCGCTTTGTCCATTTTCCTGGTGAAAAGTAAGATGTACCACTTTTAAAAATCTACCCGACTTTAACCATAACCTTCAAGGTAATTGTCAAGGTCAAATCTATGATCAACATCGGCCAGTCTGGGAGAAATCCTGATAACAGCATGTTTTACATCTCTGATAATATTAATTCAAAACTGTCCTCCCACTTATATCAATAACCTCGACTTGGGGGATTTCTGGGTGCTGTGGGGAGGAATTTCTGGGGGTTGGCCCCATTAGTACTTTTGATCACCATGTTATTACATCTATGCAAGATTTCAACTAATTTAGTCGAAATCCGTTTATCATAAAAAACTGCGGGACTCTTGGCTTAGATTGTAGCCTAAAATCACAGTGATAAAGCTGAACAACAAAATACTTAAATATATAAATTTTATACTAAAATTAATAAAATAATATTAATTCTATTTTATTCCTGGTCCTGCTCTGCGTTCATATTGTATAATCACAAAAATATCATATTTTGCAATATTTTGATCAAGACACACATATTTTCCACTGTTTATTGGGGGACAAATCGCGATATTTGTCAAAATCCCCTTACCCTCACGTGAGATTAGGCGAGTCCCTTCTCCCTGAACACCTCATGTAATTGATGGACGCCTCTAATGCAGTAATTCCTTTAGAAGCAATAAAAACAGACTCCATTTTTTCTTAAATAACATTGTTTATTTTTAATTATGACACCAACTTTCTATGGAAAGTTAATCACTGATGTTCATTCCTCATAAATATCATTTGAATATTAATAAAAATATCCATAACCTGCGGCAACATTCCTAGAGGTAGCGGCGCTGACGCCTAAAGACGGTGGTCGAGAGATATGCATATATGTAGTTGTAAGCATAAGTGGATGGCCGTGCCATGTCACATAAGCTCTTTTGCGCAGGCCAGAGTTTCAAATGAATTGGCTATTTTCTGGTGGAATATTGTAATAAATACCGTTCCTCGTACCCTATGGTATATTGGCTACGGTATATGTTTATAGTATCCTCACGCAACCCTACTTACGAGTATATCATCTCATAACATTGTCAATGCAGTTCAATCCACTTATATTATCCATATCGTGAGACGTACTTCTGTTTGTTATTCAGGAGACGACGGTTGTGCAGAGCTAAAAGCAAACACGTGAGTCATCCTAATACACCATTCTGTCCCTAATGTTTCGAATTTCAATATAAGAAAGAGTCTACTTCAACGGGGCATCTACAAAATTCTTATAGTATACCCACTCCGCTCTGTTCCGTCGTTGCCTGATGAGTTCACGGAGCCCGTGACCAAGGCCCCAGCTCGATGAGGGGCCTCCAAAAATCAAACAAAATTTAAAAAAAAGGCAACGTCATCATTACTTCATAAAGTGCACAAGCTAACCCATCTGAGGTGAAAGTTAGCTACGAACATGTATAACTCAGAAATTGATTGGATGAAGTCAGCCAAACAAGCAGGTTTTAAGGGAAAATGTACGGGGAAATCTGTG